AGAGAAAGAGAGAAACATCGATGTGAAAGGAACACATCGAGTGGCTGCCACCCGCACAGCCGACCAAGGCCGGGGACAAACCGCAACCGAGGTACGCGCCCTTAGCGGGAACCGAATCCGGGTCTCTCAGGACCGCAGGCCGACGCTCTAACCGCTGAGCCAAACCGGCCAGGGCCCCTTCCTCCCTATCAAAAAAATCAGTTGAAAAATATCCTTGGGTGAGGATTAAAAAAAAACTTCTGAAGGGGACTTGACTGTTCAGGACTTTCCTCAAAGGAGAGCTCCTAGGGGAAAGGTGTTGAGCCTGAGCAGAAGCAAGGCCTCCCTTCTGCATCTCAGTCCAGTTAGCGGAGAATTCCAGCTCCATCCTTTAGAACCCGCCCTGCTCTGATAGCCTGGGGGACTGGGGCAATTCATATGTAAATATGAGAAAGCCTAGGGGAATTTTAGGGGCTCGGCGTGCATTCCTGAGCTCTGGGACGAGTCCAGCCTGCCTGCTAACACTTTGATGCGCCCGTACACTCAGCAGACCTTTGGCGCTGCAGGTACCTCCCGGGGTTGCTGGAATCCACACAAAAGCAGGTAGAATGCTCAACCTCTTTCTCACTCAAGTAAGTGCCGCTGACCGCCAAACCGGGAATTCCAAGATTTTCCTTATCAAACATAGAGCCAACTTTCAGAGCAAGGGAAGAAGTGAGTGGCTTTTCTCTTTAACTCTCAAGTGTGGGTGTGAGAGCTGTGGGAAGCTGTGGGATGATTGAGTCCTTCCTTAGCACACTGAGGAATGAGCGTGGTGTAAAGGACCAACCTCAGCAGGTGGGGGTATCTTGAAAAGGAGTGGAATTGTTGGGACTGGTGGGGAGGAAGGGGGCTAGAAAAGGGAAGGGAAAAACCCCCACCACGAATTGTTTTATCACCACAAGTAAATCTGTGCAGTCTGCCCCGGCCCCTGAGCACCTGCAGGGCCCCCGAGAAAGAAAGTGGGACTGGTCTGCACGTTTTATTGATAGGCTGGTGCTGGCCCACAACTTCCTCGTGTGCTTCCTCATCTCCAGATCACATTGTTCTCGGGGAAAAGTAGAATTGTATTGTATCTGAACGGAGCATTTACCTTAACCTGCTGCAGCCCGCATTTTCTGGCCCATCGTGAGAAAAGGACTAATTTGGTGTTGAGTGATTACCGTGTTCAATTCTCAACACTTCTACAAAGCAGGTGCTATTATCTTCATTTTACAGAGGAGGAATCCGCGCCCAGAGGTAAAGATGGACTTTCCTGGGTGCCTCCCCAGCTGAAGAGTGAGGAAGTGAAAATTCAGAGCCTCTTGTCTCCACAGCAGCTGAGGGTAGCGGCTGCCTTCTCGCTCTTGGTTGTCCCAGATGCTAAGCTTTTTCTGTAGAAGATATTTGAAATAAAGGAAAAAGTCTTACATGTGGAGTCTTTTCAAGCCAGATGTTTCTAGTTTGACCTAATCTTTAAGTATTAATTAGTATGTGTGTGGAGCATGCAGGTCATCTGCATCTTCAGAAACACCTAGGATTTTGTTCAAATTGCAGATACCCAGGCCCCAACCAGATTTGCTGAATCAGAATCTGAGAGGTGTTGCCCGGGAAACTGCAGTTTAACAAAAACATACCCCAGTGGGTTTTAATCACGCTAAAGTGTGATTAGCATTTGTTTTTTAAAGGCTATGCAAGAGTTTATAAATTCACCTGCCAAAAAAAAAAAGCATGCTGGCAGTTTAAAAGAATTAACATTTCTTTTTCTTTCTTTTAATACAAATAAAAATCTAATTGAGTCTTCTAACGTAAGTTTCTGGTTTCTGACTGATGAGTACTTGCTGGTGTTTTGTGCTCTCAACTACTATAATTAATAGAACTTTGACTTGTGGGAGATAATGGTTTCCAGGGCATTTAAAAAGTTCCTGACCTTTTCTAGTTTAGATACCAGGCTAGGGAGGCAAAATGGTGCAGGATTAAGGACATAGGATTGGGACTTAAATATATTTAGATTCAAATTCCAGACTGCCATTTACTACTACATAACGTGGGGCAAATTGGTCAGCCTCGCAGAGCCTAGGTTTTCTTATCTATTAAATGGGAAGTAGTAACAATACTACTTCAAAATTTTGGCATGAATATTTATGAGTCCAGGGACATAATATATAAAGTGCATGGCACATGGTAGGAATTCAATAAATGTTCCTCTTTTCCAGAGCCTTTTAGTCCTGTATTAAATTTGAGTTTTTTGGGTTTTTTTTTTTACAAATACTGAATCACCATATTGTACACCTGAAACACAATGTTTTATGTCATTTATACCTCAGAAAAAAGTGATTTTTCTCAACTTGCCACTTACGAAGTCATATTTGGGACTGAGATTCTATTGCTTTGAAATCACAAAGAAAATTAAAACAGAGCTATTGAACATAAATTTTACATACACTACAGTTAATTTAGAATTATAATTTAGCATTCTGATGAAATAAGTTATGTTTGAAATGTTGTCATTCATTCTACCAAAAATAAGTTCAAGAAAATATTTTATCTTTATATCTTTTATTTTTATTTTATTTTTTGTTCAGATAGAGTGGGAGGGGAGAGAGAGGAAGAGAGAAAAACATCGACGTGAAAGGGACACATCGAGTGGTTGCCACCCTCACGACCCAACCAGGGCCGGGGACATACTGTAACCTAGGTACATGCCCTTAGCGGGAATCGAACCCCGGTCTCTCTGGACCACAGGCCGACGCTCTAACCGCTAAGCCAATCCTGCCAGGGCTATCTTTATATCTTTTAAAACTATTTTGAATAATATCAAATTTACAAAAAATTGCAGTAGTACAAAGAACCTCCTGTATATTCTTTATTCAAATCCACCAGTGTTTAACATTTTGCCATGTTTTTGTTTTTATTCTCTCTCTCTCTCTCTCTCTCTCTGTACACACACACACACACACACACACACACACAGGTTTTTTTTCCTGAACTATTTGAGAGTAGGTTGCATATATCATGTCCCTTACTAATAGCTTCGGTGGTTATTTTGTATGAATATGGATATTCTCATTACATGACCACATAGATTTGCCATTTCAGGATGTTTTAATTGATTTAATTGTTGATATAATCGATAGTTTGTGTTACAATCTCATCAGTTGCCCTATACCATCCTTTGTAGCAACCGCCCCCTCCCCCAGGTCAGGTCATTGCATCTGTTTGCCATCTCTTGAGTTGGCTTGATTGGGAACGATCCCTCAGGCTTTCTTTGTCTTTCCTGATGTGACATTTTGAAGAATACAAATCCTCAGTTTGGGTTTGGCTAATGTTTCCTCAAGGTTTCTTTCAAATTATGCACTTTTGACTGGGATATTGTGTTGTTTTCAGACACGACAAATGGAAACACATGATGTCTATTTATTTGTCCCTTATTGTTGATTTGAATTTTGAGTGCTCAGTTATTTTCCATTTCTCCACCATATAGTCATTATTTTTTATTTTTGTAGTTACTAAGTAATTTGTAATAACTAATTCAAAACTGTGCCAATATCCTGATCATCATCGAACCCCACCATTATTTTTTCTATATTTATTCTACCATAAGAGCTTTCTCTTCTCATTTACTTATGTAGTACATACATACTATCAATATGAGTTCATGGATTCTTATTTTATTCAGTGGATTATAATCTAGCCTTGTGTACCAGGTTTGGCCAGTGGGACCCCCTTTGGACATGACCCCTCCTTTTGCTAAGCAGTTCCTTACTTTCTACCATAAGATGTTTGGGGCTCATTTATACCTTCCCTGCCCCAGCCCTGGAATTAGTCATTTCTCCATAGAACTCTGGTTCCTTTTAGTGGAGAATGGTTTTTAGAAATTAGAATCCAGACGTACTTTTTAAACATAGGAATTCCTAAATTCTTAGAGAAGGGGCAGCGAGGAAGATTTTTGGAGACTAAAATCTGTTGTGAAATCCTCATTTTTGTAAGTAGTTTGAACACTTTTATTTTGCATTTTAAGGCTGGAAAAAAAATTCTTGTAATTATACTGAGACTTACTAATATACTTACCTAACAAGTTGGTAGTTTTAAGTGGATCTTAAAGAATTTGAAATACACAGCAGAGATTGCTTCACTGTTGAAATTTTTAAATTGTTTATTTTAGCATTTAATGTTCATTTTAAGAACAAATGCTATCTCATCTGTATAAATAACACTCATCATATGTATTTAAGTAACAGGTAAGTGAAAAAGCTAATGACAAAATACAAATTTGTTTTCATTTTTACATCATGCAGTACGGCTCTATAAAGTTTCTTTTAATTAAAAATACCATTAAAGAACTTCATGTTTATAGTACATTTGTATCTTCCAAGACATTTGAAGTAACAAAACCTGCTTGTGAGGCTTCATTGATGTTTCCATAAAGAGAATCTACATAATTTTGCATATTTCTTTATATACTAACGTTAATCCACCATCATGACTGGAACATAGTGGATCCGGCAGTCATCCAGATCTCAGACAGATAATTTCTGCCTCATTCTTGTCTTGCCTTTATTTGGCAGCATTATGTTACCCATAATCTTTTACTGTGCCATGTCAATGTTTTTAACTTCCAATTTGGTATTTCTGCTGCTGAGGTTATAGAATGGATTTTATACCTAATTAAATGAAAGCACTTCTTAATGTGAACAACAGCTTTTTCAACCTCTTTGCAAAGGAAGTTGTGGACACTGATTTGTCCTCATAAAATGGGCCAGCTACTCTTTTTTCAGGACAAATCCTAAAATGGTATCGCACAGATGAGAGAAATTCTCAGGGGTGGCCTTCTAAGTTCTTCATCTGTTCATGATGAGAACTAACGTGTGGGATCAGATTTCCTGATTGTTGACAGTTGTGAAGCCTTTGCTTCTCAAGGACTGTGCTCCTTTCAGATCAGACTGTTGAAGAGTCCTGCTTTAGCACAGAGGGATGCTGACCAGTTCTCCTTTCCCTTCTAGAAATGACGCTCCTCTCCTCCCAGTCTTCGTCTCCGGTGGCTCCTCCTGGGCCCGTGTCCACTGAAAACCCGGAGCAGAGGATGCTGGAGAAGAGAGCCAAGGTGGTAGAAGAACTTCATCAGACGGAACGAGACTACATTCGGGATCTGGAGATGTGCATTGAGCGGATCATGGTACCCCTGCAGCAGGCACAGGTGGGAACTGTGGGAGCAAGTTCGCTTTACCTCGACTGTGGGTCTCCAAGCCTGAAGTGTCAGGATATGGGAGTTTTCACCACAGAGATGTATTGGGTTTGAAGTAAAGGCTGTGGCTGCTGCTCTTGATTCACGGGTCCCAACATATGTGTGTCAACGTAGGCCATCAGCATCCTGTCACTTAGCAAGTTCACGGTTAACTCACTGGACTTCCTGCAGTAACACCCAGGACATTTCTGTTTATTTGGCTCCTGAAAACAGTACCAGGGAGTCTGGAAGGTCACTTTCCTGGAAAGGTTGTATAATAAAGTCTGGAGAGGATGGGTTACTGGCTCTAGTACCTGATTTGATTGTATAAAGTCTATGCAGGAAACGCTGAGGTGGCATGTGCTTGTGTTAGGTACTTTTCTGGATGTTGGAGACAGAAAAAGAGGTTAACAGTTCCTGGGGATTTACAGTCCTTATTGCCTCTTGACCACCTGGGCTGGGTTTGGGTTTGTATTCCAGGAGCAGTCTCTTCAGACGTCTGTAGGAAGTGGGCAGTGCCATCACACTGTGGGTATGGGGGGGGGCATATGCATCCCAGTACACTCATAGACCAAAGCATTTCACAGTCCTTTTACTAAGGTGGGGAGGGGAGGAAGTGGAGGATACTCGGATCAAGGACAAAGGGTGACACTAAAGCTAACGTTGGATGTTTCCGTTCTGGACACTTCGTGAGAGTGAGTGAAAATGACCTTGAACAATTTTTGTCTAATCCTTGAGGTCTTTCTAATGTGAAGGATATGCTATTACTTTCATTTTCATGCATCTTTACATTTTGTTTCCCTTTCTCAGATACCAAACATTGATTTTGAGGGACTTTTTGGAAATATGCAGATGGTGATAAAGGTCTCAAAGCAATTATTGGCCGATCTGGAAATCAGCGATGCTGTAGGTATGAGCTCCTGCCATTGCTTCACAAGCAGCTGCTTCTTCCCTTTTTTTTTTTTAATTACATGGGTGGAAGGCAGGGGGACAAGGGCCTTGCTGGTTCTGAGTAGTTATGCGAAGAAATGAAGTTTTAGTTACTTAATTCAGAGGCTATTTGGCCCTCAGCTTCTCCTTTTATCTGCAGTCTACTTTGAGAGATATAGAATGTTAGCAATAGAAGAAATTTTAGCTATCACTTAATACGATGTGGATCATGAGATCAATTTTGTGGGTTGCATCCATATATATATATAAATATTTTTTCTTTATTAATTTTAGATTGAGAGAGAGAGAGAGATAGAAACATTGATGAGAGAACATCGACTAACCTCCTCCGGCGGGCCCCCCTCCCCTCCACTGGGGATTTGGTCCACAACCTGGGAATGCACCCTGACCAGGAATTGAACCTGTGACCTCTTGGTGTGTGGGTTGACGCTAAATCACTGAGCCATACCAGTTGGACCAGTATATATTTTTAAAGTAAAATAGAAAATATCAGAATTTACTGTAATCACAGTTTCTTGAAACTTTTTTTAAAATTTATTTATTTTTGTTACAGATATTTCTCCTTTTTTCCTCAGTGATATTCACCTCCCCCTCCCTCCCCGCCCTGTTCCCAGCTTTGTTGTCCATGTCTATTGTTCATGCATACATGCATATAAGTTCTGTGGTTTATCTCCCCACCACCACCCCCTCTTCTGGGGATTGTCAGTCTGTACCCCACTTCCACGTCTGGGACTACCCCATTCCTCAGACTGTTATGTTCATTATATTCCAAAAATAAGTGAGATCATGTGATATTTGTCTTTCTCTGCTTGGCTTGTTTCGCTTTGGATAATACTTTCCAGGTCCCTCCATGTCGTCTCAAAGGATAAGATCTTTCTTTCTTACTGCTGTATAGTACTCCATTGTGTATATGTACCACTGCTTTTTTATCCATTCGTCTACTGATGGACATTTGGGCTGTTTCCAGATCTTAGCTATTGTAAATAGTGCTGCTACAAACATGGGGGTACATATATTCTTTCTGATTGGTGTTTCAGGCTTCTTAGGCTATATTCCTAGAAGTGGGATCACTGGGTCAAATGGCAATTCAATTTTTAATTTTTTGAGGTAACACCATATTGTTTTCCATAGTGGCTGCACCAGTCTGCATTCCCACCAGCAGTGCACTAGAGTCCCCTTTTCTCCACACCCTCGCCAACACTTGTTGTTTGATGATTTGTTGATGGCGGCCGTTCTGACAGGTGTGAGGTGATACCTCATAGTTGTTTTAATTTGCATCTCTCTGATGATTAGTGATGGTGAGCATTTCTTCACATGTCTCTTAGCCATTTGTATGTCCTATTTGGAGAGGTGTCTATTTAGCTCCTCTGCCCATTTTTTAATTGGGTTCTTTGTCTTCCTTTTGTTGAGTTGTATGAGCACTCTATATATATATTGGAAATTAACCCCTTATCTGATGTATCATTGGCAACCCATACAGTGGGTTACCTTTCTATTTTGATGATTATATCTTTTGCTGTACAGAAGCTTTTTAGTTTGATGTAGTCCCATGTGTTCATTTTCTCCTTTGTTTCTGTTGCCTTAGGTGATGTGTCACTGAAAATTCCGCTGCATATGATGTCTGAAATTTTGTTGCCTACATTTTCTTCTAGGATTTTTATGGATTCATGAGTCACATTTAAGTCTTTTATCCATTTTGAGTTTATTCTTGTATATGGTGTAAGTTGATGGTCTAGTTTCATTTTTTGCATGTAGCTGTCCAATTTTCCCAACACGCAAGGCTGGCGGTCCCCGCCCCGCCGTGCCCCTCGCTGTGACAGAGGGCCACCGGGGGCCTCACACTTATTCTACACCTCTCATGTCTCTTCACCGTGCCAGACTAGAGTCAAACTCAACAGGGTCTTCTTTCCCCGCTGATTCTGCCAAGCCCGTTCCCTTGGCTGTGGGTTCGCTGGATAGTAGGTAGGGACAGTGGGAATCTCATTCATCCATTCATGCGCATCACTCATTAGATGACGAGGCATTTGGCTACCTTAAGAGAGTCATAGTTATTCCTGCCGTTTACCTGCGCTTCATTGAATTTCTTCACTTTGACATTCAGAGCACTGACTGGGCAGAAATCACATAGCGTCAACACTCGCCATGGGCCTTTGCGCAGTTTTTTGAAATTTTTATTTCTATTCTATGTATGTGTGTGTGAGTGTAGTGACTCATGGTTTAAAATGTATTTATTCATATGGTCATTGTCAAAAATGTTTGAAAAACAATCATCTGTTTCTTTTAAACAAGGCAACTATATTAGTTATCTATTGATATGTAACACATTATACCAAAACTTAGCAATTTAAAACGAGAAATGTGTATTATGTCACAGTTTCTGTGTGTAGGAATCTGGGAGTAGCCCAGCTGGGTGGTTCTGGCTCAGGGTCTTTCATGAGGTTGGAATCAAGAGTCAAGCTGTTGGTCTGCGCTGCCCACGCAGCTCTTTATGACCCTGCTCCTCTCCTTGGCTGTCACGTGATATGGCAGCTGGTTTTCCCCAAAGTGAGTGGGCTGAGGGAGAACTAGGTCACCTGCTTGCACATGAACTGATTACTAGACATGGGGATAGGATCATGATTTGGCTTAGATGGGGCAATATTTACGTGACTCACCTTGGAGAGAAATCGTGCAGCAGAATCAGGGCTCTGCCACCCTGAAGGGAGGGGGAATGGCTCTGAGATGTTAGGTGACAGTGCAACATTGTTAATGTTTCTTGAGTGTATATTACACACCACACACCCTTTCAAGGTATGTCACGCTTAATCTCAGTTGTTTCTTACAACAACCCTCGGAGGTTTACTGATAAGGAAACTGAGACTTAGAGGGGGGAGTAATGTGCCCAAGGTCACATGGTGAGCAGTTGATGGGGCTGACATTCAGACTCAGGTCTTTCTCTCAGGCCACCTGCTCATGGGTTAACTTCTTTACAGAGTAGCTTTATGTCTAATACTTAATGGAAAGGTAAGAGAAACTGAAGCCTGGGGTCTTGCTTTAAATGGAGAGGTCAGAGGTCAGGGGGATTGAGGAAGGAAAGCACATATTGATTGACTAGAAGGAAGCTACTGTGATCCTATTTTAATAGAATGATAAAGCAAAAAAAGCTTACTTATAAGATTAAGGCATTTGAAATAACTATCTGTAAGCTATTTATTTGAATTATGAAAGAAACTAGACAAATTGGTTGGTCTCTAAGAGAGTAATTATTAATCAAACAATTACTTTTTTTCTAATTACCTGTATTTTATGACAATAAAATAGGAAATTAAAACAAAATATTCATAATCTCACCCCTGTAAGATATCAACTGTGTTTCATTTTTCTTCTTTTCTTCCACTTCTTTTCCCAAGACAAACGAATTAGGTAGACTGGTGCTGAAGGTACACAGAGGATAGTGAGGAGAGGTCCTCGGGCTAAAAGGTTCAGGACTGTGGCAGGAGGTTTAACTTTACAAGTGAGGGACACTGCAGTGGCTGAGGGGAGCACGCGGTGGAGCCAACACCGTGTGAGAACTGTGCTGGGGACTGCCATCTTGGTCAACCAGAAGGCCAAGCAGTACGTTCAGTGGGGAATTAATAAAGGATTTGATTTGGAACATCTGATAAGGGAAGGTTCTGAGAAGTCAGAGAGGGGGAAATTAAAGCTTTGCTGAGCCAATAGCAAATGGCAGATTGACATGAATTGCATAAACAAATTTTTATTTTGGTTAAGTTTAATTTATTTTAATACATTTTAAATTTAACTTATTTTAATTACCTTCACATGGCACAAAGTTAGGAAGGTACAAAGAACTAATAAAGTATCTTACATGTCCCCTACCTACCCAGCTCTTCTCAACCTAAAACAACCACTGCGACTAGTTTTCCTGTATCTCCTTCCAGAGGTAGTTTATCATATATCAGCAATGACATACATATTTTTCTACTTCAGTTCGCCATCCCCATTTTTTTTTTTTTCTTAATCATTCTAGAGAGAGAGGAAGGGAGAGGGAGCGAGAGATAGAAACATCAGTGAGAGAGAACATCAATTGGCCGCCTCCTGCATGCCCCCCACTGGGGATCAGCCCCACAACCTGGGCATGTGCCCTGACTGGGAATCGAACCGGTGACCTCTTGGTGCATGGGTTGATGCTCAACCACTGAGCCACATCAGCCAGGCGCCATCCCCATTTTAACAAATACCAGTGGCGGCATACAATCCAAACAGTCTTGCTCTAAGCCTTTGTTCCCTCTCCACACTGTACCTTCCAAGCAGTTATGACCCAGGAAAGGGGGATAACTTAGCAAAAAGTTAAGGAAATCTAGGGTGCTGGAGAAAGCAGCACTGAATTAATTTACTAATCCTGATTGGAGGATTCTAGTCCAACCAGGACAGTGTCTGGTGGGGAAGGAAAGAAGGGTAGGTATTTACTAATCCTGATTGGAGGATTCTAGTCCAACCAGGACAGTGTCTGGTGGGGAAGGAAAGAAGGGTAGGTGTTCAGGGCTTGGATGAGTTAGAAGATGAGGTTGAGAGAAAGAACTACCAGGAGACTGCATATGTAGTAATATATAAGGGGCTGGCTTAAATTATTTTAAACATGTCCCACAGAAAGAAGGATAGTTTATATAAGGCCCCAGGATATACGTTTGTGTGTGTATGTCTGTGCTTGCTTCTATTATGTCCTGATATTTTCTTAAAAATTTTTTTTTTCCTTTATTGAGTTTAGAGAGAGAAGGAGAGATAGAACTCTCTCTCGCTGAGAGAGAACATCAATTGGCTGCCTCCTGCATGCCCCCCACTGGGGATTGGGCCCACAACCTGGGCATGTGCCTTGACTGGGAATTGAACCAGCGACATCTTGGTGCATGGGTCGACGCTCAACCACTGAGCCACACCGGCAGGACCTGATATTTTCTTTTCCATTCTATTTTATTTTCCCAAAAGAGTGCTACTCCCGATACTGTGCCTGTTGGTTGCAGGGTTCGACAGAAGTGAAGCTGCCCGTGAGACGGGGCAGCATGGGTGTGGTGTTCATGAACAAACTAAAGTTTCTTTTACAGAAGGGAGCTATAATTATGGGAGTACACTTAATTTAAGTAGGAACTGATCTGCACAAGACGAGTGAATTTCGTAGAATACAGCATAAATGGAACAGGTGACATTGTAGAGCAAGGGCTAGAGTTCCCTGGGGGAGGGGTTTATGCGCAGAGCAGCTGGGAGAAATAGTTTCAGGGGAAGCAGTGAGTAGGATCATGTTCTGAGAGAGGAACACTGTTTGGGGGAGAGCAGTCCAGTACTGCTGCTGTAGAAGGATCTCTCATCCCTGTGCAGGTTTTCCTGGGGCTCAGAGGGCGGGGTCCTTTCTGCTTCTGACCAGATACCTGCAGGAGAGCACTTGCAAACTCCTTATTCTGCCTGACTGAAAGGGGCTGGAGACTGTTACGGGGACCAGGTGTGCGCACGTGTGTGTACGTGTACTGAGCAATAAATACATGGATGGCATGGTTCTCTTAAATTTTTCTTTAAATAAGACAATTTTAAGCTATTACATGGAATTTTTTAATTCATTTGATAGATAGTCTTACTATCATCTCTTGTGATAGGATTTAACCAACAGTCAAGTTTGCCTTATACCTTACGTTCACATTGACGACACTGAGAAAAAGCTCTGTGTCTCTTGTACTTCAAAGGAGCTGTGTTCCTTGATCACCGCGATGAGCTTGAGGGAACATACAAGGTTTACTGCCAGAATCACGATGAGGCCATCTCGCTGCTGGACATCTACGAGAAGGACGAGAAGATCCAGAAGCATCTCCAGGACTCGTTGGCAGAGCTTAAGTAGGCGTTTTGAGCACTTCGCTTCCACCACAGCGCTTTAGTTCTGCCTTTGAACGTCACTCCCATGCATACGTCTAGGCTTCTTCTTATGCCCACCCATTCATCTTATTTTAATCATAAATGACATATTATTATAGGTCCTATTAGGTAACTTGCCTTTTCCCATCATACATTACGAAAATCTTAAGCAGCTTTATCCATTTCAGTCACTCTTATCTATACATACATAGTATTAAGTTAGCATTTTCAGGTAAGTAGCCAGGAAGATAGTTTGGTCCAAATAAATAAGAGAGTAGGTAAGAGGAGCAAATTCGATTATTCTCGACCATCAGGTGAGATTCTTATGGTCTTAGGGAGGAGGGTAATGGATATATGAGTAGATCAAAGAGAAATAGGAGCTTACTAACTTTTTACAACAAACTGGGTATGCGACCATAGACATTCATAATTCCTCTCCTATCCTGTGGGATTTTTGTCCACCCAACTCATAGGCATTAATGTTCAACTGAGGTGTCATAAGAAGAATGTGAAAGCCAGCATTGTCGCTAATCAGCTGTCTCTTTCCTTTTCATGCTCACTGCCTTGTAGGAGCCTGTACAACGAATGGTAAGTCCCCTCACCACTGGCATAAACTCATTTCTTTATTTTCTTTCTTTATAGACAGAAACCTAGAAGTAGATTTGCCTTGTTATATTTTTCTCCATAGCACTTTCCACCAAATGACACTTGTAATAGCGCTCTATTACTGCCTGTCCCCTTCCGTCAGGGACTTTGTATGGTCACGTGGCAGCCCGGCACCTGGAACAGTCCCTGGTGTTCTTAGGTGCCCGGTAAACAGGAGAGGGTGAACGTGGAAAGCAGGATGAAAGAACAGCGCTCTGTTTAGGAATAGCACACACTGCCTGCAGGCCCTGCCTTGTCTGTGGACAGTGGACGAATGACTCTGTGTTTCCTTCTCTTTTAGGGGATGCACAAATTATATTAACCTGGGCTCCTTCCTCATCAAACCTGTACAGCGAGTAATGCGTTACCCACTGCTGCTGATGGAGCTACTGAATTCCACCCCAGAATCCCACCCGGATAAAGGGCCTTTGACCAATGCAGTCCTTGCAGTCAAGGAAATCAACGTCAACATTAATGAATATAAACGTCGAAAGGATTTGGGTAAGAAAAGTATACTTGCTACAAAGGAGGTATGCCCTTAAAAATGCTCTCCTTTCCTTTTTTTTTTTTCCCTTCTTTTTTTATCCTCACCCGAGGACATTTTTGCATTTTTATCTTGAGAGAGAGTGGGAGGGAGAGAAGAAGGGTAAGAGAGACACATCGAGTGGTTGCCACCCACACGACCCCAACCGGGGCTGGGGACAAACTGCAACTGAGATACGTGCCCTTAGTCTGAACCGAATCCAGGTCTCTCCAATCTGTGGGCTGACGCTTTAACCGCTGAGCCAAACCGGCCAGGACAAAAATGTTCTCCTTTCCAATTTATTGATTGGAAATGGCTGATCAAGAGTTCCTTCAGGCACGGTGATTGCCTTCTCTGCTCACCGAAGACAATCCTTTTCAATCTGTGATCACATTTGTTTGCTCTGCACATCTGCTTTGCTATTTTACTGTCTCCACTTAAGTTAGGACTTTTGGTCTTCTTCCAGAAAAGTCTCTGGGTCCCATCAGTCCTGCCTATGCCCAGTAACCTTCCTCTCTGGTCTGAGCCCTTTTCTTCCCCTCCCAACACTGTACAGTCAGTTTCCAAACCACCGACTCCCTTTAGAATGTAGAATGAACTGAACCATTTCTTTTCTTTTTCATCAAATGTCTTATTGAGGCTCTAATTTGAACACTCGAGTGGTATGGTGACCATGCTAAACTGATGCACTATTGATATCCTCAGAGTCAGTAATACAGCACAATCTCTTTGTTCTCCACTCTTTTCCCCACTTTACCTGAAACCTTTTCTCTGCCTTCTACTTCAGCCATTCACCCACGTTCATATGTCATGTTGCTTGTGGCTGTAAAAGCTTTCTGGCCACCCAGCCCTCTGTCTTGGTTCCTATCTCCTGATGTAATGTCATTCACCTTCCACAGTGATAACGTGTGTCGTTTCTGCCACCCCCAGCCTTCCCTTCCGGCCCTTCTGTTGTGATCTCCAGTGTTTTCTGCGGATTGTGCCCACTGTATGGCACAGTGGTTAGTAAATAACTCCTGTAGAGCAATTTACTGTGTGAGGTAATTGGATGTAAATATCTCATTTGTATATGGGTGAGACCATTTAAGATGGTCCTATAAGGCAAGTATTGTTATTTTCTTTTTTTTAATCCTCACTCAAGGATATTTTTCTATTTATCTTCACATAGAGTGGGAAGGAGGTAGAGAGGAAAAGAGAGAGAGAGAGAAACATCGATGTGAGAGAGACACATTGACCGGCTGCCTCCTGCATGACCCCAGCTGAGGCTGGAGACGAACTGCAGCTGAGGTATGTGCCCTTGGCTGGGATTGAACCCAGGACTCTGATCCTCATTGAAATCAGCACTAGCTCGGGTTGTTAGTCTTGCTTTGTAGCCCGTTCTGTAGTCTTCTGTGCTCAGGAAAGAGCTTTCTTAGCTCACCGTTGACTCACTCCCTAGTTCTCAAGTACCGGAAGGGCGATGAAGATAGCCTCATGGAGAAGATTTCTAAACTGAACATCCACTCCATCATCAAGAAATCCAACCGAGTTAGCAGTCACCTGAAGCACCTCACCGGCTTTGCTCCACAGGTGAGGGTCCTGCACTTAAAGGTGCAGCATGTCTTTGGCAGCTTCTCAGGGCTGCGCGGGGCAGCCTACATTGGCGTCAATTGGCATGATCCCCTCTGAGCGCCTCCCCTTGTGTTCGCTGGCTAGTGTATACCGGATCCTGCAGCTGCTGGTGATGTCAGTCCACCCACGCAGCCCTCTGTCCATGCCGGTGAGCTGCCAGTGTGCAAAAGCAAATCAGAAGGGCAATGATTACTGTGGTTTTAGACACCCATGAGAAGCTTATAATTTATGTAAAGACAAAATTAAAATTGCAGACTTATTAAGCTAGAAGGGATTTGAGAGCTCACCTAAATTCAACACCATGTGTCACACATTAGGAGATATGAAGTCTGAGGGTGTTGAGTGACTAGAAAAACTATTTATGGACAGTGCTGGGGATACAGCCGAAGTCTTTAGGCTTCATTCACTCTACCGTGTGTACCCAATACCAGGAAGGGAAAATGCAAGCCAGAAAGAAGTCAGTTGCTAAGTTTGGCCTTTGTTCTCTGCACGCTGTCATGCCTAAGAAAACATGAGCTTCATGTTGGCAAGAGATTTAATCTGAGCCTTAAAAGAAGGAGACAGGTGGGCATAGGGAGAGGCGAGGGCATACCTGGCAAGGCAACGACACCGGGCGAAGGCACAGAATCCACAGGTGTGGCAGGTGCCAGAGAGATTGGTGGAGAGAGCAGCCCGACCAGAGCCAAGGATCTCCATCCGGAGCGGAGGAGGCAAGGTGTGAAGGCAGGGGCCCTTAGATACTTTACAGATCTCTCAAAGCCATGTAGAGGGGTTTACGTTCAGTTGAGTATGATTCAGGGGAACATCAAAGGTTCAAAATACAAACAAAAGATGTTTTTAAGAAAGATACTTTTGCCAGTAAGAGTTTTTTTTTGTTTGTTTTTTATCCTCACCTGAGGACATCTTTCCATTTTTTGTTCAGATAGAGTGGGAGGAGGGAGAGAGAGAGAGAGAGAAACATCGACGTGAAAGGGACACATGGAGTGGCTGCCACCCGCACGACCCAACCAGGGCCGGGGACAAACTGCAACCGAGGTACGTGCCCGTAGTGGGAACCAAACCCGGGTCTCTCTGGACCGCAGGCCAACGCTCTAACCGCTGAGCCAAACCGGCCAGGGCGCCAATAAGGTAGATTGAGAGAGAGTTCAAATCAGCTAACAGCACTGGTTTATTTTGAACAGATAAAAGATGAAGCATTTGAAGAAACAGAAAAGAACTTCCGCATGCAAGAAAGGTTGATCAAATCGTTTATCCGAGACCTGTCCCTCTACCTCCAGCACATCCGGGTGAGTGAGGACGCCGCTCCACTTAGGGTCAGACGCGGTGCCATTCGGTTCGCTGCCCTGTGCGTCCAGCTTAGTGTTGAATGTTGAGCAGTCTGGGTTCAAATGACCCCTACGCCATTGCGTACTTTTATTGGGATTCCTAGAGGCTATTTAAAAGTTAAATAACCTTTAGAAGATCAGCGCTGTTGTATTGATTTTAAAGTGGCCCAGCTCTTCCTCCCTCTCAGCCTTCCCACCACCTTTATTACCGTCTCCTGTATCCGGCTATGCCCGAAGCACGTAACACAATTCGTCTCGTCACAACCATATGAAGGTAGAATAGAAAGAGAACAGTTCCTGTGGAGGTCTTTTAATAATAATATTCGTTTCCAACTTACTTAGTTGCTCTTCAGGAGGCCTGTAAAGTTGTTCCAACCATGACGGTCTGCAGAGCCGGAGGAGGTGCGGCGGTCGGGCCCGGGCACCTGCCTGTCCCTGCGCAGGATTTCCTTCCTGAAGTCAGGCCCAGGACCGGTTCCTCGCAGTCACACTTCTGATTTCTCTACTGATCTTACAGAATGGTGTTTGTGTACATATATGATATATCCCTGTCCCTCACACATGAACATCTCATCCTATGAAACAGTTTTCTTAAGAAGAGGTCCTTTGTTTTAAAAAAATCATTTTTGTTTAAACTAAGTAAAATGGTATAAAATTCAAACGGTACCAAAGGGATAAGTAAAAAGTAAAAATAATGACTCCTCCTGCCCCTGTCTTCTAGTCATCTTTCATAGAGGCAGGTGGCATTTATTAGATTCTTCTCTCCTACTGTGTGTGTGTGTGTGTGTGTGTGTGTGTGTGTGCGCGCGACACTGTTGAGTATCTTAGGGTTTGCTCTCAATAGCACCATTTGGGAAGTCAGCCCATACCTGGACACACAGAGCTTCTTGCTCTTTCATTTCTTTACAACTGCATAATATTTAATTTTACGGACATGCCATAATATATTAACTAATCCTCTATTGATAGTTATTTAAATTGCAGTTGCAAAAGATTAGAAACCTTGGCACAGGAATATCCTTGTAGATCTATGTGAGTGTATCTGAAAGCCTAGAGTACTAGATTTTTTTTTTTACATTTAACTTTAGAATTGGAAAGAGAGAGAGAGAGAGAGAAACATCAATGTGAGAGAGACACATCGATTGGTTGCCACCCACATGACCCCAGCTGGCCATCGATTCTAAATGACAGCTTTGCAGGATAGAGTAATCTTGGTTGTAGGTTCTTGCTTTTCAGCACTTGGAATATTTGTTGCCACTCCCTTCTGGCCTGCAAAGTTTCTTTTGAGAAATCAGCTGACAGTCTTATGGGAACTCCCTTGTAGGTAACTAAATGCTTTTCTCTTACTGCTTTTAAGATTCTCTTTTTGGCCCTGGCCAGTTTGGCTCAGCAGATAGAGCGTTGGCCTGCGGTCCAGAGAGACCTGGGTTCGGCTTCTGCTAAGGGCATGTACCTCGGTTGCAGTTTGTCCCTGGCCCTGGTTGGGTCATGCAGGTGGCAGCCACTCCATGTGTCCCTTTCACATTGATGTTTCTCTTTCTCTCTTCCTCTCTCTCCCTCCTGCTCCATCTGAGCAAAGAATGGAAAAATGTCCTCGGGTGAGGATAAAAAGAAAAAAAAAAAGATTCTCTCTTTGTCTTGAACCTTTTGCATTTTGATGATGATGTGTCTTGGTGTGGGCCTCTTGGGATTCATCTTGTTTGGGACTCTCTGTGCTTCCTGGACTTATATGTCTGTTTCCTTCACCAAGTTAGGGAAGTTTTCTGTCATTATTGTTTCAAATAGGTTTTCAATTTCTTGTTCTCTCTCTTCTCCTTCTGGCACCCCCAAGATGAGAATGTTGGCACACTTGAAGTTGTCCCAGAGGATCCTTACACTATCCTCATTTTTTTGGATTCTTTTTTCTTTTTGCTGGGTGTTTTTTGCTTCCTTATATTCCAAATCGATGGTTTGCTTTTTGGCTTTACCTACTCTACTATTGAATCTGTGTAATTATTCTTTATTTCAGTTAGTGCCTCCTTCATTTCTGACTGCCTCCTTCATTTCTGACTGCTCCTTTTTTATGCTCTTGAGGCCCTCACTAAATTCGCCGAGGTTCTCACTAAGTTCATTGAGCATCCTTATAAGCAGTATTTTTAACTCAGCATCTATTAGGTTGCTTATCTTTATTTCGCTTAGTTCTTTTTCTGGGGTTTTGTTCTGTTCTTTCATTTGGGACCTGTTTCTTTGTCTCCTCATTTTGGCTGCCTCCCTGTGTTTGTTTCTATGTATTGCTTAACGAGAAGTATGGGGCTAGCTGAGATCAGATGCTGCTTATTTGAAAGAATTTAGGAAAACCTGAAGCAGGATCCAAGACAGGCCAATACTATGTTTAAGTAACTGGCAACAGCTTGGGTGGGCCTGAAAGTTGGGTGGGGCAGGGCCTCAGGGAGTCACCAGGGCGGGGCTACCAGTGTGAGCCAGGTTGCTGGAGTCCCAGATATGGAGACTGTCTGCTGCCCCCGGGAAGGACTCACCAAAGGAACAAAGGTCTCAGACAGCACGTTTGTCCCAGAGAAAGCCCCCTCTCCAGCCCTTGCTCCAGTGCCAAACAGCCTAGTACTTCCCTGTGTGTCTCTGGCGCCTCTCGAGCTGCCTCCCCTCCAAGTTTAGAGGGAGAGAATCTGATAAGTCTGTGCACGGGCCCTTTACAGAGCTGCCTGGGGCTCCAGCCGCTTCAGCCTCCCTGAGCCTCAGTTCCCGCTGGTTTCTCCAGCCAGAAGGTATGGGGACTTCTCTTCCTGGCACTGGAACCCTGAGTGGGGCGCCTGGTGTGGGACAGGGACCCCTCACTCCTAAGGGAGGACCGTCCCAGCCGAGGTGTCCTCCTGATTTTTATCCGCCACACGTGGGTGTGGGACCAGCCCCTCCGCCTCCGCCCCTCCTACCAGTCTGGATGTGGCTGCTGCTTTAATTCCGTAGTTGTAGGACTTCCATTCAACTTGATTTCAGGCGGTTTTGAATGATGGTTGTTCTGTAGTTTAGTTGTAACTTTGATGTGGTTGTGGGAGGACGCAATACCGCGTTTACCTACGCTGTCATCTTGACTGGAAGTTGTCATGACAGTGTAAATTTTGCTAGATACTGTATTGTTAGCATGTGTGTAAAATACATATTAATGTATGAAATGATTTCTCCACCCCTTGCTAACACACATTGTAATCAAAATTAAAATGTCTTATCTTTGTTTGAAAGATAGTTAAAAACATCATGTTTTAATATAGTTTATATTTGCATTTCTTTGAATGAAGTTGAGTATATTTTCGCATTTAAGTCATTATTTTTCTGTGATTTGTTTATATTTTGCAGCACTTATTTATTGATTTGTTAGTCTTTTTCTTGTTGATATGTAGAGCCTCTGTATATATTGGAGAAAATTGCCATATGTCTAAGATGGTTTACAAAAATTTCCCCCCAGTTTGTTGACTTCTGAGTTTGCTTAAATTGTATTTTCTTTGTAGAAATGTTCTATTTTTTTGTAGTCTACTTAGAGGTTTTTTTTTTATGGCTTCTTAGTTCTGTATCACATTTTAAAAGACCTTTCCTATTCTGAGATAATAAAAAACAAGTATCTCTCATGTTTTTTTTTTAATTCAGATAGAGCGGGAGGGAGAGCGAGAGGAAGAGGGAGAGAGAGAAACATCGATGTGAGAGAGAGCCATCAAGTGGCTGCCACCCGCACGACCCAACTGGGGCCGGGGACAAACTGCAACCGAGGTACATGCTCTTAGCGAGAACTGAACCCGGGTCTCTCTGGACCGCAGGCCGACGCTCTAACTGCTGAGCAAAACTGGCCAGGGCTCTCCCATGTTGTAGTACATTTGGCATTTCATTTTTTAAATGTTAAAGTTACTGATTTAGCTGGAATTTAGTCTATAAAATGTTTGAGGTAGGGATTCAACTTTCTTTATTTTCACAACTGGTTATCCACTTATCATCATTTATTGAGTAATAATCCCCCTGATTTGAAATGCCCCCTACATTTCCTTTAAATATCAAATTCTTTCCCTTCATGTTTTAAAATGTAATTAGGTAAAAACTAGGGGTTATGAAACTTTTAAGAAATATAAGGAGCACATTGGCTTCCAGTGAGAGATTTGGCAAAAAAATATTGGGACAACTACTAAGTATGTTCTCTTGTCTGAGGACTTGACCTACAATTCCTTCATTTGGTGCCCCCTGTTGGTTGTTTTTTCTCCATGTTTTCTAAATGTATAGCAAGTATATACCTGGGCCTCCAAATCTTAAAATGCTTATCTCGCCCTGGCCGGTTTGGCTCAGCGGTTAGAGCGTCAGCCTGCGGTCCAGAGAGACCTGGGTTCGGTTTCCGCTAAGGGTGCGTACCTTGGTTGCAATTTGTTCCCGGCCCTGGCTGGGTTGTGCAGGTGGTAACCACTCAATGTGTCCCTTTCATGTCAATGTTTCTCTCTCTTTCTTTCTCTCTCTCCCTCCCACTCTATCTGAACAAAAAATGTCCTCGGGTGAGGATTAAAAAAAAAAAAAGGCTCATCTCTGTAGCAACCGGTGGAAGCACTTTTAGGTGGACACGTGTGACATTGACAGTGGACATTAAGGGGGAAATGCTGAACAGTTTTGTCACTGACGTGAGATGGAAAAGCCCTGCCAGTAATAACGTGAGCTAGCAGAGTGGCTGATAGAGAGCCAGCAAGAGCAAATGCTGAGGGCCACTGACTACGTCACTTGGTCTTCATGTCGACATATGGACTGATGTTTTGCAACTTGACAACATTCCTTTAAAGAAATATAAGAGGACATCATGCTTCACACTAGTTCCCCCACTCGGGTGGAATTAGAAGGATTCCCCACTTTATCTTCCAGCAAAACTCTGGCTTTATTTATATGTACAGAGAAAGGACTTACAGACAAATAGGTCAAAAATGTGGTGGAGTAAAATATCAAACCGATGTATGAGGCACTGATAGTTTTGGCTTAGGGACTTAATTTACCCTGGAAATATATTAATGGAGTTCTAGATTTTATTTAGGTTAACATCAAAATAATAAGCTTTCTTTGGACTTAAATGGCCCAGCATTGTTTCAAGTAGCCAAAGAAAACCGGCCTGGGATTTAAAAACCGTTAGGATCAGTCACAAGGTATTTCCTTTGCATTCACTTATTTTTATTTTTATTTTTCATTTGTTTCAGCATCGTTACAATTGACTGTTGCCTTCACATTAATAAGTTAGTGTGTAAAGAGGTATTTTTGCAAGGAAGAAAGCAGCTAGAGCCCTCGTCATGTGTGCCCTAGTGGGTGAAGGGAGCAAGGTTGTAATTCCCACAGGGCAGTGGGCAGTTGTTTTAAGAAGGTGACAGCATGCGCCAAGGCTCGAGGAGGAGAGCTGATTGTTCATTATCATAATCCTGCAGGGATCTTCTTGACTCTAATTTAATAATTTACTTTTTGATGCATTAAGAAACCCTCAAATTAGGGACCCAGGGAAATGCTAAAGAGATGATAAAAGCCCTCACCAGTTTTCTCATAATTAAACATCTTAGGCTTTTCCCTGTGCCCATAAATCATAGTTTTGAGAATATGCTTGTTTTAAAGCTAAAATGCTACACTATAGAGAAAAATTTTGATTCCAGAACCCCTTTTCCCCAGACTGCTCTCTGAGATGAATGATGAAGGCTGTTCCATTTGATCTTACTGTGTTTGCTTCCGACTGGCTCCAGGAGTCGGCCTGTGTGAAAGTGGTGGCCGCTGCCAGCATGTGGGACGTGTGCATGGAGAAGGGACACAAGGACTTGGAGCAGTTCGAGAAGGTGCATCGCTACATCAGTGACCAGCTCTTCACAAATTTTGTAAGTCACTGTTTTCAACATACTTCTCTGCATCCTTTTCGTGGGTGGGTCCTCTTTCTGGGGTTCTCTGACATCCAGTTCATGGAAAAGTTAATTCCACAAAGACACGCTTTGTGCGTCAGGAGTCCTGGCCGTCCTTCAGGATATTGGTATCAGGATTTTATATTCAAAACATGACTTCAGTGAGTTCAGTGGACAGGTAGGACCTGCATGTATTCACATAAATTTTTTCGTAGCTTGTGATCAACCTGGTTCCAGGGGACCAAGGAAATATAATCGTGGATCACTATTGATAACTCAGATCAGAAGAAAGCAACTATTGCCCTGGCTGGTTGGCTCAGCGGTTAGTGTTGGCCCACAGACCAATGAGTCACGGGTTTGATTCTGGCAAAGGGCACGTACCTCGGTTGCAGTTCGTCCCGGCCCTGGTCGGGGTTGTGCAGGAGGCAGCCAGTCAATGTGTCCCTCTCTCTCTCCCCTCCTTCCTCCCACTCTATCTGAAGACAAGTGGAAAAAATATCCTCGGGTGAGAATAAAAAAAAGAAAGAAAGAAAACAACTATTAGAATAACTTAAAAAGGAATATTTAGGGATTGCTAAGTTTTTAACAGACAGATCTTTGAGACTGTACAAACTACAAAGAAATTACTAACGGCCAAAGTGCTTGGGAATTGTAAATAGGTATACAGTTGACCCTTGGACGGCACGGGTGGGAACTGCACAGGTCCACTTATACAGACTTTTTTCAACATATACTGTAAACGTATTTTGTTTTTCTTATGACTTTCTTAATAACATTTTCTTTTCTCTAGCTTGCTTTATTGTAAGAATACAGATTATAATACATACAATATACAAAATATGTGTTAATTGGCTGCTGGTAAGGCTTCTGGTGAATAATAGGCTTATAGTAGTATAGTCTTTGGGAAATCAAAAATTATACGTGGATTTTCAGCTGTGCAGGAAGTCGGTACCCCTAACTCCTGTACTGTCCAAGTGTCAGCTGTATGTAGTATTTGTTTGGTCCCAAGTAGAAGGAAATGTGTGGGGTTGATAGTGTCTTGGAAATGTCTGGATGTCTTGAAGCTGAAGAAAATGTGCACACTCAGGGAACTTACAGGTGTTCTAACATTAGCATTTTAAAAAAAGAACTTAGTACCTATTTACATTTTTTATGTGTCAATACCCTGCCCTCAGTGTCTGTCCCACTGGAAAAAATTAAAGAGAAAAATCTTTTGAAAAATGACAGATATTACCAGTTAGTTATGATCAGAAGAGATATTATTGGCGTGAGAAAGTTTCTCTATCCCAGACTTACGTAACAACTAAATCTTAAGTTAAATCCAAGCTACGCAGACACCTGTGCCTGAGAAGTGACCCAGGCTGGCCGGCACATCTGGGTCGCACTGCAGCCGCCACATTCCGTGCACAGGTTAGCTCTCGATTTCAGCTGCAGAGCTAGGGAGGGATTCGCATATCTTGCAGACTCTTTGATGTGTGCACACTGTTGGGTGAAGAGTTAGAAATTGAGAAGTTTTGTGGAATATGTACGTGCATCTGGTGTTGGGTGATTCGGCCCCTTGGATCTGCCTGGGTGGAGCGTGTGCACTGGGAGTAAAGCAGGTGGTACAGGACACAACAAAATCAGCCTGAAGAGTATTTTGGAAAATAACAAATGTGGAATACTGAGCAACGTGCCTTTCTTGTCCCTACAGAAGGAGAGGACAGAGCGGCTTGTCATCTCCCCCCTGAATCAGTTACTGAGCATGTTTACAGGGCCCCACAAGCTGGTGCAGAAGCGCTTTGACAAGCTGCTGGACTTCTACAACTGCACAGAACGGGCGGAGAAGCTGAAGGACAAGAAGACTCTGGAGGAGCTGCAGTCAGCCCGGAACAACTACGAGGCCCTGAACGCGCAGCTGCTGGATGAGCTGCCCAAGTTCCACCAGTTGGCCCAGGGCCTCTTCACCAACTGCATTCACGGCTACGCCGAGGCCCACTGCGACTTCGTGCGCCGGGCTCTGGAGCAGCTGGAGCCGCTGCTCTCGGTGAGTCCCTTACCGCCTGTGCCCCCGCGGTGCAGAATTTATCTCTGAAGTTCTGGTGTTTTTCTGGAAATGCACAGTAGAATGTTTGAGACATTCTTCAAACTAGGTAGATTAAAGACGTTATTAGGTCAAGCCTGTTAGAAACTGGAATTCTTGGTCCCTTGATGGTGCCAGTGAAACCCGTGGCTTGTACGCAGCTGTCACCACCTGAGCAGTCCCCAGGAGAGCCAGCCAACGTACCCACTGGCAGCCTGTCCCTTGCGTCAGGCCGCAGTGTCCGTAGCTTACCCAGTGAGCTGAACGTGAGCTTCCAGTTGGTTGGTTTTATTTTTTTAAATTTATTTCTTCATTGATTTTAGAGAGAGAGGAAGGGACGAGGAGAGAGAGATAGAAACGTTGATGAGAGAAAATCGACCAGCTGCCTCCTGCATGCCCCCCCACTGGGGATCGGGCCCACAACCTGGGCATGTGCCCTGACCAGGAATTGAGCCGGTGACCTCTTAGTGCATGGGTCAGCGCTCAACCACTGAGCCACACCAGCCAGGCTCCAGTTGGTTTTAACAAGACTGTCAGTCCTGGGATCTTTCATCCGTGTTCTCTTCTTTCCTCTATCTCTACTTTTCCCATGGACTCCAGTTACTGAAAGTCGCCGGCAGAGAGGGAAACCTCATTGCCGTCTTCCATGAAGAGCACAGCAGAGTTCTGCAGCAACTCCAGGTTTTCACCTTCTTCCCAGAGGCTCTTCCAGCCACCAAGAGGCCATTTGAGAGGAAGACCATGGACCGGCAGTCTGCCCGGAAGCCGCTCCTGGGCCTGGTGAGTAGAGAGCCGGGGAGGCGACACATGGCCTGGGCGTTAAGACTGAACTCTGGAGCTGGACCATCTGGGTTCAGATCCCGGTACGGACCCTTCACTCCCGTATGTCCTTGTGCCTTGGTTTCTTCACCCCTAAAACACAGATAATAATGATATTGCATCACAGAGTTACTATGAGGTTTAAATGAGTTAATATATGTGAAGCATTAGAAACTTCCCAGCAGTTAGTTAAGCACTATGTAAGTAAGCTATCATCATTGTCATTATTTTTAGTATTGATGGACCCACCTCTGTCTCTACAGATTAGCAATTTAATAGGAGTTTAAATAGGAGAAGAGAAGTCACTGCGTTCTCACCTATCGTGGGCTCACTCGTGCATGTTCTTGCTGTCACTGAGCATCAGTGTGCCTGCCGGGGCCTGTGGTGACGGCCTGCGGTTCCTCGCACCTGGTCTGTACTTCCAGATGCCCCTGAGAAGCCTTCTTGGCTTTTCGTCTGTATAGGGAAAGGAGCTAGCAAACTGTTAGTACTTTGATCCGTTAATGAAGGGGCTCATTTAAGAGTGTGTTAATTCTGCCAGGCCTCCCTTTTTTTTTTTTTTTTATCCTCACCCGAGGACATTTTTTGATATTTTGTTCAGATAGAGTGGGAGGGAGAGAGAGAGAGAGAAACATCGACATGAAAGGGACACATCGAGTGGCTGCCACCCACATGACCCAACCAGGGCCGGGGACAAACTGCAACCGAGGTACATGCCCTTAGCAGGAACCGAACCCAGGTCTCTGGACCGCAGGCCGACGCTCTAACCACTGAGCCAAACTGGCCAGGGCCAGGCCTCCCTATTTTTGATCATGTATTAGAAAGGGTAATTATTTGATTTATTGCCAAACAATTCATGGCTGACTGCTTTTTTACCTGGAGTTATATTTTTTTAACTCAATTTCTCCATATTTTGAAAATTTTGGTAAGATCTGCCAGATTACATCAAGTCATAATCTAAAAGACTGAAGACTTGTCTTTGTTTACAATATTTTTGCCCCATAGAATCTCATAGACATTAATTTAGATTAGCTTAGAAGGGGGGAATCAAATTTATTGTTACTTTTACTTGATTTTGGTTTTATGAATATTATTTGTGTTTATAGATGGGGAAGTCGGCGTGTGGAAAGTCTCAATCATTTAGCTTCATAGAGCAAACCATAAGAAGACCTAGTAATATTAGGTATTTTGAGTCTTTTTTTTTTAATCCTCACCTGAGGACATTTTTGCATTTATCTTCAGATAGAGCAGGAGGGAGAGAGGGAGGAAGAGAGAGAGAGAAACATCGATGTGAGAGAGACACATTGAGTGGTTGCCACCCACACAACCCCAATCGGGGCCAGGGACAAACTGCAACCGAGGTACATGCTGGGGACCCTCTGGTCTGCGGGCCGACGCTCTAACCAGTGAACCAAACCAGCCAGGGCGGTATTTTGAGTCTTTAGGTGGCACTTTAATCACATTTTTTGTCACAAGGTAACAGTAAAACTGAGTGTTAAATTTTCTCAATAGCTACAAGGAAGCAAAGCGTGCCCTAGGCCACCGTGGTTTTACCAGCCACGTGGACTGACAGGAGCAGTGAGCAGCTGGCCGTCGTGGCCCCATTTCTGAGGCTGACAGTGTCGGGGTTCAATAGCTGCGGGGGAGTGGCCAGGGCGGCCTTTGGCTGATGGTATTTCTTGTGTTGCCTTTCAGCCAAGTTACATGCTGCAGTCGGAAGAGCTGCGGGCCTCTCTCCTGGCAAGGTATCCCCCAGAGAAGCTCTTCCTCGCAGACCGGAACTTCAACGCTGCCCAGGACCTGGATGTCTCGCTTCTGGAAGGCGACTTGGTGGGCGTGATCAAGAAGAAGGACCCCATGGGCAGTCCGAACCGCTGGCTGATTGACAATGGAGGTGAGGTGTCAGACGGCAGCTGCTGGCATCTAAATGCGGAAGCGCTGGTTCGGCTCTGCCTGCACTTAGCCGGGCGGGGAAAAACGAGAGGCTTTGATCAAAGGGAAAAATAACCTTGACAGTTCTGTCCATCTCTAGAGAGTGTAATGCCCAAGTCATTACAGAAACAAAACCTGTCTTCAGTGTTGTTTTTACAAATTCCAGAGGAGATTCCATTGTTTACAGCTCTCCCAGCAGGAGGCTGCCTGAGGGGCCTGTGCCTGGAGCAGCCTTCTTCTGAGGCCTGTAGACGTGTTTTATGAGTGTGAATTTAAAACTTGTGAGACAGGGGTTTCGGGTGCTTTTTTAGTTTTCTTCCTGTAACACTCTTATCTCATGACTATTTATGGGATGACTTTAAAAATAGCTCATAGCTTTTTTTTTTCTGGTCGGGGGCATGGGGAAGGGGTTCAGAATTTAATGAAAAGTGCAAATAATAATAATGATCCATAATCCTTTCCCCACAATTCTAAAATCTGAAAAGCTTTGAAAAATCAAAGGGTGTTTTTTTAGAATTTATTTGGCAAAACCGAAACAAAGTGATGTGAGGCTGTTTATATTCGTTGCTTATCCCTTTTGGTGTGAAGAGCCGTATGTTTTGCTACAGAAACATTGGTAGCTTTGAATATAGGGTGTTGGCTCAGACCCTGCTGGGGATATTATGGAATGTATAATATAGGTACTTGATTACCTCCCCAAATCCAGAACTCTAAACTCCGGAACACATCTGGTCCTAAGCGTCTTAGATACGGATGTGGGCATATAGCATAAACGTCTATGTTCACACTGTTGGAGCTGAACATTTTTCAGTTTTTTTTTTAAGTATTTGTGGATTCTCCCCCTCTCTCTACTCCTTCTTACCCAAAAACTAGAGATTGAACTGGGAAAGGAAGGACGAAGGCTGGGCCTTCCAGGGTGGTGCAGGCGAGAGCCCTGGTGGGTTCCTGGGCAGGTGAGTCCCCGTAAAGACCCACGCTGTTCAAAGGGCTCCTTCTTCCTTGGGGTCTGTATTGACGCGACCCCAATAAGTACAGTGGTAGCAGGATCGGGATGAGCTGTCACCCTCTTGCCCTCCCACCTGCCCAGAGGCCCCCCATCATTTGGCAGATAGAGGAATGGGGGCTGGCCCTTTCTTAGCTGCCGGACACACAGGGAGGGTAGACAGGTGGCTGTTGCTCACATGGGGTTACACACCCTGGGTCCCTGCCTTGACAGCGCTTTCCCCTCAACATTAAAACACACGTTTCTGTGCACTAAGGATCTCAGGTCCCCATTTATGCTCCAAAGTTTTAGCCGAGGGCCTTGTCATCATTTAGGCAACTAATTAAAGTGCACACGTGCTGTACATGTGTCATGTGTGTATTGTAATGAATATAAGCAGCTTCCCCCTTGGACGGTGCTCACAGCATTCCCACTGCTTCCCTAAACCAGAGTCGGGGTTCACAGCTGCAGCTGGAGATGGGCAGGGAGGCATCTCCCTCCTCACCACACTGTTGTATGTGAGCACATCCTCGAAGTTGGCCCTTCGTCCTTTTTCCATGCTCTGGATATCCTGTGAAATAGTCTTCGTGTGCTCCTTCTCCGGCCTGCCGTTTTGATGACTGTCCCCGTGACTGTCCCCAGGCCTCCTCATCACTCGTCTGTTCCGAGGCTGTGACAAGAGCGCCTGGCAGGCAGTTACTGCGTTTCATCTCTGCCCACCACACTGCACCCTGGGAGTGAATGTCGAATCTGTTTTGTCACGGGGCGTCTTATTTTGTGTCTCTCACTGCGGACCCAGCTTTTAAGCCCTAGTTTCTCTCTGTTGGTCCCCCCTCCCTCCTCCTACTAAAAGCTGCTCCTGTCTGTTCTCCTGCAGTCACCAAAGGCTTTGTGTACAGCTCCTTCCTGAAGCCCTACAACGCCCGTCGCAGCCACTCCGACGTCTCTGTCGGCAGCCACTCCTCCACCGAGTCAGAGCACAGCGGCTCCTCCCCGAGGGTCCCCCGGCAGAACAGCAGCAGCACCTTGACCTTCAACCCCAGCAGCATGGCTGTCTCCTTCACATCCGGGCCTAGCCGAAAACAGCCTCAAGATACATTTTCATCGAAGGAACTTGACCAAGGAGCTCTTGACGCTTCCTTAAACGTGGGGAGTCCAGAGAGCAGTCCTTCCAGCTGCCCTTCCGACCCGAGCTCCACCTCCCAGCCCAGGCCCTGGGACTCCGCAGATGTGGCCCGAGACGTGGACCAGCCTGCCCCCGCCCCGAGGAGCTACCGAAGCTCCAGGCATCCAGAAACGGCTGCCTGCTCCGTCCCAGGGCGAAACGGGCAGGGGAAGGACCTCGTCAAAGGATGTGCAAGAACGGCCCAGTCTCCGGAAGACAGACACGAGCCAGAAAGCAGTGAGGCCGAAGGCAACCAGGTGAGTGCCCCCTACTCACCATGCAGGCAGGTGTGCTGTGGGTGCAGGTGATGCTTTTCCAGGAGAGGGTGGGGCAGAGGCTTTCCCGGGCTTGGGTGTGGTCTGGAGGCGGGCTCACCGACCGATGTTGCAAAGCACACAGGAATCCCAGTAGTGAGAGTGAGCAACTCCACCTCCTGGGCCTTTCTATGGCGACCTCTCGTGGGCTGCTTCTGAGCCCCTGCCTGTGTCGTGGGCATTTCCAAGGTGTTACGATGAAAGCCTTCCCCACTCTTCCAATTCACTATTTCCTTAGTGTATAAGTCTACTGTTTAACCCTTTATTTGTTTTTTTATTCAAGTACTGTGCTTTTAGTTCTAGAATTTAGAAATAAAATCTGGCTCTGTTTCAGATTTTCCTATTTCTTTTGTAATAGCCTTTTTTTGTCTTGGGGATTGAATGTAGCCTTTGTATCTCGAGCATTTAAACCTGCATATTTTAAAGCCACTTTCAGATTCACAACTGGGGAGTCCCTGGCTCGCTCTTGTGCCTTGGCTCGGCCTGCAGCGGTGAGCTGTCCCGTCTGTGAGCTCGTCTCCCGTGGGGGCTGACTTTGTTGAGAGTCGGTCGTGCCCCAGGCTGTGGAAGGGTTTGCCTTTGCCAAGCTCCGGATTCCAAAGCACCAGTTTTCACACTCGTTTTTAGCTCAGACTTTGCACACGGCTTTCTTCAGTGCAGATGAGCTGTTCTCCCAGGACACGCATCCCCGTTCTGGACCTGCCAGGGGACACTTTGTCCTGACACGTGGAGGGAGAAAGTGGCTCTTTTTTAGATTCTGCCTTTGTATGAGAAGCTCAGTTCAAGCCTCATCAGCTCCTGTCCCCAACCATGTCCTAAAACCCCGGCCTCGGGTCGCATTCATCCTCGGGCCCAGCGGCCTCAGGGCTTCTCCTGGTCACTGAGCACCACCTGTCTGCATGGTGTCTGTTATTGGCACCTGGAGGCCATCTTCTTAGCTTTGAGGTTAGGGGTGTGGGTGTGTGTGTAAGTTTTTGAAATTTAGAGCTTCTATGTTTAGGGTATGGACGGGAGTCCTTGCATCTCATCCACCTTCCATATTGACTGAGTTCCTTGAAGGCAACTCTGATGTGAGTTTTGGTTTTCTTTGACTTTGTCTTGTCCATTATGGTAGCCACCAGCTATACATAGCTAATAAATGATATAATTTAAGTTTACATTAGTTAAAATGAAACAAAATTTAAAAATGAAGTTCCTCTGTCCTGCTAGCCGTAGTTTGGGTGCTCAGTCGCCCTGCGTGTGGCAGGCCGGAGTGGCGGTGACACGGCACCACAGCTGCAGACCGTCGGCTTCTCCGGGAAGCTCCGCCCGACAGCACCCTCCGGCAGTTCCCCTGGTCTCACTCCTTTTGTTCTTCCACACACAGGTCTATTTTGCTGTCTATACCTTCAAAGCACGGAACCCAAATGAGCTGAGTGTGTCAGTCAATCAGAGACTGAAGATCCTGGACTTTAAAGATGTGACAGGGAACACAGAATGGTGGCTGGCCGAAGTTAGTGGGAAGAAGGGCTACGTTCCGTCCAATTATATTCGCAAAACTGAGTACACCTGAGCTGGTCCGCTTCCCACTCGGCCTGCTGCCCACACCTCCTGCTGGAGGGGCCTGGTGGTCCGCCAAGGGGCACCTGCTCCGGAGACACGGGCCCGTCCGTACTGCTTACCCATGCCGCAGGGGGCACAAGGCACGTCTTGTTCTCCTCGACTGGGTTCTCAGCCTTGATGCTCACTAGAATTTCTAGAATTTGCAGTGAACCCTAGGGTTTGAAAATAATTTCGTGACCATAAGAAGAGTGGCACGTCCCTCTGGGGTCAGCCTGTGGAAATGAGAAATGTCCCATCAGAAGACCAGTGTCCTGTGCATGCGGGGAGCTATGCAATAGCGTTAGAAGATGTTGGCACTGGTTGTGCCGTATGGATTTTGGGGTGGCCCCATGCGTCACGATCACTTGACAGAAACTAGCTTGATGAAGAGAATTCTCCGGAAGCCCTTGAGGCTGTGCCCCTCCTTGTGGTGAGGAGTTCACGGAGCTTGTATCAGTTCTGGTGTTTCAGAGCCTCGGTGCCTGGCGCACACGCTCACATATATGCCCACTGCAGTTCCCAATCATCCTGAAAACACTACCTTGTGTGATCTTTTCCTTCTTTTGCTGCATTTCCAGATTGGTTGTGCAACGTTGGACTGCTTTCTTTCTCCTTTTGAAAAGCATTTAGTGTCTTTATTTTTCTTCGATCTTTATCCGAAAGGTTCTTGTTTCTTTGAGGTGCAGTCGTCTACACCTTTCTGCCAGTTCATCCCTACTGTATTCAGCCTGTGTGTGATCATCTCTCTGGGCCCTCTCTTCTGCTGCCCAATAACTGATAGATTTTCTGAGAACAGGGTCAGAGCTCCAGCCATTCTGTTAAAAGGATTTGCTCTAGCCCTGGTCAGTGTGACTCAGAGGTTAGAGTGTCGGCCCATGCACTGAAGGGTCTCAGGTTTGATTCCCTGTCAAGGGCATGGACCTGGGTTGCAGGTTCCATCCCTGGCCCTGGTTGGTGCATATGCAGGAGACAACCAATCAATGTGTCTTTCTCACATCAATGTTTCTCTCTCTCCATCCCCCACCTCTCCCTACAACTCTCTTTAAAAATCAATGAAAAAAATATTCCCAAGTGAGGATCAATGACAAAGAAAGGATAAAGGATTCACTCCACAGTGAGCTGAAACCAGCCCAGGCGGTGGAAGACTGGATGCCTTTCTCTTTCACTCGAGCACGGTACTGTCCTATCCAGATGCAGAAAACTGACTCATGTCTTGTTTGAATTAGGACACACAGTCCCAGCAGTAGCTGATCCTAGACTTGGAAGTAAGCATTGTCCGTTTCACCTCCAGCCTCCATGTTTCAGAGACCACAGTCTCAGCCAAAAGTGCCTGATCGCACCTTTCTTCGGCCTCAGGAAGACGCTTGCTAGTCCTCACGTGAACACTCTCCCCGGACGTTTTCCTTGAGCAGGGCTCCTATTCAAGGTCTGCCCCAGTGTGAGGCCCGCCTTGGAACAGGAAACTATGAATTTTGTCGTAAGGGAATTAAGACCAGCCTTATAGCCCTTGCTCCACCAAGTGCACCTTCGGCCTAAACGTGCTGCCGAGTCGGGAGACCCCTGTGGACCCCGCACCCCCATGCGTCTGCAGGTTGGTCAGAAGGCAGCAATGCGAGCCTCTTGTGAATAGTGTTTATATTTAGAGATGTTTCTATTGAAGTAGTTATTTTATAAATAAAAGCATTTCTAAGGACCATGAGTACGTGTTCTTGATCTCCCTCCATGTTGAGCCTGATCCTCCCTCTCGGATCTCCGAGGGTACCGTCCTGACAACTAAGTGACCCCCAAGTTCTAGGAGATGGGAGAGGCTGTCTGAAGAAGTTCAAGTAAAAATGTATTTGTCAAATGTGATATCAGCAGAATTACTGTATCCTCTAAAGAGGTCCGTGCTGCAGACGATTGTTTCTTTATTTTAAGCCATTTGATATGATAACATCCTGGCAGAAAGAAGAGTTGAATTCTCTAAGCTGGAATTCCTAAGAGGTTAGCGTTTTCCTGATGTTACAGATGTGGAAACTGGAGCATCAGAGGCTAGGAGGCCATGCGGCAACGGATGGGCAAGGTTGGTGGAGGGGAGACGGGTGGGATTGAGGATGACGAGTGTGTGACAAGCAATCGCATGATGTGAAGGGACAGAAATCGTGGTTGCATAGAGAAACCTCCAGGTCAGCTTTCATTTCATGGTTAGGAAAACGGGGTCCCACGCCATTGCGGCTGGCTCACATCAAGTTTGATGGATCCTGCATTTAAACGTGGGCCACAGGCTCTCAAGCTGAGTCTTGACACCTTATTCTGAAGCCAGACTGTCCGACTTCAGACACTTAAGAGCTTCCTGACCTTGGTAACTCTCTAACTCTGCTTCTGCTTCCTCGCCTAAGGCAGAGATACACTGTCCTCGTGGAGCGGTTGTGGACGGAGTGAGCCGCTGCACGGGGAGGGCAGAACATCACCCGACACGCCGTACCCAGCGCCTTGGCTCACCTTCGGCGCCCAGGCCAGGCGCTCAGGCTGGAGGGTCTGGTAACAAAGTCCTGTGGGTTCTCCAGAGGCTTCACTGAGGAAGGCTGAATGACAGCAGGGTGATTTGGAGGGAGGAAGATTAAAGGCAAGAAAATGTAATTATTGGGAGAAAGGTAACTGGGCAGAAGATGGCTTGAGAGTAGAAAAAGGCAGCATCCTATAAAGAACACGAAATTAAAGAAATGATGGACTCACTGGCAAAAGGGAGGTCATTGGGGTCAGAGCAAGTGTATGAAAAGGTGGGTTTTGTTTTAAAACGCTAGATGTCTCCTCCTTCGGTGTGGTCTTCAGACCAGCAGTGTCACTATCACCACGACCTGGGGCTGGGAATGCAGGCCCCGCCGAGCCAGGCCCCAGGTGGTTCGTGTGTTCAAGGTTGAGAAGCATCCGAGTAGGCAATCTCTTTAATGAAACATTGGACTATCAGGAAAGTAGGAGTTAATGAAACCAGGAAGGAAAAGGGTGTCAGATGCTTCAGATACAACAGAAGGAAATGTTATTGAAGCAGAGTGCCAACTGCGGTTTCCCTGCTTACTTCCTCTCTTGGATTTTCTCCCTTTCCTGTCTGGAAGCAGCTCTTCCGTTGTGTTTCCATTCAAGAGCCCTAGGAGAACGGAGTGGGGGTTGGGGAAATCTATCATCTGTAAAGTGCAGATTTCTGGCCTCAAGATGATTGCGAAAATCAAATAAGATGATGTCTGCAAATTTTTGTGCACTGTGAGTTCTAGAAGTACATGGTTTTAATAAGGATTGAATTTTGTGTCACACTGTTTTAATTAATTGCGAAGCTGAGACTGTTTACGTGGGTTTTGTTTCAGGATCAGGAATATAAATACGCCCTGGAAGGGCTCTGAATTCTCTTTCACTTGCAGAAGCTGAGGCTTGAGGACCAAGAAGCTTGAGATTTATATGTAGTATTCCAAATCCTCCAGTCACCAAGCACTGCTCACGGGGTTGTTAGTTCTCCACCTGTTAGTATGTAGCATTGGTGTCTTCACTGTTTCACCGCTGTGTTGTGGCAGACGCCCCATTTCACGGAGCAGTCTGTGCCCTGCTGTATTTCACTGAGCCCATGGAGGCTTCCTGCAGTTAGTGAGGTTAATGTTAGTGTTTTGCATGTATCAAAAAGGGGGTTTTCCACCAAAAACTAGACTTTTCAAGCTACATAGGGCTGTCCATTTCTTACCACCACTCAGAGGTGAGCCTCAGGAGAAAGGGGTGCACTCGGTGCTTGCCCAGAGGTAAGTGGGGTGGGGGTGGGGTGGGGTAGGGGAGGGAGGAGCCCCCTGGTTTAGGGCAGCAGCAGTGTGTTCATTCAGGGACCATTCACTGGAAGCAGGCGGGCACGCGGGGCTCCGCGGCCCACCGGGCTGGACCCCTGTGCCGAGGTGTTCCCAGGGCCCGAGGGGAGTGAGGCGCCAAGCCGTTCCCGCGGCGGCCACTTCTCAGGTCCAGGGTCCGGGAAGCTGACAGAGAGACTCCTGATCTGTGTGTCCCCCAACCGTGAGAACACGCCTCACTTTGACCAGGGACCTTCCTATAGCCTCTCCGATGAGGTCAAAAGCAGATTACCTCCAAATATGACCAAGCTGAATAAGATCTTCACAATCTGATAGAAGGGTGACAGATATGAGCATTGAAACCCACCTTTCGCTGGGCTTAAAAGCTGGCATAATCCTCTACAAACTCAAACTACAGCGGGATTCAGAGAAGATCAGTCAACTGTCATACTGACCTCAGTGGGAGAGTATTAGCAATTTTATCAGAGCTGTATGGGCTTATGGTATTGTATTAGTTTCCTATTGCTGCTATAATAAATTACCACACATCTGTGGCCTAAAACCACACAAGTTTATTATCTTACAGTTCTGGAGGTCAGACGTTCCAAATCTGTCTCCCTGGGCCAAAGTCACGGTGTCAGTAGGGCTGGTTCCCTCTGGGGCTCCAGGGGGGACTGTTTCCTTTTCCAGCTTCTAGAAGCTGCCTGTATTCCTTGGCTTATGGCCTCTGCCTCCATCTTCAAAGCCAGCAGCATAGCATCTTCAAATGTCTGTTTCTCATCTCATTGTCTTTGTTCTAACTGACCTTCCTGGCTGTCATGAAAATTCTAATGACTACATAGAGCCCAGCTGGATACTCTCCCCATCGCAATATCCTCAGTCACATCTGCAAAGTCCCTGTTGCCATGTAAGGCACAGACTCATTTGTTTTGAGGATTAGGACTTGGACATCTTTGGGGACCATTTTATTCAGCACAGGAATGAAGTCATGGCATTTTTTTAGGCCAGTAGTCTTTTTCCACTCATTTTTTTTTTTTTTTTATCCTCACCCGAGGACATTTTTTGGTATTTTGTTCAGATAGAGTGGGAGGGGGAGAGAGAGAAACATCGACGTGAAAGGGACACATCGAGTGGTTGCCACCCACACGACCCAACCAGGGCCGGGGACAAACTGCAACTGAGGTATGTGCCCTTAGCGGGAACCGAACCCGGGTCTCCGGACCGCAGGCCGACGCTCTAACCGCTGAGCCAAACCGGCCAGGGCCTGTTGTCTTTAAGACTGGAAACGACCTACCCCAGGCTCCACCAGTGCTCCTGGAGCAGGGATCAGGCAACCTTCCCGGGAAAGGCCAGCTGTACGTAATTGGGCTTGGCAGGCCATTCAGTCTGTCACCACTCCTCAGCTCTGCCATCGTAACACAACAAAGCAGGCGCAGATGATACAGAAACCAGTGAGCATGGCTGTGTTCCAAAAAAAAAAAACTTTATTGACAGAAACAGCAGGACAGATTGGGCCCTGGAGCCATATCCCTACTCCAGGTCCAGCTAAAACAAAAGGATTCTGGTCAACCATGAACACTGACGTCAGGATGCAGAAAAATTAAACCTTTATTTACTTATTTTAATTAATTTATTTTTGTTACAGATGTTTCTCTTTTTTCCCCATTGACACCTTCCTCCCCTTTCCCCCGACCGCCCCCAGCTTTGTTGTCCATGTCCATCGGTTATGTGTACATGCATATAAGTTCTGTGGTTTGTCTCTTCCCTCTCCCCCACCATCCCCTCTTCTGGGGATTGTCAGTCTGTATCCTACTTCCACGTCTCTGGGTCTACCCTGAAAATTAAACCTTTTGATGAAGGAAAATGAAAAGCCTGCCAAAGTATAATTGGTTTACAGATAAATGTATATACAAATAAATGTGTGATTGGTTAACTAGTAAATGTATCATGCAGATACTCACGGGGCTAGGAGGTGTCTTTAGGATGCAAACACTGACCCACCAGATCACAGCTTAAGGAGCCAACAGGCAAGGGTGGTAGCACCACACACGGGGAGAGATCTGTGTCCAAGGAACAACCAGGGGGCAACTTGACCGTCTCTACAATGGAGACCAACAAAGTTGTTGCCCAGAGAAGATAAGTAGCTATGGGCTTAAGCAGCAAATAAATGTCCCAAAGACTGCTGTTGAGACAGAGCCTGTGGTTCACAGGGGATGCCCAGGGGCAGAACAGCCAAATGGCTGTCATGGCAACAACCAAGGAGACTCTCCAAGAGACTGTAATAGGCGGCCAAAGCCTAGATGGTTAGAGGTGAAGAAAGGAATTCTGCGTTAGTCCATTTTAAAAATCCAATAAGAACCAAACTAGTCTTAAGTTATTTTTCTTCCTGTAACTCTTATGTTTATGCTTATTTTACCTAAAAGAAATTCTGCTTTACATATACGCCTTAAAATTTTTTTTTCTACTTCTTCCCTAACTAGTTGCTTTTTACACTGTAACAGTTAAATTCTACAGCATGACTAATGACTTGCATACAAAGTAGAAAAGAATACTATGAAAATGGAGTGCTTCTAATTCTTTTATGCATTTTTACAATTGTTTACTTATATCTTCAAACAGTACGAAGTCTTTTAAAAAGCAGTTTAGTGTCTAATCTATGTGGAAGGCTAAAGTCATGCTTATAACTGAATGTGGTCTTTGCTAACTAAATCTAAATTGTAGAAGTCTAGAGATTTAAATGTCAATATTTGTACAATATTGTTTGCTAATTTGTTGTTAATCCTCACCTGAGGATATTTTTCCATTGATTTTCAGATAGACTGGAAGGGAAGGAAGGGGAGAGAGAAACATTGATGTGAGAGAGACACATGGATTGGTTGCCTCCCACATCACCCCAAATGGGGCCAGGGATCAAACCTGCAACCCTTTGGTCCATGGGCCGACGACGTTCTAACCGCTGAGCCAAACCAGCCAGGGCGTGTTTGCTAATTTTAAGTAAAGACATCAGTGTGCCTTGTGATTAAATGTATTCTCACCCTGTTACCTAAATGAAACATTTCTTCAGAAGGTATTTCTAAAGGCACTTATACAAAACTAGCCTGCAAAAAATTGAGGTCTGATTGGTAAATGTGTTCCTCCTGTTTGTACCAATGTGTCAGTGTGGAGCTACTTTGTATTATTCAACTCTATGGCTACATTCTTGGCATACATGTTTCCCACTGAATTTTTTTTTTTTTTTTTATCCTCACCCGAGGATATTTTTCCATTTTTTGTACAGATAGAGTGGGAGGGAGAGAGAGAGAGAGAAACATCGATGTGAAGGGACACATCGAGTGGCTGCCACCCGCATGACCAACCAGGGCCGGGGACAAACTGCAACCGAAGTACGCGCCCTTAGCGGGAACCGAACCCGGGTCTCTCCGGACCACAGGCCGACGCTCTAACCGCTGAGCCAAACTGGCCAGGGCTCCCACTGAATTTTTTTAAAGGTTTGTTTTGAACATTCAAAAATAATATGTGTATACTTGCAACATTCTAGTCACTGAAGATAGAAAGAAATGAGTAGAAATTCTTTCTATTTTCAAGAGACGCACAGCTTAGTGATGGAGACCCAAACAGACAATTACCCGACAAAGTAATACATAGAGTAATAGCAAGTGAGCTGGGGAACCTAAGCAGAAAGGAAGTTTTCAAATGAGAGTAGGTAGCTCATTGCCTCTGGGAGGCTCAGCATCACAGGCGGTGTCGCTGGGCCTTACTGCAAGGGCCTCCACAGCTACCCCTGGACAGCTGCCCTGACCACACAGCTCCACCAGCCTCCCCAGAACACACCTCCCTGCCTCTCTGTGTCACCAGCATCTGAATCAAAATCTGGCACAGGCGTATCTGATTGATGGAACCTAGTTACATGGCTGCACCCTGGTCTCCCACCAAGAATCTTAAGTCGGGGAAGTCCCCAAACATAGAACTGAGGTTCAGATGCTGGGCTGCCCAAAAGATTGGAGATCCACTGCAGCACTGAAGCTAGCCTGGAGGCGTAAGAGGAGGAGTCGGGGGCTCTCAGGGATGACCCCTTAGTTGAGTCTTACCAGTCAGAGGAAGCCAGGGCATCCCAAGCAGAAGGGGTAGATGAGCAATGGGCTAGACTCCAAAGGTGCGTGCGCGTGTGTGTGCGTGTGTGTGTATGAGAGAGAGACTCTAAAAGCATTTTAATGTTGGAGCTTAACATGAGATATGGGAGTTAGAAGAAATGAGATCGGATCAGATGTTAGAAAGCTTCATTATACCACACTAAAGAACTTTAATTTTACTCTGGATTGCCAATGAATGAAGGAGTCGGTTTTGCATATTTGATCACTGGTAGCCACGGGTGGATATGTCTGAGAAAAACAATGCAGGAAGTAGGGATACCTATGCCATCAGTCCAGGCTAGATGAGATGGGAACCTGAATAATGGCAATAGTGAGAGGGGTACAGAAATAAAACTGAAAGGGCCTGGTGGCTGATGCGATTGGAAGAGAGAAAGTTAAGAGTGATGGGAATAAACTCCACCATGACGATCAAGGGGAGGGATCGCCCTTGAACATTTGTAAACCACAGTGGCTCTAGCATGGGATTGTGGTCTGAAGTCAAAGTAACTGCACAGTTTGAGACTCCTTAGAGGAGAATTTAATTCAAAGAAGTTCTGGGAAATGCCCCCCAAGCGACAGGCAGGGGGTTCACAGTCTTCTTAGCTCAGGTTCAACTCAGGCCTCAAAGAATGTCCACAGGTAAAATGCTAAGGAGAGTGAGCAGCTTATTCTAAAAATTCACAAGGCACACAAGGAAATAAAACACCGCGAGTAAGAACCAGTAGAAACCTCATATTGAAACCTCAATGATAACCACGGGAATATAAACTAAAACCTCACTGAGGTACCAATGCATATTCATCAGATTGAGAAAATGTTTTAAATTGGCATCGCAAGCTTGGCATCACCTACATATGTAGACGTGTATATCCCCAATCTTACATTATAAAAAGTCTTGCACAGGTATCTCAGGAAATATATATCAGAATGTTTATAGTAGTATGTTCATCATCATAAGTAAAAAAAAAAAAAAAACACCCAGAAATATCCCTACTGCTGACCAACGTTAAAATGGATAAACTGGCTTATTCACACCCTGCTATACCACAGGGCAGTGAGAAGGAACTAACCCCACTGTGAGCATCAACATGGATAAATCTTGAAAGTAATATCGAAGAAAAGTCATAGAAGAATGTGTGCAGTATGAAATAGCCATTTGCATACGTTTCTTAAAAGGTACACAATGTTTAAAGATACAAAGTGGTAAACTGAATGGAAAATGGGATAATTATCATGAAGTTCGGGGTAGTGGTTAGCTCCGAGGGTGGGTAGCAGGCTAACAAGGAATAGGCTCAAAGTGGGGTCATCAAGGGATTCCGATGTAGCTGGCAATATTCACGTCCTGATCCTAGGTAGTGGGTATGCGGGTGTTCACTTACAATCCTTCTTCAACATGTGCATTTTAGACACACTTCTCAATGTATGATATAGTTCCCCAAAATAAAATTAAATAAGGAATGATCCTTTTAGTCCTCTAAGCCTGGGACCTACGGTCAGAATGCTGTGCTGTTCACATTCTCAATGCCAGCTTCTTTGGCCATGAAATAAAAGGGGCCAGGATTCTTCAGCAGTTCTTCGGGGCTGCCGTACTCCACAATCTTCCCATTGTCTAGGACCATTATCCTGAAACAAAGGAGAAGGAAACACAAGTCTTACAAAGCAGCATCTCAGTCCCTGGCATTTGTAAGGAGCCAGCACTAAGTCCCGCTATATTCATTCATGGAAAGGGACAAAGCTGTGTGAACGAAGGGACCACAGCTGCCCACACCAGCACAGACGGACGTCTGTGATGCTGGACAAGAGGATCAAGTCCTAGCAGACTCTATGCAGTATGAGTCCACTTACACAGGCTTAAAAAGAACAAAAAGATGCACATTGTTTAAGGGAGCCTGTCCTCCCCAGTTTCTGAGATGAAACTCAGTTTGAATTTAATCTGTCAGAGGAACAGAGACGTTCAGAGGTAGCAGGTGAGACCCCTGATTGGAAGGTCTGGAGTGAGCCACCGCCTCTCCATGCTCAGTCACAGTTACACGGTTTTCCATCTTTCACTCTAGGCGGTTTCCTTAACCCTGTTAGCTTTCATTAACTTGATGTATAATTTTAGACAAACCCCTTGAAATCTCTCAGCCTCTGATTCTTCATCAGTAAAGGGATGGCGGTTAATCTCATGGCTGATGCTGTTAGTGTTGACAAAGGGTTAAGCCGGCTGGTCAAGCTGTGCCACCCCCACTCACTTGTCGCTGTCCATGATGGTGTGCAGCCGGTGGGCAATGGTGATCGTCGTGCAGTGGGAGAATTCCTTCTGGATGGTTACTTGGATGAGGTGATCTGTCTCTAGATCTACTGCAGCAGTGGCCTCATCCATGACCAGAATCTTGGATTTCCGAAGCAGAGCCCTGGCCAGGCACAGCAGCTGCCTCTGCCCGATGCTGCACCGATGGAGGAAACCAAGCATTAGCCCCAAGGACCAACGAATGACCTGGGAAGGGATGTGGGGGCGATCAGACTTTGAAAACCCACACTCCCAAGTCCCCCCAGAATGCCTTGGCCTCTTTCACTAGCTATTCACTGTTGCCCTGAGCAATGTTTGCCAAACTTCTCCAGTTAATTACAAGACCCACAGCAGGCACTTAATTTAAAATTTCATATCTGTGGGCTCCATTCTACAATCAGAATGGGGAAGAGCCAAGGCACATGTATTTGTAGTAAGCACCCCAGGAGATTTTCATGTTTAACAAGTTTGGAAAACACTAGCCCAGGAACAGTGCTTTGCATTTGGCTGCCGTGATGTCCCAGTACCCCGACAACAATTCCAAAATAAGATGCCTGCCCCAAGTTCATATCTGCAGTATTCGACCTGACACCATTATGATACGGTGACACCACACCAGAGTGCCCCAGTGGCATTTCTCAGCAAATCCATTTGTTATTTTAATGTGGAATTATAGTCTCAAAGCTAATTATTTGTTCAAGGCCTTCTGCCTTGATTAGAGACGTAGCCATCTAATGAACATGATGTCTTGGTGTGAGATGTAATGTATGTGGAACTCGAATATGCTTGTAAAATGCAAATGGCTTTAATTTGCGAAGACCGGTAATGAAGGCTGGACCTCTTAGTCACATAGAGCAGCTCTGGGAAATGATGTGGAGGAAATATTCAGGCGTTCGCTAATTGCTCTTTCCTGCTGTGGCCATTAGGGAACATATTAAACAGAGGGTGGCTAGTCTAAACGTTCTGTAATATTCTGTGAGAGAATTTCTCCAGGAGATGAGAATTCACCCAAGATGAACTTCCAGTTTTTCTGTAAAAACAGAGGCAACTGCAAAACTATTTCCTTAGCTTGTATCAGACTCCTGCCCGGTTCGGCCGGGCTTCCTGTCGCAGGGGCTGCTGAGGCACCCCTGTGGCTCTGGCTGCTCTCTCCCCAAGCTGACTGATCTCCCATCTCTGATCACTCATCAGAGGAACTTAAGTTTCAACACCCCCACACCAGGTCTGAAATCAAGGCATTTCCCAGCATGAACAGAGAAGGATGGTGTCGTGTTTTGTTCTTACAAACCAAAGTATCAAGGCCTCCCTGTCACATCCTGCCAGAGGGTCCCATATGGCCCTACATGTCTGCAGCATTTGCTGCCTGCATTTACTTGCATGACACCTGTCTTCTCCAGGACGCTGTAAGAGCTGGGAGGCCGAGGCTTGTTTCTCTGTCATTTCCCTCTGTGTCTACAGCGTCTCATGTAGTAGGTGCTCAATGTATATTTGCTGACTGAATGTTTGACTGGTCTATTTCACAGGCCCAAAGACCCATGTAGGTCCTGCTAGTTCCTAGATCTGTGCTGAGGAAAGCAGACACGGTGGCCTTCTACCCCAACACTTACAAGTGTTCCCTGGGGCCACACACTGAAGTTGCCCGGGTCCCCGATTCAGCAGGTCTAGGATGAGTCTGGGCATGGACGTTTTATTCTTTTGAGATTCCTGAGTGATTCTAGTGTGCAGCCTAGTTGAGCATCGATGCTCTAGGCAGTGCTTCTCAAACTATACCGCACACAAAAATCACCTGGGACTCTTACTGAAATTCAAGATTCTGTAGTTATAACAAGGTCACAGGTGAAGCCAGAGCGGCGGATCCACTGATGGAGTGACTGAGCCGCCCTTCGTGAGGGCCCTGCCCTGCCCGCCGCTCCGAGGGCGTGGGCGCCGCAGTAAGAAGTACCTCTGAGCAGGGCTTTGGCCGAGGCTGAACTTCAGTGTGTGGAGGGAAAACCCAACTGGCATGGAGAAAATGCCAGGTCAAGTTATCAACTGACAGATAAACATGTAGTGAAAGCCAGAAGTATGAAGTGTCCACACATCTAGAAAACCTCTGGAGAGCCCGGCTGGTGTGGCTCAGTGGACTGAGCACGGTCCCATGCATCAAGAGGTCACGGGTTTGATTCCCCAGTTAGGGCACGTGCCCTGGTTGCAGGCTTGATCCCCAGTGGGGGCGTGTAGGAGGCAGCTGATCAATACTTCCTTCTCATCGACGTTTCTCCCCCCCCACCCCCTTCCTCTCTCTCCAAAAAAACAATGAAAACATATTTTTAAAAAGCAAGAAAATTTTGGAGAGTAAAAAGAACTGTGAAGCTGAGTCTCTCTGTTGGTTTAGGGCATTTCAGGGGCCCATGTCCCCGTCATCCACATGCCCTTCAGACCAGCGCTGCTCAAACGCGAAGCCCACAGCAGCCACCAGGGTCCTTAGGAACCACCACGGCCAGTCCCCACGGCCAGTCCCACCTCGTACCGATGAAATCGGACTTTCTGGGGTCGGACCAGGCGTCAGGATTACACCAACCAAGGGTTTCAGGAGTTCCCACACCTATTCTGTCGTGTCCTTTCGCAGCAGTTCACTCGACACATTAGGAACCAGACCTGGAGCGGGCCAGCGCCGTGACGCCGGGCGCCCTCCTGCACACGGAGTCTGTCCTCGCCTCTCGCTGCCGGTGGGGAAGTGGGCTAGGGAACGGTACCTGAGGTTGTCGCCCGCCTCTGTCAGTTCATGGGACAAGCCAAGTTGCAGGCTGGCCACAAAGGATTTGAGGTGAGCCAGCTCCAGGGCCTTCCAGATCTCCTCATCTGAGTAGCTGTTGAAAGGGTCTAGATTCATCCTCAGGCTTCCAGAGAACAAGATGGGATCCTGCAAGTCAAGGATGAGGGGGCTGTGGGGCCAGTGACAGAAAAGGGGCCCGCGGTCCTGTGTGGCCAGCAGGAAGCCGCAGGCCTGGCCTGGGCGGGAGAGCTGGTAGCGGTCAAGCTTTTGTCAGGTTTCCCAGCGGAAGTTTAGAGCCGCTGCCAACCAGGAGCTAAGCACAGAATTAAGAGTCCTTGGTTTGTTTTTGTTGTTGTTTTATCCTCACCCAAGGACATTTTTCCATTTTTTATTCAGATAGAACGGGAGGGAGAGAGAGGAAGAGAGAGAGAAACATCGACGTGAAAGGGACACATCGAGTGGCTGCCACCTGCAAGACCAGCCTGGGCCGGGGACAAACTGCAACTGAGCTACATGCCCTTAGCGGGAACCGAACCCCGGTCTCTGGACCGCAGGCCAATGCTCTAACCGCTGAGCCAAACTGGCCAGGGCCTTGGTTTGTTTTTTTGTTGTTTTGTTTTTCCTTCTGAGATTCATTTATGGATTTCCAAAACTGCCGCAGCACTTCTTAGAAAGGCGAGATGAACATCTCACACTCCCAAATAAAACTCATGGTGTGGAGGTGGAGGGACCAGGGTGGTATAGGTATAGGGGAAGAATTTATCTTGCCTTTGGAGGCTGGAGGAAAGAAAGCCTAAACTGAGCAAACGCCAGACAAACCAAACCAGCCCCAGCGACTGGCTGCCATGAGCAGAGGAGGACCTGTCCTCATGAGGACCCACACCCCACTGAGAAGCCTCCAGCGCAGTCCTCACCTGGTGGGGTCCAGAGAGGAGGCGACGGGAGCCTTTCTTGCTGATGACTGAGCACTGGCTTGCTGGCAGAAACCGGCAGCAAACTCCCTACCCTATCTTTTAATCATATCAAATGGGGGATATAAAGCTTAATGGTTTCAAGCTTCAGCAGCAAAACTGCTCATGCTGATTGCAAAGGGTCCTGCAAGCAGTGATGGGCTGTAGAAAAGCTGATCATCTGCTTTGACTTCTGTTGTGTGCTGCCACCTACTGGCTACATACTGCTAGTCACACCAGCATATTACAAAAACAGAAACAAAAATGCAGAACTTATTTTTATAAGTTCTGGGACATAGTGTGTCTTAGGGAACTAGTGCAGGTGCCCTGGGCAGACTGCAGAAATGAATCGACACCAGGAAGAAGGTGCACACGTTTCCTGCAGCTGTCACCCACAGAGCGTGACCCAGGAAGTTCTAGAGCTCACCTGAGGGATGATGGTCAGTTTCTCTCGGAGGTCATGGAGCCCAATGGAAGCAATATCTACCCCATCAATGATGATCTGGCCACCTGCAGCCTCGAGGATTCTGAAGAGGCTGTTTGTCAGGGACGACTTCCCGGCTCCGGTCCTGCCCACCACACCGATCTGTAAGGAGTTCCGTAGCAGGTTAGTTTGCTGCGTGTTAGTCTGGGGCAGTCAGAACCACAGGTGGAAAGAGGCAGTGATGAGCCACTTCATCTTGAAGATGTTAAACTGAGATTGGTTTGGGTGGGGAAAAAGCGGCCTGGATGTCACAAACAGATGGCTGTTCCATCCCGCCTCCTAAACTCTTGCTTGCAGAGAACTACAGTGACTGTTGGAAATGGACACATCCATTATTACAATTATTATGGGATGTCATAGAGTTTATTTTCAAATCCTTGGTTAGAAGGGAGAAGGGAAGGACCGGGCCTGCCATCAGCTGAGGACCAGACCCTGACCTGGACCTCAGCATCCTTCCCCGGGCATCTTTGGGTCCCACATCAGACCCCAAGTCCTCAGAGAACAAGAACACCAAACAAGGGTGCAGGACTCTGCAAACCAGAGAACTGGGCCATTCTCTCTGCAGGGAGAGCCTCCGCACTGACGTTCTCACCAGGCCTTTCCCAAGCCGCGTGCTTCCTGACCTCCTCTCGGCGCCCTGGCCCCACCAGGAAGTGCACCCTGGTCAGCTACAGGAGAAGCCATGCTGGCGAGGGGGCAGGGAAGGGCTGAGCAGAAAGCCCTTACAGCCCCAGGAAGTCTGTGATTCCATGGGGATATCCTGCCCTCTGGTGGCAGCACTGTGTCCTTACATGTCCCCCTCGGAGAAGTGCCTGGATCCTGTCACTCCACCCCAATGATGAAAGCCCAGAGCCTGCTGCTCACCACCTCTGGGTCCAACTGTCTGCTCGTCAAGCACAAGGACTCACCTCCAGGCCTTTCTTCAGTCCCACCTACCTTCTCCTGGCTCCTGATGTCACAAGTGATCCCTTTCAGGACCAGATCCAGCTCAGGCCGGTACCGTACTTGGTAGTTGTTAAACTGAATGTCCCCTTTGCTGGGCCAGCCTGCTGGAGGCCTCTTGTCAGTCACCCAGAGTGCCTGACAAAGAGACAGAAAGAGAAGTGCTTTCCATGGAGTCAGCTCGCTGAACAGTCCCCGTGCGACCCACGTGGCAGCCGTGGAAGGGTAGCGTGTCCCAGCCACCGGGGGCACCTGCATTACATGGACTGAACTAGACTGGATTTCCAGAGGCCCCTACCTTATCAGGCTAAGAACTCACCCCACAAGTTTCTGTGGAGCTCCAGAATGAAGCCACCATTTAACTTGGTACATTCCTAGACCTGACTTCCGCCAAATCATTTCCTATTCTGTTTCAAGAAACTGGGTCATTTGAGTTAGAGCAAGGGAAGCTTTTAGGAGAACCTTTGCAACCCCACATGCACTCGCTAGGCAAGGCGGACATGCCCTCTCGAAGGAGTCACGTCTTTCCCTTTGCCCCGCCCTTGAGTCCCTCTGATACCTCGTTTTCCACGTTTATATACTCATTAATTCGCTCAACAGCCACAATGTTGGTCTCGACTTCGGACGTCATCCTTACTAGCCAGTTCAGGGTTTGTGTGATCTGCGGAAAAACCAGAAGACTAACGATCATCTCAGGCTCAGAAACCTCAAGGTCAAGCCAGTGCCTACCTTGCACTGAGCATTGGGCCGGGCTCTACAAGAGAACAAGGGAAGTGCAACAATGTTCACCTCCTGGGGCAGGAATCCAGACCGCGTATCGAATGGCTGGAGGACAGCTAAGCACACAGGACAGCTGTGTGCTGCTCAGTGGAAGACAACGCGGTGGCTTGGGGCTATGGCGGGGCTGGAGAGGCTGGCAGTTGGTGGCGTGGGGCCAGATCTTGGCTCTCCTGCCTGTAAGCCTCGTGTTCTTTGTGGAAAGGGTGGTGGGTAACCTTCTACAAACGGGGAAAACGTAAGACACAAGGTAAGAAAAGGCCTTCCAAAAAGCGGCCTCTTCTCTCTGCTGTCGATTAACAAGAGCTCCACTGAGACCCAGCCCTCGAGGTGGGACATCCACGAGGACCCGTGTCCTCCTTTGCCCAGTACAGTCCAGGTGCCTTCCTGCCATTACAGAGATGCACCTAACCACTGGTAAGAGGGGTGTCAGGGTCCGGGCCAGTCTGCAGTCTGGGAGTCTGTGGATCGCTCATACGCAAGCTTCTTTCAGACAGAGACTCAAACCAGGGCGTTTTTGTTGAGTGAACGGTGGTCAGAGAGAGGGAGAGCACAGGGCTGTGGGGACTAGAAGTGACCTCTTTGTGTCGGCTGAACCACATGGAATTGTTGATGTTGAACGTTTTTGGTTTGGTTCAGTGTCATGGTTCCCTGATTCTCTGCCCACCTCCCCTAGGCTAATATGCCTAGAAATGGGTGGAGGAGGAGGCAGTGGCACGAGGAGCCAAGTGGCATTCCGGCCAGCACCAGGGACCTTCCAGGTGCCCACCACGCTGGCCTCCGGCCTCGCTAACTTCCACCGAAGACAGCACCACATGCAGTGTGCTGGTCGCTACGCAAACCTCCAGTATATTAGTTCAAAGAGATGCCATGAACAATGGCCAAAAAACTCACTAAGTGAGTATCAGTTATTGAATATTTACCATGGTGCCAGCCACTGTCTTAGGTGCTAGGAAATAATGTCTAACATTTACCCCCTAGTCACACTGGGGATGCAATATATAGTTTTATTAGAGTCTGTGTTCTTTATTAGAATTGTCTCCAAATATTCTGTAATCTAAGAAAAGCAAGCATAGAAGAAGTTATTTGTTCAGAAGACTTTCTGCTTACTGCTATGTCATGGAAAAGAAACTAACTTATTCTCTCTTTGGACTAGAATCAAACAAAGAGGCAAAGCGACAGGGAACTATTAAATTGCATCATATGAAATTGCTTTCTTAACTCCCAAGGGCAACTAAATTCATGTCCAGATGACACTAGTACCTATTTAGAAAGCGTAAAGGGCATGTCCATGGGTGGTACAATTAGTAAGAGATGGAGCCAGGGTTTGAACCTCAGTCTCCCCAATATCTCTGGGTCTAGAAAAGAATCAAGAGCACGGGCCTCGTGGCTTACTCTAGACACAATTTAAGAATAAGTGCGTTGATCTAACCAAGCTCCCAGCCTTCAGACTCACATTGAGTGCATTGGACAGAACAAAGCCCACGGTGTCCCCGCTAAGGGTGTCTCTATAAATAACCATCATCAGGGATGAAAAGAAGACAATCAGGTTCCCAATCAGTTCCAGGCGAACTGCAAGCCACCTGCAGAACAACAGAACCAGAGAGAGGTGTCACTGAGGTATCCACTTCCTTACCTCCCCCAGCAGCATAGGTGTTTCTAGAACATTCTTAGAGGGCTCGAGTTGGTGGAACTGTGTTCTCAGCAGGTGCTTCAATTTGACTATACCACATGCTCCTAAAGACTTTCAAACTGAATTTTAGAAAATAAATTGCATTTTAAAGATACTAGAGGAGTTTGCTACACTAAGGGAATTCTATGGTTCAATGTCTCCCAAAGTTGCCAAATCCTAAGAATCATCAGGGGCAATTGTTAAAAATATACAAAATCATAACAAAAAATGTGTGAGCTCTTCCCTAGGAGATTTTGACTTAGGGGGCTTAGGATGGGGATCAGGAACCTGCATTTTAAAAATAAATGTCCCAAGTGATTTCTTCTGATTAGTCAGGGAAATAATGCCATAGAGAATACACATGTAAGCAGCACAGCGGGGTTCACTGTATCTTGTGTGATTTCATGATTTTTAAAGGGTAGAGAAGAAGATGAGGGTGGAGAGGAGTTAGGTGCAGCTTAATCACAGGGAGACCAACTGCAGAGAGCCAAATAGGATCGAGATAGACATACTTGGCTTTCCCAAATATAATGTATTCAAATAAATTTGCACCAATAATTCTAGCATTGTGCAAATAAATATGACACATATTTAGAGTGGTTATCCAATAGGACTAATTTATGTACCTTTTTCTGTCTTGGAAAGTACCTAAAAAATCAAATGTCTTTATCATCAAATTCCTGGCCTCTTCGTGTTCCAAACACCACTGAGACCATGAGCCTGCCCTTAATACCTCGACAACGTCTACAAGGCACGCAAGAATTTTCACTTCTTCTACAAGACTTCTTCCTTCAAGAACCTTCTTGCCAGGGTCTGCTGGTGCCGGACAAATGCAGAATGCTCACCCTTCTCAGGAATTCCTCACAGGACGTGAGCTTCCCAATGTCACCACTGGCTTACCCTAAAAGTCCCCCGCTTTCCACCTTCCAACCTCTGCCTTTTCCACCACCCTACAGAGAGCTGTCCTGCCTCTGGAGACTCTCACGTTCCCTCTCAGGGAAGCAAAGCAAGAATACCCAGGTCGCCCACAGTGTGCAGCACCTGGGTTACACGATGCTCACAGAGGTCGCTTGACTTGCACCGTGCACCTGTGAGACAGGCTGTGTTCTGGCCGTTGTAAAAACAAAGAGAATGAGGTTTCCCTTACAGAAGTGATGGCAATTCACCCAGCTTGGTAAGTGGCAGAGCAGGCACAGGGACCCAGTCTCCGAGTCCAAAGCTCATGCTTTCTTCTCTCTACTTATATAACAGGCGTGTTTGACTATAGTGACTTTCCTGTCACTGGCCACGCCTGTTCTCCCATAGCTAATGTCAAACGTGCAGAACCCCAAAGCACACATTCGGGGAAATACCCAGGGAAGCCTCACCTGTTGGAGATAATCCAGGAAAAGACACATTTCTGGTTAGTGTCAATCAACACCTCATTGTGTTTGAGAAATCGCTGCTGGTGCTGAAACGCACGGATGACAGACAAACCCGACACGGTCTCACTGAAGAAAGAGTAGAGTGGGGATCTGGTGACAGAGTCCAAACGTCTCAGCTGGCGGGAAGAGGCCACATAAAATATCTGGACCCCAAAAGGAAGGAGTCAGTCACACAATCGCGTCACATGCACCACACCTCTTCCTGTGGCCGTGACCCAGTGTTCTTCACCGTGATGGTCACATCTGAACATGACAGAAGCTCCAGCCTCATCTCTGGCTGGAAGAATGATGAGAGAGGCCCAAAGGAAGAGGATGGTGGGAAGATCTGAGGTTGGTGCAGAACAGAGCCAACCTCATTGTAGACTTGGATCTAAACACAAATATACCCCTACTTAAGCTTCTAGGGGGACAGCAGTTAGGGTGAGATTTGCTGTGAACCCTACACCAGTTGATGCTGATACTTCAGCTTCAGACAGTGGCCTGTGGGCCCCTCGGGGTATCAATATATGAGTGAATGACAAAGTGCTGCAGAGGAGTGAGTGACTCGTGATACACGAAAGAGAAGATGCTCAGGAAGGAGCCTGGGCTTCTCTAAGCAGAGAGGAAGGGAGAGCCGGCCATTTCCAGACCTACCTGAATTAACACGTAAATGATGCCTAGAGGAATGATGATGATGATGAAGACGGGGGTGGCTATGCAGATCATCAACAGGGTGCTGATGATCCCCAGGAAGCACAGAATCCAGCTGCGCAAGGACATGGGGAGCGAGTCGTCCACGGTGGAGATATCCTGGAACACGCCATTGGGAGAGATGGTACATGGACGAATTCCTACAGCATTTTAGTTTTCCCTGACTCCAGCAGGAAACTTACTCAGTTTTGCGATCTCAGGGATTCCTTCATTTAATCATTTCATGATATTCATTTGCTATACTGTTCTGCTCACCCTAATGACCAATCTTATTTCTGTAATTTCTTTATCTTTCTAAATCCTGCCAAATATGGCAGTCATCCTTCAACAGATTTTTACTCCTTTCAGTGAAATTCCCATCCGTCAAATGTATTAAATCATTCATAACCACCCGAAGCTAATGGAGCCATACAAGGTAAATCTTCCCTTAGCCAAGTCAATTCAATTATCCTAACTTCACACAGGTCCTGATTCTGTCGAGTGCTTAGAACAGAGCCTGGCATATTACAACCATTTCATAAACATTTGTTCGGGGCTCTTGTCAAGAAGCCCTGTCACCCACCTCGACTGAGGAACGGAAAGGTGAAGATCGAAGGGCGTCCCTGCTTGGTTAGTGCTCTACCTAGAGATACTAAGTGGGTCTTACTGACACATCGTCTTCATGTCATGTTGAATAAATGAAAAGATGAGCAAATGAGTGAATAAGGCTTAGTACGCACAGGAAGCCTGGATTATATTTTTGGGTTTCCCTTGCCTGTATTTCTTAGATTATGTTGACTACAGGATTAGTAATATATAAGTATCAAATTGAGTCTATATTATCTCTGCAGTGTCCTGAACTGGGTAAGGTAACAGTTTCCTAAGAAGAGTGGATGACTCCTGAGTCTAATTTACCCTTCCCAAAGTCACACCAGGGTGCAAACAATACTATCTCCAGGGTTGGCAGAAAAGAAGAAATCCTCACCAGCTATCTGTTCTATGCACATTACTTTTGACTTTTACCTGGCACAGATTCTCCTTCTTTCCTCCATCTCCTCCTTCATCTCCTCTTAAGGGCTCAACCATCAGTTCTAGGGGACCCTAGATCAAACTGTCTTACGGGCCTGAATCACTCCCTCCCCCAGAACTCACTATATAATTAATGACAGTTTCTTTTTTCTTGCAAAAGCAGTTAGCAAAATATGACTGTTGTCTAAGTAACTCACAGTAAGGTCTCCAGGTTCTCTTTCTCAGAAGATTAATTATACATTACAACATCAGATACAAGTTGCGATCTTTGCAAAATTCTGTGTGAAATCTCCCTACTCAGAACAGTGTGCTTCTCAAGGTTCTATTGAAGAGCAGAGAGCCCATTCAAGTTGTCTCCAATGACGTCATGCTCACCATTTTTGTCCCAGAGGAAGGTGAAAATGGGGACCAGTCATTTGCCCATTCTTGAAGCAGTCACTGGGTCCCCAGAACCTGAGAGTGGGCTGTGAGCTAGCCTTTCTGTGTCTGCTCCAAGATCACACAAATAAGGGTCCAGAGCTACTCAGACATTTAAAAATACGTGTTACCTCTTCTACAGATGACTGAAAACTGTGCTGGTGATAGGTGAATATTACTCAGAATTGCCTAGTTTCTGCCTCTGCTCCCAAAAGTTCCATCTCTATACATTAAGAATCAATGAGTTTGATCTGGCCCTTGGAAGAGAGCCATCTATAATCTTAACATTGAGCATCCCAATGACCAGTACAGTCCTTGGCTCATAGTAGGTGCTCAATAAATGCCATTGTATGAATGAATGCATGCATGAATGAATGAATGCAAAAGATTCCAGGATCTGTAGTATATGGAGAAAATGTTTTAGAACCTCATTAAAATCACTGGTGTCTCTCTTCCATAATCCAGACCTAATTTATTCTTAAACTATAACAGGTAGAGGTTTCAGGAATGGAGGCAGAGACCAAGCAAAAGGTTATCCCGCTATTCTTTTATTCATTGTCATAGCCAGCGATAGTGCTGTGCCTTGTCCCTCTTCAGACTAGTTATTCTCATCCTGCTTCTACTGCCACCCACCCACCCCTGCCCCCACCATCTCCCTGGCTAACTTCCATAACTTAACTCAAGTCTCAGCTTTTCTCAAATTTTCCACCCTCAATCATTCAGGCAGAGCTAATACTGCTTTTCTTTCCTTTTCTAAAAAAAAATTTTTTTTTTAAATTGATTTTGGAGAGAGAGGAAGGGAGACAAAGAGAGAGATAGAAACATCAATGAGAGAGAACATTGATTGGCTGCCTCCTGCATACCCTCAACTGTGGATCTGGCCCATAACCTAGGCATGTGCCCTGACTGGGAATCGAACAGGCAACCTCTTGGTGCATGGGTTGATGCTCAACCACTGAGCCACACCAGCCGGGTGCTCTTCTTTCTTTAAAAACAAATTTTTTTTTCCTTTATTGATTTTTAGAGAGAGAGGAAGTGAGAGGAAGAGAGAGATAGAAACACTAATGAGAGAGAACATCGACTGACTGCCTCCTGCATGCCCCCACTGGGGATTCGGCCTACAACCTGGGCATGTGCCCTGACCAGGAATCGAACTGGAGACCTCTTGGTGCATGGGTCCATGCTCAATCACTGAGCCACACCAGGCAGGCAGAGCTAGTACCTGTTTACTCTGTCACTCTTTTGTATTCCCAGAACACCATTCTACACATTGTTGTTATTTTGGTTTTACTATATACTATTATAATCCTTTATTTCCTTGGCTGTCTCACTCACTAGATGGTGAGCTACTTAAGGGCTAGAACTGTTCAGTCCTGTATTCCCAGGATCCTTGAGACTGCACACAAGGTACTCAAGAAATAATTTGCCTGCTGATGGACAAAAGAACTGAAACTACACAGTGTTGCCCAGGGGGACATGAGCACTTTCCCTGTAGGAATAAAAAAATCCTCAGCATAAAAACACATAATTTTACAGCCCTTGACATACTTACACCAGCAAACCTGTTCACAATCCGGCCTGTGGGTGTTGTGTCAAAAAAACTCATGGGTGCTCGGAGGATATTATTCAGCAGTTGCTTGTGAAGAATGTTTGATGCATGGATGAAACCATGGACACTCCAGAGATTCGCTATGAGCAAAAATAACCCTAGAAATGGAACCAGTTTAGTAAGCATGATGCACATGGATCCCTGAAGTCTTGTGCCAAGGACATAATGGCAATTCTTTTCCTGAGTCCAGGCAAAGTGCATCAACCAGACAGATTACGCAAGACATAGCTGTTCTAGCCATCAGACATACCTTGCGTTAATCCCAGAGCTCCATAGACGCCAACTCTCAGGTCCCTCTGAGAGGATGGATAGTTGGTGCTATTGAAGGTTTTAGAGTCATTGGTCCAAGCACTGAGCCAGAGATTGGATCCAATCAAAGCCACAAAATCAATTACATAGGCAAAGACAATGAAGAAAATTGAATGCCATCCTATTGCTTGTAGGTATTTCAAGTAGATGGAGAACTTGACCTGCAAAGACCCCATTTCAATGTTAGCAGAATTCCCAGTGGTTTTTGGTGGAGAATTACCTAGAAGACCAATCACAGGAGGGAGCGGAGTCCCCTGGAAAAATGGATCGCAGGTAGCAGAATTTGGTAGTCTTTCATGATCATTTCTGGGGCCAGGATAATAATCAATGTTTAAATACAGTGCAAGGTAAATAATCATCAAATTGTTAATAAGCTTCTAAATGCAATTAAGAGAGGAAGAGAGAAAAATGGAGTGGGACAAATGGGATTGTACTGTTGACTCTGGCTTTATTAATTTAGATTTAAGTTAAGACCTTAAATTTAAGACCTTGATTTTAAGTTTTATTAGTTTAAACTATGTGCTCTGAGATTGATGCATTAGTGTTCGCTGGCTCCCAGGATTGCGTCTCAAAGCAGTTTTGTTGTTTGGTTCACGTATCAGAATGAAATCAAACACTCATGAAATGTGCTATGCAGACATTCACAGGAACCCTGTTATTCTTCATGGAAATATGATTTGATAGAAAGCTGAGTATCTACCAACATTTCAGTGATGAATTTAAAGATTTGCAAAGCAAGCATAAGACGTGGACCTTTTGTAGATGCGTATTCAAGTTATCAAACTTTAAAATGTTGGGACCCCTTTGATCACCTCTAATGGTAATTTTTACTGTTGTATTCACCTTTCCAGTTTCTATGAATTCTTTCTTAATTAATTTTTGTCCTTTTACTAGTTGCTCCTCCTCCTTCGGGGTATGCACATTCTGAATTTTCAAGGAGTTTTTCAGGGGCTTCAGATGCCTGCTGTTGGACCTCGATCTGAGAAATTGAAAAGGGGAAAACTTTCCTGAGCATATAGATGCATCCTGAGGGTCCGCTTACAAGCAGATGTCACAGTCTCTCTGCATCAAAGGACATTTCAGAGCAGGTGGCCTCGGGGAAACACACTCCCCCAACCCTCTTTCCCATACAAGGAAACAAAGGAAGAGCTGGGGGTGTCCACTGTCCACATAGAAACAGAGAAGGATCGAGTGGAAATATGGAAGTGATGAGGGCTGCCAGCTGAATAGATGACCAACCTGCGGCTGAGTGTTCGACGAAGGCTGTTTTCTCTTCGCATGGTCAAGGAGGCCACGTCCTCAGGGATTTCCTCCACGCTGCTCATCAGCCCATAGGCATCTTCTTCTTCACTATCCTCATTGACTAGGAGACATATCGAATGTTAGAGAGAGAGAGAGTGCACAGACCTCTTACAGCCCTGGGAACAAGGAGAGAGATATTTTTTCTGATGTTGCTGGGCTCAGCAAGAGATCCCAGATGTACACACAGACTGGAATCTTTTACTCCAGAAATACTACTTTTTGGTACATTTGCTCATCGAGAAATACCAGGATAAAGAAGAAATGAGTTAATATTCCATTGAAAAATAAAATGGTCAAAGGAGAAAAATATTCCCAGAAATTTAAGTTCCTTTGGAGCAGGAAGGAACTTTTAAGGGTTATAATAAACAAATGCAAGGCTTATAATCTCCAGAATTAACTAATGAGGTAAGTGTAAATCAAAAATGCTCTTCCTGAAATTCAAATGATTTGACAAAGTTTTATAAATTTAAAGCATTTAAAAAATCTCTGAAAATAAAATAAAATGTAAATATAATCTGGGCATCAGAATAGCAGCGTAAAGACCTTTAGAAATTGGTACCTCCACAAAAGCAATGAGAATATTGGCCCCAAATTGACAAAATCAAATTTTTATAACTCTGAAATTAGCCAAAAGCTTGCAACAATCCAAGAAACATTTATTTTATTTTTTAAATGACAAAGCTCTGGCCAGTTTGGCTCAGTTAGAGTGTCGGCCCAAGGACTGAAGGGTTGCAGGTTCGATTCTGGTCAAGGGCACATACCTGGGTTGCAGGTTGATCCCTGGCTCCAGTCGAGTTGTGTAGGAGGCAACCATTGATGTGTCTCTCTCAAATCAATGTTTCTCTCTCTCTCTCTCTCTCTCTCTCTCTCTCTCTCTCTCTCTCTCTCTCCCCCCCTCACTCCCTTCCCCTCTATCTAAAAACTCAATGGAAAAATATCCTCAGGTGAGGATGAACAAAAAACAAACAAAATGACTAAATCTTAGTAAGAATAGTAAGCTCTGTGATAGTTTAATTTATTCCTTTTCCATCCCCCTCTTCTCAGATCTGTGTAGTCTAGAAAACCAACAGGGTTTTCATGGTAACCATGAAACCCAGCAGCCTAGCAGCTGCTGGAGGGAACAGATTGAGTTGAAACTCCCCCAAACACCTCATCCCTGGAGAATTTTTATTATTTGACCTGTCTGGCAGTTCCCTAGAAAACCCCATTCACAGGGCTGGTCTTTATTAGAACTGACTTGGAGCTACCTCAAACAATCAGCAGCAATTGCTTAACATCACAGCTGCCTGAGGTTGTCATAACAACTGGGGTAAAAAAGAAGCTGACCAAATCCTTGAAAGGAAAAGCTGGGGAATAAGATATTCATAAGGAGCTTTGATATCTTCAATATATTTCTGGAAATCTAGAATGTCACACATGTGTGTAGGGCTGTGCACATGCCCGAGGAAAACTTGACAAGGCCTACTCTCTTACCTCTGGCTAACCTTCAGGCTCTGTGCAAGCAGAAAACAAAGGCTGAGGCAGAACTGTAAATTGCCTGCTGGAATGTTAAATACATGCCCCACCCCACCCCCAGTCTCTCAGAAAAGGCTGAATGACTTATTGGTTTCTGACACTTAAGAAAATCATGTTCTATCATTAACTGACCCCTCAGCCAACCAATAGACTTCAGTCACCACATGTAACAAAGAATACAAATGTAACAGAATTATTTCAGGAAACTAAACAGGTGGAACAACACAACAAACCCTAGCAGAAGAGGGAGGAGAGAGAAATCTTATTTTCAGAGTGGTTATGTTATATTATTTTATTTTATTTTTTAAATTTTTATTTATTTTTGAAAATCTTTATTGTTGAAAGTATTACAAATGTTCCCCTCTCTTTTCCCCCATTAACCCCCACCTCCCCACTCCCACCCCCCCCCCTCCTGCTTCCCCAAACTATTGCTTATGTCCATTGATTATGTATATATGCATATAAGTTCTTTGGTTTATCTGTTCCCAATCCCCCCAACTCCTTTCCCTCTGAGGTTTGTAAGTTGGTTATGTTATTTTAAATGACCAGGACTGTACAGAGGGTAAAAGCAGTCAACAGAAACTGTACCTGAGGAAGCACAGATATTGGACTTACCAAACAAAGACTTTAAATCAGTCATTATAAATATGTCCACAGAACAAAAGAAAATAAAATCTACAGATCTACTGAAAGTATGAGAATAGGTTTTCACCAAATAGAGAACATCAATAAAACTAGTGTTGAAAGTGCAATAACTAAAATGAAAAAAAAAAATTACTAGAAAATCTCAACAGCAGATTTACTAGAGAGATTAGGCATGTGACTTGATCCAATCAACCATCTGAACAAGTGCTGCCAGCTTGGACTGTAGGGCACAGAGATAAGACAAAATGAAGGGACACTGTCAGAATTCTTGGATTCTACAGGGTTGATAGAGCTATCCAGCCATGAGCATGTGTTATCCTTCAAGAAAAGGGGAAAATGTCCCTGAAGGCTATCCAGGGTGGCTGCTTTTCAGTACCAGAGATTGGGACCATCATCCAAGGCTGGATCACCCTTCTGATCCCAGAGAATAGAGCCATAGGGTTATTATCAAACCTTAAAATTGAATGAAACGTATCCTGCTAGACTTTGAACTTGCTGGGAATTTGTGACCCCTTTTTTCCTTCTGATTTTTCCCTTTTGGGATGGAAGTGCTTATCCTATGCCTGTCTCACATTTATTTTATTTTATTTTATTTTATTTTATTTTATTTTAACCCACACCCAAGGACATTTTTCCATTTTTTGTTCAGATAGAGAGAGAAACATCGACATGAAAGGGACACATCAAGTGGTTGCCACCCACACGACCCAACCAGGGCCAGGGACAAACTGCAACTGAGGTACATGCCCTTAGCGGGAACCAAACCTGGGTCTCTCTGGACTGCAGGCTGATGCTCTAACCGCTGAGCCAAACTGGCCAGGGCTTACCATTGTATTTTAGAAGCAAATAACTTGTTTGATTTTACAGGTTCACAGATGAAGAGTAATTTTGCCCCAAGACTCCAAGTCTCACTCACAACTGATTAGTATGAGTTAGAACATGAAATATGGGACTTTGAACTGGCATTTAGATGAGACTTTGGAATTAGAGTTGATAAGGCAATGATTAAGACTGTGGGGGATGTTGAAATGGGGTGAATATATTTTGCACATGGGAAGCACATGAATTTTGGTATACCAGAGGATAGATGTTATAGATTGAATTTTGCCCCACCCTCAATTCATATTTTGAAATCCTAATCCACACTGCCTCAGAATGTGGAAATAGGGTCATTGTAGACGTAATAAACTAAATTAAGATGAGATCAGACTGAAATAGGACTGGGCCCCTCATCTAATATATCTGATGTTCTTATTTTAGAAATGGGGAAATTTGGCCTTGTCTGGTTTGGCTCAGCAGTTAGACCGAAGGGTCACGGGTTTGATTCCAAGTCAAGGGCACATACCTGGGTTGCAGGTTCAATCCCTGGTCCTGGTCAGAGTTGTGTGGGAGGCAACCAATCAATGTGTCTCTCTCACATCGATGTTTCTCTCTCTTTCTCTCCCTCCCTCCCTTCCATTCTATCTAAAAATCAATGGGAAAATATCCTCAGGTGAGGTTTAACACAAATAAATAAGTAAAATAAAATAAAAAGTGGGGAAATTTGCACACAGAAATGCACACAAGGGAAAATACCAGGTGAAGATGAAGGCAGATATCGATGAGATGTGTCTACGAGTCAAGAATGCCAAAGATTGCCAGCAAACCAGAAGCTAGGAGAGAGGCCCGGGGCTGCTCCTTCCCACAGAGCCTGCAGAAGGACCCAACTCTGTCAACACCCTGAGTTTGAACTTCTAGCCTCCAGAACTGTGAGACAATAAATTTCTGTTGGTTTTACCACCCAGTTTGTAGTGCTTTGTTACAACAGCTCGTTCGGAAGCTAATAGACAGAGCCAGTGTTAACACAGGTCACCTTGCCTGCTGCCCTTCCCCTCATTCTACCACCTTGTGATCTTTGCCCCAAGTTCCAGAATCAACACTGCAGCATGCCAGGCACTGGGGCTTACACAACTGCTCAGAAATGGCCTATGGCTGTTAATCAGGATATGGGCTTAATGAGATATTTTGCAAACTGTCCTTTGCACATAAAAGATAGGATTCTTCAAAGAGGCCATCCACCCATGGGGGTTTATAGCAGAATCCAAAAACTGAGATTCGGGCACATTAGAAAAAGAAAGTTTAAAATGGACACAGTATAACTGTCCAGGTTAGGGTGGTTGGCTAACTGAACAGTAACTCAGAGGAATCCAGCATCGGGCACTGCCCTTTGTTTGGACCTTCACTGCCCAGGAGGTGCTTTGTGTTTTCTCCAGGCTAGTCTGGAGCACAGACAGGCTGATAGAGAGCCCCGACTCCCTCCTTTCCGGTTCCTGGATCCCCACCACCCACACTGTCCTGTTCTTTGTTCCTGTTTTGTCCCTCCAACACTTACAGACTTCCTGGTCTTCTCTTTTTCCTCCTCTTGTGTTCCCAGGGTGGTTTTTAACCATCATTTGTGCTGACCTTCAAGCCTGAATATGCTCCCACCTGCAGGCTCTGCAGCTACTCCCTCTTCTGTCTGACTTCTGGGATGGCCCTGCACCCTCCAGATCTTGCTTTCTCAGTCTGACCTCCTGCCGGTGACCACTACCTGAAGGGAATACCCAGGACTAGGCACAGGACCACCGGAGGTTCTTGGGACGGACCCCAGGGAACAGGGCTCCATTACTGATGGAAGCTAATGGGTGACCCCAATGGTGGTGGTATTAGGGGCTATTTCTGTGGTAATACTGTGAGTTCAACTATGCAACTACCATGATTTCTTCTGGTTCAAAACACCCAGTGGTTTTTGATGTATTAGTCAACATCCCTTTGTTAGGACTTAGTAAGACTTCAGCAGTACACTTACCAAGAATTTACTACTAGCCTATGACGTTGTTTCAGTGGGTTTGGTAGTAGGTGGGAAGGGATGTGTGACTGAGATCAGTAGAAGCAGGGCCCCTTATGCCACTGGTGCTTCTTCCACAGAGCTAATCACCCCAAACCTCTCTTCAAATTCTCCCAAAGCATGCCCTCTGATGGCATGTCAAAGACCAGATGAGCAGATGAACCTCCAGTATGGCTCAGGCACTGAGTTTCTGTGTCTGTGTTTCTTTACAGAGGCACAAAACAGAAAAAGAGCAGATTTTGGATCTCAGTAATTCACATTCGAATCTAGTTCACTGGATACTGAGCAGTTCAGGAAAGATATTGGTTTCCACTCCCATCCCTTGCTATACCCAAATTCGATCCCATTTTAGTCATCCTTACATACCTGTGGCTTCTCCCTCAGGGCCCGTCTGTTTTATAAATGTCTTCAGATTCGTAGCAAACAGTCCTTTCTTGGCCAGCAGAGCACTGTAGGACCCCTTCTCTGAGATGGCGCCGTTCTCCAGAACCACAATCTCATCCACTTGGGGAAGGAAGTGAATGCTGTGTGTAACCAAGAGTCGGGTCTGTAAACAAACACAAGTGGTGCTGACAACACTATGTCCACCACGTCCCTGTACTACTTTAAAGAGGGAAAACAGCCCTGGCCAGTTTGGCTCAGTGGTTGGAGCGTCGGCCTGCGGTCCGGAGAGACCCGGGTTCGGTTCCCGCTAAGGGCATGTACCTCGGTTGCAGTTTGTCCCCAGCCCTGGTTGGTCGTGCGGGTGGCAGCCACTCGAGGTGTCCCTTCATGTCGATGTTTCTCTCTCTCTCTTTCTTCCTCTCTCTCCCTCCCACTCTATCTGTACAAAAAATGGAAAAATATCCTCGGGTGAGGATAAGAAAGAAAAGAAAGAAAGAAAGAAAGAAAGAAAGAAAGAAAGAAAGAAAGAAAGAAAGAAAGAAAGAAAGAAAGAAAGAAAGAAAAGAAAGAAAGAAAGAAAGAAAGAAAGAAAGAAAGAAAGAAGAGGGGAAAACAGATACCTCACTTCACTGTGGGACATTGCTTCAAAATGTGGCCCTGACCACCTGGCCTCTTTTTCTTCCTCTTTCTTTCCTAGTACCTCATCCTAAAACCTGACTCATGTGTAGGATGAGACTCCTGTCATCATGGATATACTCAGTTATTTTTTATAGTGACAATGAGGTGTGCTTTATACACGTTCTCTTCCAGCTTCTTGGTAGCCAGGAGTTGGGCTTAGGAATGTCACTTGACACAACTAACTAAATAGCTAGCTAACTCTCTGCCCCCTTCACTAGCCAGCTGACCAACTGAGCTAACAAGAACTGCCCGGATTCTTCCAGCATGTTAGTGACATTGTGGGGCAAGAAACTTTGTCTCTGGCCCACGCCCTCCCTGGTGTGGGATACCACATTCCTCGTCTCCCTGTCTATTGATGAACCACATGGACTAGTGAAACAGGGACTCCACTCAAAGGAAGGCAAGCACTCATGGGCCAGTTATGAGGTTCAGATAGGGGACTGGGGCTGAGAAGGGCCTCTGGAGAGAAAACCCAAGCCCAATGTCTCTGTCTACTTCACAAACCTACACACTCTAGGTCCCTCTCATCTGGAAGACCCAGGAGATGCTCATCTTAAAGTCTCAGCTCAAAGCCAGCGCCTCTGGGAGCCTTTCCTGAGTCCCCAGGCAAAACTTGGGCATTCCTCCAGTGTTTCCACTGTGCTTTATATAGAATGCTACTAAAATAATTCTTGTATTATAATTTCTTTCCATTCGGTTGTAAGTTCCTTGAGAGCAGGGACCAGACCTTACTTATTAGACCAGTCTTTGAAATGAAGCAGGCACAAGGTGGGTATTCAGTTCATTAATGAACAGAGCAAAAGACCTTAAGGATCAAAGTCAGGACCAGGAATAGGAGGATGAGTGAGTTCCTGTTGACCCAGGGATCCAATAGAGAAGCAAAAGATCTCAGTAGGACAGCAGCCCAGTCAACCCTGCCATCCTGACTGGCAACATTCAAGAAATATTGAAGGGAACAGGCCCAATACAGAGAGTCTTACGGTTTCATGCTGAGATGTTGTTACTGAGACATTCAGACCCTCCAGGGCTCCGTCAGCCTCTCTCCCATTCGGTCCACTGCGCCAGGACAAATGTGCTAACTTGCCCATGGTAAGAAAAACCTGGTCTCCACCTACGACCAGCTCTAGTGACTTGCTCTGGCCACTTTACCTGTACTCTCTCACAGTGGCATCGTGAGACTCAGATGAGACAATGTAATCAAAGTGCTTAGCAAAGGCCTGGGACATAATCATTACTCCAAAAACATCAGCTTTATTCCATGTTCAGGTTGAGTTATCCTTTCAGACATAGTGTTCCTATATCCTGCAAGGGTTCCAGGAAAGTGCCTTCGTAGAGCATGGCTCTAATACCTGCAGGATGACCTGTGTCCCACAGGGACATTTTAAGAGCTCAGTCCCACAAGACTGCCCTGACGTCAGATGCTAGTTGCAAGCCTGGAGCCACCCCTACTTCTGACTAACTAGCTATAAATCAGAAATCTCAAAGACCCCTCCTCAGGTTTGATAGTTTGCTAAAATGGCTCATAGATCTTAGAAAAACATGTTACTTATGCTTATCAGTTTATTATAAAAGATGCAACTCAAGAGCAGTCAGTGGACGAACTGTACCAGGCGAGGCCTGAGGGAGCTTCCATGTCCTGGCGCACGAGCCTCCCAGCGCTTGCTGTGTTCACCAACCCAGAGCTCTGAATCTCCCTGTTCAAGGAGTTTTATAACCCAATCTCCAGCTCCGCCTCCCCTCCCCAGAGGCCAGTGGGTGGGGCTTAAAGTTCCAACAAGGTCCTACTGGGGGCTCCACTCCAAGCGGCTTGTTAGCCTAGACTGGGTATGGACTAAAGGGCTCATTATGAATAACAAACACTCCTAGTATCACTCAGGAAATTCCAAGGGTTAGGAGCTCTGTGACAGGACCTAGAAACAAAAACCAAATATATTTCTTATACTACCACAGGTCTCAAAGTACTTTTTATCATAATCAATCCTAACAGGCTCAATGTCCAAGCCACAGAACAGGCTAAAATTAGCCATGACCTCAAGATGGGAGCCCTCACGGGGTCAGCTCCTGGAAGACGCTGTGTCCCTCAGCAGCCCAGGGGGCAGGTCAATGAGGGCATCTGCTCCAGGACTGCAGCTGTCCCAGATGTGTCCCCACACAGACCTCATGTCTGTGTCACTTTCAGTGAGTTCTCACCTTGCCTTTCAGTAGGCCATTGGGACCCAAAACCTTATCGAAAATGTGTTTTCCCACGTGGGCATCCACGGCGGACAGGGGGTCATCTAGGATGTAGATGTCTGAGTCTTGATAGGTGGCTCTGGCCAGGCTGATCCGCTGCTTCTGACCCCCACTGAGATTTATACCCTGAAGAAGAAAATCATTTCTATTAAGCACCACGCCATAGTCCTGCCTTCACAAAGACTACCAAGGAGGGGTAAGAAAGAGCTTATCAAGGGCTTAAAAATCTTACAAGTTCCTTTATACAAATAAATAACTTTGATTCAGATAAATCCTTTTCAGCCCAATAATTAAAGGTAGGCCCCACTTAGCATGTTCTACCGTATATTTTACTTATTATTTTTGCTGCTTCCCAGAGACTGAAGCACTGTGTCGCAGATTTTCTCTATTTTGTTCATGGGTGTAAATCCAGGACTTAAAATAGTCTCTGGCATGTAGGTACTGAGTAAGTGTGTGTTGAATTAATGAACAAAATCACTCCACAGCTGTATTTCACAAGTCTTTTAACATTTCAAGATCCTTGTCCCCCAAGACTGCTATAAGCAGTTTTAGTAATGGGGACTGTTAAAGAGAGGACCAAGGCCCAAAATGGTGTCACTTGTGCTAAAGCCCAGGGAACCAAACCTAGATTTAATACCTGAGCTCATTTCTGTTTCAGCCTCTCCCAGAAACACAGTCTTACTCAACTAGTGTGACTGTTTCTAGGCAAAGCCAAGGAGGTAGCCTGTCACGTGGGCCTTCTCCACACCCCCTCGCCCAGGACGAGGAGGTAGTCTGCATGATAAAAGTCTTCCCTGGTCGCTTCCTCTCAGAAACGCAGATATCCAGGTGCCCTCCAAAATAATTTCTTACTTTTTTTTTTTTTGCTCATAGCTTTCTTTCCCCACCTTTTTTCCTATTTTTGTACAACACTTGGAGTGTCCTTAGAGGTGCCAGATGGGGTGCTTTCCCATTCATAAATAATAAAGTCAATCAGATCTTCAACTTTACTTGGTTGAATTTTGTTTTTTATCAGGAGGGAGGATGAAAACACCCGAAATATGTAATCGTCAGAGATTTCTAAACAAATTATGCTATATCCATATAATGGATATGATATACAGTAGTCATTAAAAATCCATTTTTAAGAAAGGCATTTAATAACATAAGGAAATAATTCACACTAATTATCTAACTGTTTTAAGCAGATTATTAGACCCCTTTCTGACCCGTACTAATGTGCAGAAGTAGAGGCAGGACACTGGGTTCTTGTTCTGCTACTGTCCCTCCACCATGGCGTCAACCTCGGGCCAGTTGCTGGCTACTTAACCTCTCCGGTCCTAGCCTCATCATCTTTCCTTTAGATTACATAATCCCTGTACTTGCTTCCATATACAAATTTTTAAATTTCTGAGTTATTTATATGAAATATTGTGCAAACTTATGTTTTCTGGTGTTTGTTCAAACACGACCGCCAGAATTGGTCAGCTATTTTATTCCCATGTACTTCTTTACCCTTCAGGGTCCTGAGTACCTTCTCTCCGATCTCAGCCAGGTCTCCTCCAGGCATCACTTCCAAGTCTTGCAAGAGGGCACAGGCCTCTAGGACTTGCTGGTATCTCATCTCATCGAACTCTGACCCGAAAAGGATGTTGTCCTTTATGGTGCCGTTCTGGATCCAGGACTGCTGTGGGACGTAGGCTATCGAGCCCTAGATGGGAAAGGACCAGACCATGTGACAGCTGTACCCCCAGACATGGAGGGTTGAGGGGGAGGGCAGGAGCAGGGAGGAACAAATGGACCTTCGAAGAAATTATTGCAGGTTTGATATTTATAAGTGAACTTAGATTTATTGCAGTGCTATACACCTGAAACTAATACAAAATAATACTGAATGTAAACGATAATTGAAAAAAATATCTGTAGTCTGCTCTGCTACACTGCATGTGGATTAGTGTAAATTAGCTCATTAGTGATTAGTACATTGGGGGATAATGTCAGTATGAAGTAGAAGTTCTTAAAAATGGCCCAAGCACGTCAATGTAATGCAATCAGGGGTAAGCTTTCTCATTATTAAAAAGAAGGCTTAGCAATATATAAAGATCTTAAGGAAAACAGCTGAAGATCTATAGACATGCCTCTCTTTGGTATAAGTAATGGCTGGTTAATTGATTCCAAGTACCTAGAGTTTCCCCAAAAGTAGTTCTCTGGAGAAGCCAAGAGAGCTGATGAGGATGCCATGAAACATTTCCTCTCTGTTAAAAACTTTATAACCACCTGGCTGGGCGGCTCAGTTGGTTGAGTGCCATCCCTTACCCCAAAAAGTTTGCGACTTTGATCCCCGATTGGGGTGCATCAGGAAGGCAATTGATCTCTCCCTTCTCTCTTCTCTCTCTCTCTCTCTCTCTCTCTCTCTCTCTCCCCTTCCCTCCCTCCCTCTTTCTCTCTCTCTCAATCAATAAAAAATACCCTTGGGTGAGGACTAAAACAACAAACAAACACCAAATTTATAAACTTGTCTACAGCTTACATCAAATGTTTGTATTGGAGGCAAGTGTCTCCAAAGGAGGAGATGGGAGACCCTGGACTAACTGTAACGCTGGGCACAACTGCCAGCAGAGATTTTTACAGTGCTACTGATTTTATTGTTATTGTTTATTGTCTTTGTCGGTACCCTGGTTACCAGGTCTTGTTTTTATTGCATACCTTTGTGGAACATGAAGATTTTAGAAACACATATACAGACATAACAAAATTGTCCATACTTTGAAGGAAGACATCTCCATTTGACAGTTTTGAAACTGTAGTAGCCTATGAGAATCATCTGGGTTGCTCATTAAAAATGCAGATTCTGCCCAGCCGGTGTGGCTCAGTGGTTGAGCATTGACCCAGGCACCAAGAGGTCACTGGTTCAGTTCCTAGTCAGGGCACAGGCCCTGGTTGTGGGCCCAGTCCCCAGGGGGGCATGCAGAAGGTGGCCAATCGATGTTCTCTCTCATTGATGTTTCTTTTTAAAATTTTTTTCTTTATTGATTTTAGAGAGAGAGAAAAAAAGAAAGGGAGAGGGAGAGAGAGCTAGAAACATTGAAGAGAGAGAACATCTACTGGCCACCTCCCACATGCCCCCCACTGGGGATTGGGCCCACAGTCTGGGCACGTACCCTGACTAGGAATCGAACCGGCTACCTTTTGCTGCATGGGTCAATGCTCAACCAATGAGCCACATGGGCCGGGTCTCATTGATGTTTCTATCTCTCCCTCTCCCTTCCTCTCTCTCTAAAATCGACAAAGAAAAATTACTTAAAAAAAAAAAAAAAAAGGCAGGTTCTTAGAATCTACCCCTTGAGTCTGATTATGTATGTGAGGTGGGGCCAATACTCTATAGGCTCGAATTCAACCAGATGTCTCCAAGACCTTTCACCTGTACAGCAACGCGACAGCAGTGGTGTCAGATTCTAGTTCTCAGTGCATTCACCCAATGAAAAAGCAGCACGGAGTGGCCTACATTTGTCAGAGTCTGCTACTTGGCATTTCCTCTCACCTTGATGGTGATGTGCCCATGGACATTTTCCATTTCTCCCAGCATGGCCGACAACAAGGAGGATTTCCCAGAGCCCACAGAGCCCACCACAGCCACCAACTGGCCTGGCATAATGTCCAGGTTCACACTGAAAGAGAGAAATGCATTTGAAGAAGATGAGGGGGCTTATTCAAGAGGAGTTCAGGCCACTTCTCAGACTCTCTGTGGGAAGTTTGGTATTTGGAGATTTTCTCTCAAGACTGGAAAATTTGTCTTGGATGTATACAAGACTCCAAAGTGCTTCTTTAATTATTTATTTCTAAGCTCTCAGAGCCTAGAGAGTAAACCCTAGTGTATTCAACTCATTTATAAGCTGTTTGTGCCAAACTTGTGTTCCCACTGGAAAAATTCTTAGAACTAACATGTTGTCCTTGAACAAGACCCTGGTGGGAGCTGGAGACCCAAGTACAAGTCCCAGCTTTGTCACTGGCCAGCTGTGTGACTTTGAAATGCCACACCCTCTGAACTCTCATTTCTAAACTAGTGGTCTCAGACTAGATTAATTTTTCCCAAACGTCACTCTTCAATGAGACTAGCCATTCAATGGAGCACTTGTTGAAAGCACAGATTGCCACCTCCTCCCCTGGAGATTTGGCTGTGTCTGGCTGGGGGTGGGGGCGGTCCACACTGGGCTAGACACCTAGGAACTCCGTACCAGCCCTATTATTTGAGTTCCTGGAATATTAGGGACCTCAGGAACTTGTTCATAGTCTTTCTGAACCTGCCTATCAAGCTGAACTTGTTCTAGACTTATAAATGAGCAAAGGGGGAGCTGTGTCCAGTCTTCTCTCTGTGAAGAGAGATCTTCAGGTTGGGAGGGTTCAGAGGAGGAGTTTCCGGCCTGACACACCCCGGGGCAAGCTCCAGAGTCCACGTTCAAGGCTGTGGAAATAGCAGAGAAGGGAGGAAAGGCCTGACTGTAGCAGGGAATTGATAAGGTGTGCTCAGCTGTGAAGAAAGAAAGATCCGCCTGCTCAGGCTGCGGTGTACTCCGTGTATCTGTGCTCCACTGAGCTGGGTGTTCTGTCACGTGTAGTGCTCAAGAAACAGATTACAGCCCTGGCCGGTTTGGAGCGTCGGCCTGCGGACCAAAGAGTTGCAGGTTCTATTCTGGTCAAGGGCATGTACCTCGGTTATGGTTCAGTCCCGACCTTGGTCGGTGTCATTTGGGAAGCAACCAATCAATGTGTCTTTTTCATGTCGATGTTTTTCTCTCTCTCTCTCTCTCCCTCCCTCCCACTCTATCTGAAGATAAATGAAAAAGTATCCTCGGGTGCAACACCATGGCAAGAAGGGGTTGGCCTAGGGCAGAGGAGGCAGCCTTCAGGGTGGAATGTAGGGATGGGTTATTTAGATGTAAAACTCCAGAACTGAAATTGAATCTTATGGAAGCAGCTCCCATTGCCCACTTTGGTGAAGGAACTCCAATGCTCCTAATTACATTCTTTAATGAATGAATGAGCTTAAACTGAGTTCAGGTTTAGTGGAACCTTCTGACCCCTCTTACAGACTCAGCCTCACCTCAACCATGGGAGCCAGCCCATCCCTCTGGAGAGAGGCAAATTAAGATGCTCTTTTTCAACCCTTCAGAAAACTGGGGGGAGGGAGAGAGGCAGGGCTACTCTACTGCTCTCTCTCCAATCTCTTTCAGAAACTTGTGTGTATCCTCTACCATACCCAGAGACCTAGACCACCTGCCCACCATGCACTACCTCCAGCCACAATCTGGAGAACAAATGTCTTCAGAGTTCTCAGCTAGACATGTGAGGTCCCACCGCAGGAAAGCAGGGTGGCGGATGCATTCATGAGCAGAGACCCAGGATCTTCCGTCAGCTCATCCCTGCAGCGGTTGAGCCTGCACTGCCATCTAACTGAACATGTGCACACAGCTCATCTCCCCATGTGTTCTGTTACATGATTTTCGATCGCAGGACAGGCAAGCAGAATCCTAAGGAACAGCAGGACGGAAAGGAGGCGACTCACTCTCGAATTGTGGTTTCCAAATCCTGGTCCCAGGTAAAGGAGGCCTCGGAGAACTGTACGACTTTGTCTGTTGAGAAGCAAGTCTCTTTTTTAGTTAGAGGTAGGTCCCCACCTGCCTGTCTTCTCTTTCTCAGCCCTCACACAACCCTCTCTGCTTCCTCCAGCAGATCCCAAGATCACCTCTCTCAGGTGCTGCAAAAACTCCAGGGATAGACCAGAAGTTGAATGTGTGCAAAGTCCCTTCTAATTCAGTAGCCCTAGGCCTGTTGTGAGCTTCCACCTACATATACACCTTCAGCTGCTCCCTACCTGGATTCCAGACCCACTGCTCGCTCTGGCTGTGGACGCCCCCAACCCTTGAACCCCCAGAACCTGCATTTCCTTCACTCCAGCCCACCTCCCCAGCTCCATAGGCTCAGCTCAGCCTGACTTCTGCTCTCTGGACGCTTTGCAGGATCCCTGCTGATCCTCAGAACAGCATGCTTAGCTTCGTTTAGCAATCTAGCCAAGCAAGCTGTTCAAAGTGAAAACACAATTTAAGTAAAAGCCGTACAATTATATGCAAAGGGAGATTCGGGATCAGTCCCCTCGCTCTCCCTTTCAATTGATTTGCTGCTGCCGAGTCCGTGAGTTTCAAAGTTCTGACACCAAGCACAGTGAATACGTTTGGGAAACAACTTCCACATTCATTTACCAAAATTGCAGTCATGTCGAATGGCAGAAGTGTCCAAGTCATCCCCTCCCAAGTACTTCTCCAGCCGTTCTGTGGAAACACTGGCCTAGAGGAGAACACAGAGAGTCTCAAGAATAAAAAACCCAGCGACAAAGACAAGCAGGGAGAGGATTTTGACTCTGTCATCAGCCTTGGATTTGGAAGGAGATAGTCAATCTGCCAGGCTTCTTGCCCATAATTTGCCACTTCCGCTGAAATCTTCTGACCCCCACTACAGACTCAGCCCCACTTCAACCCGGGAGCCAGGCCATCCCTCTGGACAGAGGCAAATTAAGATGTGCTGTTTCAACCCTTCAGAAGACTAGGGGGAGGGAGAGAGGTAGGGCAACTCTACCACTCTCCCTCCGATCTTTGTACCTAGTTCCAGAAACTGTCCCTTGTCTTCCTGTGAGATAAAACGCTAATTTCTATCCGGATCTGGTGGCTAGGCCCCTGGCGTGCTCTTCTTTAACTGAGTCCATGCCTTGATGACCCCTTCTGAGCCCTGAGCCACTAGTGGGACTTCGTAGAGCAATTGGCCAGGGCGCACTGTGACAGAAGCCACAGCGACCTACGTGTTGGCAGAGCACCCTGTGGTCCCCCTGGAACAGGGGAACTTGGGAAGATTTCCAGGAACTTTGTAAGGACATTTCTCACCTCCTGCCCATCTTCAGGGAGGCTGTCACCTGGTTCTGATGAAGTGTGAGGCTTTCGGCCTTGTCCTCTCCTTAGGGTGTAACCGCAGACTATAGGACTGCTTAGCTGCAGCAGGGACCAGCTCCTCAGAAACACTGTCATCTGACCCCTTTGTCTCAGTGCCATCTTGTGGGACAGGGAGTGTAGGGAGCTGGCACTTTTGCTGATCTTGCTTTTGCTATCTATCTACCTAATAAACTCAATCCAAAAAGAGTGCGTTGCTTCTGTATTGGCCACACCTGTCAGTTTTCTTAACAGCCTCCAGGACAGAGAGGCCTCCTCCTAAACCCCCACCCTCCCTGTGGTCTGAGCTGTCTGGAGGCAGCACCTCTGAGGTGAATGCAGATCACTACACTCCATCATCCTGGCTGCCTCACCAGTCGGCACCTGCCCTGTGACCCCCCCTTCCCCCCCGAGGTCTGGTCCTCCTCCGTGACTGGGCTCAGTTTTCAGGACCCAGATGCTCCCTCTGGCCCACCCCAGGCCTCCTGAACTCCAAATTCGTTTTCTGACAGCTTGAGGCTCCCAAATTGCCTTTGGTGTTACCACCACATGGCTTCATACAAAGAGAGGGTCTTTTCTCTCCCTTCATTCCATAGTTCCCTAATGCTCTAAAAATACCTCAAGAGCCTTGGGAAAATGTGGGGAGAACTAGGCTGGGAAAGGGCTTAGAAATGTTACAGATATCAGGGTTCACCACAAATGCTTTCACAGCACTGCCTCCCTGTGAGGGAGATGAGACTCCTCATGTTATAGTCAGATAAAGGGGTGCAGAGAGCTTGTGATTGTACTAAGATCAAACCACCTGTCCAGAGATCAAACACATCTCTCTAGTTGAAATGTCACCTGCAGAAGCTAGAAATGAGATATGATAGCCCAGTCATTCTAGAACTAAGGCTTGTAAGCAGAGATAATCAGTTAGCCGTGGAAGTTCCTACCTGGAGCATGGAGGAGATCAACATGGGAAGCATGCTCAGGGGAAAGCGTAGGATGTTGAAGAGGGTGATGGAAGTGAAGGCCTTTTTTGCATCTAAAATATTATTGCTATCCACCAGGACGTAAACGGAAAATGTGACCACAGATACCTGGAAAAGCAAGGTCATGAAGGTTTATTCCTAAAGGGTTTAGGCAGCCTTGTGCTGTCTCAGGAACACAACAGATCAAAATTGAAGGAATCTTAAGGATTATCTCAACCAACCCATGTTACAGATGAGAAAGCTGAGCCCAGAAGAGGAGGAAATATTTTCCCTGAGTCATAAAGTCAATTAATGGCATTGCTGGGACCAGAGCTCGGGTCTCCTGGCTCCTCTATCGGTGTTTCTTCCACTATTGACCCACATGGCTTCCCCAAGAAGACAAGAAGCCCTCTTTGCAAACCATTCCTGGATACCACATTCCTGGTGAACATCCTAGCAACTGGCTCTTGGCCCCAAGACCACCACATTGCACATAAGGGAGAAACTGGAATTGAGGCATGAGGTGGGAAGAGCAGTATGGGGAATGGAGGAGGGGGCCAGAGTTCCCTGGACTTCCTGGTCAGGCCTAAGGGTTCTGGGCAGCATATCTAGGACAGACCTTTTTCTTCAAGAGGCTGACTCAGCCCACAGACTGTGTCACTCACCAGGACTGGAGTTAAGTATAAGAGAAACATTATCAAAGACTGCATCTGCCCAAAGGTGAGCAAGTTCTTGAGCTCTTTCTTCCGAATGTCGTAGACTTGGTTTTTGAATGAAGGTTCCCAGGCAAAATATTTCAGGATCTAATAGGATGAAAAAGAGCACTTCTCACACTGTTGCCACCAAAGGACACAGGTGCATCTCATCCACCCAGGTTTTAGGATATGGTCCCCAAAATTTGGGGAATGGGAAGAAATCCAGATTATAAAGTTTGATTACAGAAAGGTAGCCTGTATTTGTTGACAACCTACTATGTACAAAGGTTTTATAGACATTATTTTATTTACTCCCTATGACATTCTAAGCATGACCAACTGTCCCAATTTGCCCAGAACTAAGGGCTCCCAATGCTAGACCTGGGAAGTCCTGAGTAAACTAGGGAGAGTAAGTCTCCTACTTTTATAGAACTAGTGTATTCATTTTAATGATAAGGAAATAGGCTGAGAGAGGCTAAGTAACTTGCCCAAAGTCACCAGCTAGCTAGAAATAGAGCTGAGACTTGACACCAGGTCTATTCATTTTGCCACACTAGCAGGAAAGCATTATCAGGGCTCTGTGTGGAGACATATCAGGGCATTAAAAGGTGCCTCCATTTCATTTTCAAGAACTTTAGGGTAATGTAAAATCCATTAATTCAAAACAACATATATATTTAAAAAGATCTTATTGATCTTTTGGATCTATTGGAGGATGAAATGCATTATTTTGAAAGCTGGTAAATAGAGAAAAGAAGAAAGCATTTATCTTTCCTATCCTGTACAGATTTTAATTTAAGGTAATTAACTAGTTGATTAAGATAATTCTTCTTGGAGATTCCAAAATAGTGGCAGAGTGAATGGAAGCTACACAGACCATCTCCCAGGACCAAACTGGAATCACAACTAAAATAAAGACAAATCGTGGGGAAAAAGCAACAGAAAAGCAGCTTGCGAGGACCATATAACCAGGGACACTGAACCAATCCTGGTAGGATTGCGGAGGCATAAGAGGAGGGCTGGGAGCCCACGACAGCAGCAGTCTTAGCTGTGAGCAGTGCCCTTGGGGTTAAAAGCCCAAGCCTGCTCCACAGCGCAGAGGGTCAGGACAGACGCTAAAGTAGCCACAGCCACTCAACTTGGGGTCTGGCACAGGGAGGGCAGACAGGACTAGAACTGTGTGGGAACACTCAGGATTTGGAGGGTGCTCAGAGCTTTTGCTGAGTTGTAGCCATGCAGGATGGCCATCTTACTGTTTCCCAGGTCTCTGGGGAGAGGCAGTGGCCCCTCCCTCGGAGATTCAACCCCACCCAGGTAGGCCATTGAAAAGCAAATTGAGGCTCATTAACAACCAGCATCTGTCCCACCCTCAGGAAATCCTCTTATGCAGAACACCTGAGGGAGTTTTTTATTCAACTGAGAACCCAAGTGTCTTCAAGTAACCAAGACTAATAGCCTACAAGCAAAAGCTAGAGGATAACTGAACCATTCCTGGGCTTGCAAATATAGCCAGGAAAGTCCACGCTCAGCCAAACCCAGTAGAGGGAGCCACAAACAGCAGACCAACACCCACAGGGAAAATTTAGCAGGCTCCAAAACCCACTGAGATAGCCAAAATGGTGAAACAAAGAAACAAATCCCAAATGAAAGAACAAGAGGCCTCTACCAAAGATGAGATAAATGAAATGCAGTTAAGCAAGTTATCAGAGCTAGAATTCAGAGCCATGATCTTGAGGAAGCTCAACAGCATGAGTAAGAACATCAACACCATGAGTAAAGACATAAACATTAAAAATCAACCAATTGGAAATTAAAAACCAAGAAGAAATGAAGAATGACATAGCAGAAATAAAGAACACATTGGAAGGACTAAACAGCAGACTAGAGGAAGCTGAGAACCGGATCAGTGACTCAGAAGACAGGGTAGAAAAAAATCAACCAATCAGAAAACTGAAAGGAAAAAACAATTAAAAACAGGAAGACAGCTTAAGAGAACTGTGGGACAACTGGAAACGTAATAATATTCACATCATAAGAGTCCCTGAAGAAGAAGAAAGAGCAAGGTTTAGAGAATATATTTGAAGAAAGAGTGACAAAAAACTTCATTTAATTTGGTGAAGGAAGAAGGCATTCAAGTTCAAGAAGCACAGCCCTGGCCAGTTTGGCTCAGAGGTTGAGCATCAGCCTGCGGACCAGAGTCCTGGGTTTGGTTCCCGCTAGGGGCACATACCACCAAAAAAAAAAAAGAAGCACAGAGAGCCCCAAGTAAGAAGAACCCAAACAGGCCCACACCAAGACACATAGTAATTAAAATGCCAAAAATTAAAGACAAAGAGAGAATCCTAAAGGCAGCAAGAGATAAGCAACAGGTTACCTACAAAGGACCCCCCATAAGGCTATCAGCTGACTTCTCAACAGAAACACTACAGGCCAGAAGGGAATGGCATGAAGTAATCAAGGTCATGAAAAACAAGGATCTGAATCCAAGATTACTCTACCCAGCAAGGCTATCATTCAAAATAGAAGGTCAAATAAAGAGCTTCCCAGGCAAAAAAAAAAAAAGGCTAAGGGGATACATTAGCACCAAACTAGCACTGCAAGAAATATTAAAAGGACTGCTGTAATTAGTAAAAGAAATAGGAAGAAAAATATAACCACACTAAACAAAAAATGGCAATAAATAAGTATATGTCAATAATCACCTTAAATGTAAATGGACTGAATGCTCTGATAAAAAGACACAGAGTAGCTGATTGGATAAGAAAACATGACTCATATATATGTTGTTTACAAGAGACCCACCTCACAACAAAAGACTCACATAAGTTGAAAGTGAAGGGATGGAAAAAAACTTTCCAAGCAAACGGAAAGCAAAAAAAAAAAAAAAAAGCTGGGGTAGCAATATTCATATCTGATAAAATAGATTTCAAAATGAAGGCCATAACTAGAGACAAAGAAGATCACTACATAATATTGAAAGGATCTATCCAACAGGAAGATATAACCTTGGTAAATGTATATGCACCCAATATAAGAGAACCAAAATATATTAAAAACCTTCTGGACGATTTCAAAGGAGAAATTGACAGCAATACAATCATAGCAGGGGGCTTCAACACCCCACTGATATCACTGGATAGATCCTCTAGACAAAAAATTAGCAAGGAAACAGAGGCTCTAAATGAAGCACTAGACCAAATGGATTTAATAGATCGCTACAGAGAATTACACCTCAAAACTACAGAATTCACATTATTCTCAAGTGCACATGGGACATTCTCAAAGGTAGACCACATGTTAGGATACAAACTAAGTCTCTACAAGTTCAAGAAGATTGAAATCATATCAAGCATCTTCTCAGATCACAATGGTATGAAACTAGAAATCATTTGCAAGAAGAATATGCAAAGACATTTGAACACATAGAGGCTAAATAGCATGTTATTAAACAATGAATGGGTTACTGAGGAGATCAAGGAAGAAATAAAAAACTTCCTGGAAACCAATGAAAATGAACACACAACAACACAAAATCTATGGGATGCAGCAAAAGCAGTTCTGAGAGGGAAGTTCATAGCACTACAGGCCTACGTCAAAAAACAAGAAAAATTTCTAATAAAATATCTCACCTCACAACTTAAAGAACTAGAAAGCAAACAAAAAGAAAACCCCAGAGCAAGTAGAAGGAAGGAAATTGTAAAGATCAGAGCAGAACTAAATGACATAGAGATCAAAAAATCAATTCAAAGGATCAATAAAACAAAAAGCTGGTTTTTCGAAAAGATAAACAAGATTAATGAACCCTTAGCTAGACTCACCAAGAAACAAAGAGAGAGGACCCCAATACACAAAATCAGAAATGAAAGAGGAGAAGTAACATCTGACACAACAGAAATACAAAGGATCGTTAACAAATACTATGAACAACTATATGGCAACAAATTTGACAATCTATGAAAACTAGACAAATTTCTAGAAACACATAGTCTCCCAAAACTGGACTGGGAAGAGATAGAAAACTTGAACAAATCAACAACAACTAAGGAAATTGAAGATGTAATCAAGACTCTCCCAGCAAACAAAAGCCCAGGCCCAGACGGCTCCACCGGGGAGTTTTACCAAACATTCAAAGAAGAACTAACACCCATTCTCCTCAAACTATTTCAAAAAATTCAAGAAGAAGGAAGACTTCCAAACTCGTTTTATGAGGCCAGCATAATTCTAATTCCAAAACCAGAAAAAGATACTACAAAGAAAGAAAACTACAGGCCAATATCTCTGATGAATATAGATGTCAAAATTCTGAACAAAATACTAGCAAATCGCACCCAGCAATACATCAAAAAAATTATTCAACATGACTAAGTGGGATTCATCCCTGGGATGCAAGGCTGGTACAATATTCTTAAATCAATAAATGTGATACACCACATAAACAAAATGAAAGATAAAAACCACATGATCATATCAATAGACGCTGAAAAGCATTCGACAAAATCCAGCACCCATTTCTGATAAAAACTCTCAGCAATGTGGGAATAGAGGGATCATATCTCGACATAATAAAGGCCATATCTGAAAGACCTACAGCCAACATCATACTTAATGGGCAAAACTAAAAGCATTTTCCTTAAGAACAGGAACAAGATAGGGAAGCCCACTTTCGCCACTCTTATTTAACATAGTACTGGAAGTCTTAGCCACAGCAATCAGACATGAAGAAAAAATAAAAGGTATCCAAATTGAAAAGGAGGAAGTGAAACTGTCATTATTCACAGATGACATGATACTATACGTAGAAAACTCCAAAGACTCCATCAAAAATTTACTAGACTTAATAAATGAATTTGGCAAAGTAGTAGGATACAAAATTAACGTCAAGAAATTGACTGCATTCTTATACACCAATGATGAACCCACAAAAAGAGAAACTAAAAAAACAGTCCCATTTACCATCATGGCAAAAAAATTAAGATACCTAGGAAGAAACTTAACCAAAGGAGTAAAGGACCTATTTGCAGAAAACTACAGGTCATTGAAAAAAGAAATAGAGGAAGATATAAAAAATAGGAACCACATACCTTGTTTATGGATTGGAAGAATTAACACCATTAAAATGTCCATATTACCCAAAGCAATCTATCGATTCAATGCAATCCCCATCAAAATACCAATGACATATTTCACAGAACTAGAACAAATACTTCAAAAATTCATATGGAACCAAAAAAGACCTCGAATAGCCACAGCCATGTGGAAAAAGAAGGACAAAGTAGGTGGGATCACAATACTGGATATCAGGTTATACTACAAAGCTACTGTAATCAAAACAGCCTGGTACTGGCATAAGAACAGGCATATAGACCAGTGGAACAGATCAGAGAACCCAGAAATTGACCCAAGACATTATGTTCAATTAATATTTGACAAAGGTGGCAAAAGCATACAATGGAGTAAAGACAGCCTCTTTAATAAATGATGTTGGAAAAATTGGACAGCTACATGCAAAAAAGTGAAACTAGACCACCAACTTACACCATACACAAGAACAAACTCAAAATGGATAAAAGACTTAAATGTGACTCGTGAATCCATAAAAATCCTACAAGAAAATGTAGGAAACAAAATTTCGGACATCATATCCAGCAGAATTTTCACTGACACATCACCTAAGGCAATAGAAACAAAGGGGAAAATGAACACATGGGACTACATCAAACTAAAAAGCTTCTGCACAGCAAAAGAAATAACCATCAAAATGGAAAGGGAACCCACTGTATGGGAAACATCATTGCCAATGATACATCAGATAAGGGGTTAATTTCCAAAATATATAGAGTGCTCATACAGCTCAAAAAAAGGAAGACAAGTAACCCAATTAAAAAATGGGCAGAGGAACTAAATAGGCACCTCTCAAAACAGGACATACAAATGGCTAAGAGACATATGAAGAGAGAGATGCATGAGGTAATTGGGGAGATTCAATAGTACCAAAAAATGATTGCTAATTTTTTTTAGGTGTAATAATGGTATTGTGGGTATGTTTAAAAACCAAATCTTTCTTTTAGAAATATATAGAAAGTATTTACTAATGAAATGACAAGATCATCTGGGATTTGCTTTAAAATAATTTAGCAGGGCATGAAGTGGGGGTGGGGGTGGGGTTATATATAGATGAAACTAGCTAGGTCATGTTGATTATCGCTAAAGTTGGTGATGTCCAGGGGGTTGAGTATATCATTCTGTCTACTTTTGTGTACATTCAACAATTTGCAAGGTAATGTAAAAACAAAACAAACCACTTAAGGTAAATAAATAGAAATCACGGTCCAAAAGAGGGCCAGAAAGGGATAGGAGAAGAAACAGCAGACTTGTGGGTAGATGAATCAGGAGTCATGTGACACACACAGGCCTAGAAGCAGAAATCCACAATCTCCACCCAGGTTTGTTAACATCAAGACCCCAGAGCTATCGTCATTGCACACAGAGGAAGGCCATCTATACTCTCAGCTTCTCACCTTGATTCCATTGAGAATCTCATTCATGATCTTCAAACGTTTATCTTTCTTCTTCATATTTTTTACCTGCCAGGAAAAAGTAAAACAAAAACAAAACACACTTCCATGTGAGAGGGTCCAGATTTGCTGCAGCGAGTAGGTCTCGGTGGCACATACGGCCATCCCCTGGTAAGAGAGTGATGTGCCCAGTGATGGGATGTGTCCCTCCCACTCTCCTCTTTGCCCACTCTGTCCCTGCCACACCTACCTTCTTTCTGATCCTTGAACATGCCAACCTCGTTTCTGCCCCCACAACCTTGGCCTGACTATGCCTCTCCCCAGGTTGTTTTTCTCAGGGCTTGCTCATTCATGGTCAAGCTTGTGTTGTTCAGAGCTCAGTTCAGATATCCTCAGGAAGGCCTTTCCTCACCCCGTAATCTAAAACAACCATCCACCCACTCACTATCACATCACCCCATTTAATTTTCTGTATAGTACTTATCATGACCTAATATTTTTCTTCTTTGCTTTTGTTTGCTTGTGGCCTGTCTTTCCACCCCAAGTAGAATGTAAGCTCCACGAGAACAAGCGCCTGTCTAACTTGCTGCTGTGTTCCCAGAAAAGCAGGATGTACGATAAATATTTTTTAAATAATTGGTAACTGAATGCAAAACGAATGAATAACTCATGTACATCACTGAGTCCATCCACCCAGCCTATGATTCCTGGCAGAGCTAAGGACTGTCCACCTAGAGATAGCAAGGTTGATTGCTAGAATTTAGGCTTAAGTTTGAGTCACTCATGTGACTGCTCTGTGTGGTTGGTTTGTATTGTTAGGATGAAGAAACAGGGCCAATAATCACGGTTCTAAAGGCCCAGTGGAGCAGGGAGGGAGAGTTCTGTTCGGGATCCCTGAACAGCTCTTCTCTCTCCAATCAGGCTCTTCCCTCTAACATGAATGAAGATAGAGTATATAAACCCTACAGGCGGTTAGAACATGAAAAAGGAAGATAGAGAAAGCCACTTTCATTAGTGATGGTGGAAAGTCTTCCATCAACTTTGCCTTGCCTCCCACTCCCACCAAGAATTAGAATAAAATGAACAAAAGACTTTAGACTTTGAAGAAGGTGTGTATATCCGTAGAGTGACTGTTTCTTTACCTGAATAGTCTTATTCTTGGTGGCAATTATCCCATTAACTGGGATTAGGAGCAACATCACCCCAACACCAGCTATGACTGAGGGTCCTAACTCTACCCACAGGAAGTAGATGGATAAGATAATTTGCAGAACATTTGACCACAGCAGGTGGATGAAGTTGGTTACGTCCATGAGCTTCTGGGCATCCACAGACATCAGGTTCACTGTTTCTCCAACGGTGTACTGCTTCCTTGCCCGGTTGGATAGGCTCAGTGCCTAAAGATAAAGATAGAGATTGGGACCCGTGAACAAGGCCAAGGATACTGGGAAGTAAAAGGGGAAACTCAGGAGGTGAGAACACAGCAGAAGGATGGGCTCCACATGGACACAACTTTTTCAAGGGGCTGTGCCTTCTTGCCTCCAAATTTTATACAGTGTTCTCTCAATTCTATCCTGCTATTCTCACCTTCTCCAACCCCCCCCCCACTTCTTTGCTCAGAAAATTCCTATTTATCCTTTAGTGTCAGTTTAGAAAGGACATGTTCTGAGACTTCCCTGACTTTTATGCCTGGGTTCGATACCCCTCCCATGTACTCCCATAACATCCTGTGCTTACCTCTGCCATCACATTCATCACACTGAGCTATAATTGTTTTGTTTTCTATTTCCCCACCAGATGTAAGCTCTGTGAGGACAAGGACACCCTCTGTCCATTTCACTACTGTTTCACATGGTGCAGAGTAGTGAACCGAATACTGAAAGATGGATCAAACGGAGGGATGAAGAGAGGAAGCATGTATTGATTCTGGCCTTGTAGACTTTTGATGTGACAATGTTATTTGGAGCCATACTCTAATGAGGAGGTTGCAACCATTCCCAAAAAGGGCAGAGATCTTAGAATGGAGAGGAAAGCTGCAGGGTTCACACATTTGAAGCAAACTGACTTGTTTATTGTCAAAAATGTGTAGGCAATGTCTAGACACCTGACTCTTATAGTATGGGCACCCTGTTCTCATGTGAAAGAGATCAGAAGGCTGATACCAACAGGTCTATCCCTTACAACAACGCCTGGCACAAACACACTCCAGCTAAGGAACTAGGGTTGGAGGTGGCGTTACTGGAAGAAGGAGAGCCTTCTCCTAATTTCCACAAAGACAGTGTATGGTCTACAAGTGGCCCTAGATAGTCATCCCAATGCTTCTCCTATAAGTTTTATGGTCATCTTAATCTACCAATACATTCTTCTTTGGGATATACCAGGATTCTTGATTGTACAGTAAAAAGGAAAATTTTCTAAAATGTTAGGTTACCAAAGTTCTAGAGAAATAAGTCTACCTCTATGCCTCCCCTTTGGTATGGAAAAGGGGGGAAAAAAGTAACATCTAATTACCCTTTAAGGTAATCACTTTTCTTTTCTCAGTAACTCTCAATGAAGTGAAAAAGTCATTGATTTAGTCCCAATAGCCTTTGTCTGGGGGCTGGTCTCGGCTATGTGATTGTAGGCATTGAATAGACCTAAGCCTTACTTCTCTGTAAAATAAGAACAATGCAATTATCTCACAGAGCTATGGATTGATAATCGATGTGAAAAATGTTTCTTAACATTTCATAAACAAAGCATTGTTTAAACATAGGAAATTAGTCCATTTTAAATTCTATTCTATTAGCAATATTTATTTGTCTCCTTAAGAGCTCTATTTTACAAATTCCTTATGGATTGTAACAGGTGCAAAACCTGGAATATATTAAGAATCAAAATAGTGAGAACAAATCATCACAACTGTTAAGGTGTACATGAGTAGAAATGGCTGAGGCAGCCTAATTAGTGACCTAAAATCCTGCAAACCAGAAATCCAGTATCTCCAGAAGGAATAAGGGGATTAGGACATTAATTTGGGAGAAGGCAAATGCCAGGGTGAGGGTTTCTGGGAGTTCCAAGGACTTGATCAGACTTCTGACCTAAAGAAATCTGAATTACCTGTCTGGGTCTCTTGACAAGTCAACATCTACTGAGGGAAGACAAAGACACGTGCTGTTGTAAGAGAGGAAAGCAAAGGAGAAACCCAGGACCACAACAGAGAGATCACTGTGATGGAATTGTCTAGTGGTGGAAGAAAAGACAACTGTTTGATGTTCTGACCTATAAAAATTCTTGTCTCCTCATGTATGAATTTTCTCTTCAGGCTTATAGTCACTGATCATAACTATTATATTTCCATTTCTTTTTATTTATTTCTTCCTTATTAAGATATAACTGACTGTATTTTCATTTAAGGGAAAAAATGAGACTTCACTTTGGTATCTAGAATATAAGAAAAATACAGTTGTCCTGAGAAAGTTTTTTTTTTTTTTTTTTTTTTATCCTCACCCGAGGATATTTTTCCATTTTTTGTACAGATAGAGTGGGAGGGAGAGAGAGGAAGGGAGAGAGAGTGAGAAACATCGACATGAAGGGACACATCGAGTGGCTGCCACCCGCACGACCAACCAGGGCCGGGGACAAACTGCAACCGAAGTACGTGCCCTTAGCGGGAACCGAACCCGGGTCTCTCCGGACCGCAGGCCGACGCTCTAACCGCTGAGCCAAACTGGCCAGGGCATGTCCTGAGAAAGTTAAACATTAAAAGCAACACATCAGAGGGAAGATAAGCAAAATCATCATTAAAAAAAAATTATTTTTCTTTATTTAAAAAAAATTTTTTATCATCACTTGAGGACTTTTTTTTTTTTTTTTCATTTATCTTCAGATGGAGTGGGAGAGAGAGAGGGGGGAAGAAAGAGAGAGAAACATCAACATGAGAGAGACACATCGACTGGTTGCCACCCACATGACCCCAACTGGGGCCAGGGACAAACTACAACCGAGGTATGTGCCCTTAGCGGGAACCTCTCTGGTCCACAGGTCAACGCTCTAACTGCTGCGCTAAACCAGCCAGGGCTCTTTATTTATTTTTAGAGAGAGAAGAAGGGAGAGGAAGAGAGAGTGAGAGAGGGGAACATCATGTGAGAGAGACACATTGATTGGTTGCCTCCTGCACGACCCTGACTAGAGCTGGGATTGAACCTGCAACCCAGGTACGTGCCCTTGACTGGAATAGAACCTGCCACCCTTCCTTCCGGGGGCGGATATTCCACCCGCTGAGCCAAGCCAGCCATGGAAGCCCACTTACCTTTTTATATACAGAAGCCATAATGGTTGTCCGTACTTTTATGCCCAGCGTGAAGCACAGTTGAAAGTAAGACTGAAGGCAGAAGGACTGGATGAGGGCCACAGTGAAGAAGAGGATTGAAAGGAGATACCCAATCCACACATAGGGGTCATCCTCGTTTGCGAAGGAGATCAGCAACCTGCCAAAGCAAAACCGAGTCAGTGGTGGGCACCCGGCACCCGAGGTGTCCACGCTCCTTGTGCACAGCCAGCCACCCTACCCGCCCTGTAGGTTACGGAAGTGCCCAGAATTTTCCACTGCTGTTGGAGGACTGAGTGCCACAGCTGTGCCGGTGCTCTTGTGTGGTTCGAAGGCAGCAGGAAGAGCTTCGGGTTGGTGAGCCAGGGCTGTTTGGCGGGACTATGAATGACCACAGAGCTACCGCTATCTCCCTGTCCCCCTGTCTCCCTCCAGCCCCTGGTGAAACAGGCTGTGTGGGGCAAGTCCATTCATCCCTGGAGCCTGAAAGGAATTAGGACATGTATCCAGAATGATTTAGAAGGGCTTCTGGAGGATAGTTTATTCCATAGATCCAGGCAGACTGTTAGGTCTTGTCATGATTAACCCGAACCTCCCCTTGAAGACAGAGGCTGTGGAGCCATGAGGTTACAGACAAGAGGTACAAGGCCCTCCTGGGGTATGCTGCCCCCCTCTTGGACTTGGCTGGGCCCACAGCAGTTTCATTTAACAGGAAAGAGTCCCTAACAAGGATCTGGCTTCCTGTGGGGTAGGGGCTGAGGGAAAATGTGGAAAAGAGGCAGGGCCAAAGGATTCATCACCTTAGCTTTTGAAAGCTGCCTTGCGCTTTTCACAAGCACAGCACTGTAAGGTGGAGGAAACCGTGAGCATCTTAAAAACTGAGAGTTTAATGATCAGCTCCTGCCTGCAGACACAAGGCTGGACCGCGCGGCCCAGACTCACTTCAGCAGCTGGGGGTTCAGGAACAGCAGCCCGTCGTGCACCAGCTTCAGCAGGAACGATTTCAGGATTATGATGTAGAAAGTTTTGAAGAGGGTCTTGATCAACCAGGACTTAGGAAAGTCTTCTGTGGTCCCAGACTTCTTTTTTTTCTTTTTAGCTTCTTCCTAGGTACAACACCAAACAACAGTGTTCACAGAGCTGCGGTGTATATGACTGTCCCACACTGGCAGCTCGTTTTAAGCCCGAGCCCTGTTGCCTTCTTTGTGTAGGTTTGGTGACACCCAGTGGCCCTCAATAAACATTTCAAGTAAAAAAAGTAAGTGAATTAACTGCGAATGCTAAATTCCACCAAGGTACAAATTCTAGTAATGCTAAGGTATTTTATTTTATCTTTCTATTTTAAAAAACATTTTATTAAAAGAAAATTTCAAATATACCCAACAGTACACTATACCCCTATGTATCCATCACCAAGGTATTATTAGTATTATGAATATGAATAATAATACAAAATACACTGCAAAGTATAAAGTGATATAAAAAAATGTGAGGAAAGCTTCACCATCCATGTCTTCTTGCCTGAGACATGCAGCACATTTGTACAGACCCTCATGGGAAAGTTACCAGGACTAGGACATCCTGGCTTTGACTCTGGTTCTTGTTCAGATCATGCAGCCTGGTTCTGGAGTGCCGGGCGTTCTGCTGCCGTCTCTGGAGTGCCCGCCTGGCCTTCAGCAGCTCCCCTGCCATGTGCGTTTCAAATCTGCTGACTAGTATCTTGCTTTTACTCTGTTCATCAACATCCCAGATATCTTCCAGTGTCAGAGGTTGCTTGTAGCCTTTCAGAACAATGCTAGAATAAGAGCGACCCAGAGGCTGAGACTATAGGGCTGGGTTAGAGGCTGTCTCCTGGATGCTTCTATCAAAGCCCGCCTCCCAGTTCTGGGATGGAGGGATAAAAGAACGAGACCTCTCCCTTGCTTCAACATCCCACCTCCTGATCCTTTGGCCTTGACGGAAGAATGGGGGGAACAGGAAAGGGACCAGGTGAGGTAACGGAAGAAGGTAGAAGACAAGAGAAGAGAAGGGAAGGGGCGCTACTGAATTAAAAGCTAATGGAGCATCACCTCCCCCTGCTCCTGCTCCTTCCTCCTCAAACACTGGCTGCCTCTCTGCTGCTCGGGCATCTCCTGAAGGGGCCTCCACGATGTCCTTAAGGACCTGAGCAGACCTGGAGGCCACCTCCATATTCTCTAGATCAGATCTCCTCAACCTAGGACTTGAGAAAATGGATGGAAAATGGAAAATAAATCATGTCTTTATTTTTAATAGCTTCTAGCTGATAGCTAGCCTTTCCTTCTAATACGAGCAAAGGCAACCAACCGGAGTTGTAAACAGGAGTACCCGCGCCTTTGTCCCTGGGAGAAATCACAGATACTCCCATGGCTTATGTATGCTCATCACTACCATGAAGCTATGGTCGTTAACAGACCCATCACCAGATCTTATTAGTTAATACATTAAGAAAGAAGCCCTTGTAATTATTACATCACACATTTGGTTTAAAAATATATATATATTTAGGTGGGTATATTTCAATCTATTTGTTTTCCTTTATAATCCTATGCCTTTTGTTTTATGCGTTGGAAACATTATCTGGGTGTTACCAGGCAAAAGGGTCTGTGGTACACAAAGGACAGAAATGTTTGCTCCAGATCCTCTGGGAGCCCAGGCCAACTAATTCATCCCTTATCCTCCAAATCTGCCCGCCCTGTCTGCCCCCAGATCCCTGTTCCTGTTCTGCTGCCTCCTTTCCTTACAGCTTCCTTTTCTCCAGGGAACCCCAGGCTACCAAGAGCAGGTCTCCCTCCATCCTCTGCTCGTGTCCCAGTCTGCCTAGAAGGGACGCAACAAAACTGACCCCTAAGCTTTAACATTCTCTGACCCTAAGAAGAAGAAAAATGGAGGCCACAGGAGGCATTTTGAAAAATTAAGATTTCCATCACTTTCATAAGAGTGAGGAGATGGGGATAGAGACAACTCATTCTACAGGCATTTCCTACCTGTCGTACCAACTAAAGGTAATTTTACTCAGAAATGAAGCCGTGAGAGATGGATTCTGCAAAACACACACACACACAAAAACAGAAAATCAATCAATTGGGAACAGGAACTCCACTGGACTCTTAAAATCAGAAGCTGATTTAATGTTGTTCTAGAAACTAAATATGATAATAAAGTAGCCATGTATTTATTTGGAGACCCTAAGATCATCCGCTGAATGATAATCAGACCTCTGGCATAGATGTATGGATTAACTGTCTATGCTAAAGATCGGTGGGTCAACGTCAAACCCCATACTTCCAGACTCTAGCCACTTCTGTTTCCTATGCCGTAAAATGGTCTGTACTACTGTATTCTGGGCTCGGGGGACCTCCATGCGACTTAGACACCTAGACCTTGACACCTTATGTTTGTCAAGTTGCCATCCAATTAAATAATCTATGAGGTGGTTCTATTTTAAGTCTCACCTCCGATGAGCCATCTTTTTCTGAAAATGCTGACAGGACCAGGGTCAGGATCTGGAACGCATAGCCGATGAAGAACAGGCCGGAGTAGGCAAGGCTGGAATCGCTGCCCTGTGGCAAAACGAAAGAGAGAACAAAGAGAAAATGAACCTTTTATCCAAATTAAATCTAAACAGCCCACATATGTCAGTATTTGTAATTAAAGCCTGTATCAAATCCCTTAAATACAATTCTATCCCGGAGTTCAACCTACTGTATGCCATTGGCTCTGACTGAGGAGCTGCCGAGCAGTTCCCCTCATGTCGCCCTCCTTCCTCCTCACCTGTAAGAGCAGCCGGATCAGCGTCTGAAACTGGAAAGTGCTGCAGAGTATTGAGAGGATCCAGAATAGGGACAGGAACCAAGAGTCCTTCTGCACGCACCATCGCCTGCTATGTTGGATCAGCATAACCAGAAGCTAGAGAGACATTCACAACAAGTTCTGAAAAATATTGTCATTAGCCGAGGACAAGAGGCAAAAGGATGTCAGAAAACAAAGGAAGAAAGGAGGGATAGAGGTCATCGTACTTAGTATGGCCAGGCAGAAAGCATATAAAGGCCAGATTGTAGATTTCCTCCCTGATACCACCCGACGTTCTCTTTTCTGAGTCTCCACGCTCTCCTTTGGATCCCTTCCCCACCCCATCTCTACTCACCACACCTGGGTGGGGAGCTAGCAAAGAAGGCAGAGGGTCACCATCTGCATTTTAATGGAGTTACTTTGGGAGCCAGAAAAACCTTTTCAAGACCCAAGGAAATTAACTTCAGGCACCACAGTAGTGGGGTGGTAGAGGCAGATTCTGCTGGACTGGTGCAAGGTGTCTGTGTCGTGATTTTCTAATAGTATCACAGACTAAGCAGTTAATAAAAACAACTTCCCTTGTAAATCTCACTTAGTTATAATTAATTAAATGTTGTTTTCCTAAACTCAGTTAACCGATATTCTGGTGGGGGTGGGGAGCCATGATTTCTACCTGGGCTAGTAAACCAATATTCTTGGTGGGGAGGGCGGGGAGCCATGTGTAGCAGTTGCCAATTTCCGTGGTATAAATACTCCCACTGCCACTGTGGTGGGTTTCAAGTTCCAGCCTGATGTCCTAGTTGCAGGCTCGGGAAGAGATGTACAGTCAGCTCTGTGAGCCGGCTGCAGCACACCACCACCTAGACCCTTCTTTGTTTGTTCCAAGCAGTGTTAACAAATGGGTCAGGCAGACCTTGTTACTAAGCAGGGTGTGGGTGACTGTACTGAGCACATGCTTAGTCTCATGGAGACAAGTGCTACTCAATCTTAGTTGACCATGGCTCTGTGGGAATGTAGGCCAGACATTCTGATTTTTCAAGAAAGACTTGAAATCTAAATTATTATGAAGCATCTTCCTCTTTTAAAATGATGGCATCTAGTTCAATTGCCTTTAAAACACTGGATAGTCAGTACCCAAAAAACATGCTTGCAGAAGAAACATCAGTTTCTGTCATCAAGTTTATACAAACAACTCTAGACCCTCTGATCCATTGATTGCAGTCTACAATCAATCAATTTAAAAGTAATATTTACAGAAATTAAGAAAATTATTTTATATCAATAAGCCCAAATTTCACATATCCTTAGATGGCAAGATATGAGAGCATAAGGTACATATCTTAGTCTTTAAAGCTAGTACTTACCCTAAGGAGAAGGCTCTATAGACTAGTGTTCAAAGAAGATGAAAAGCTAAAATGTGTTTTGCCCCATTACAATCAAGCTTTGCCTCATCACAGGTCCCTTTAAAAAGGCAGATGACCTTGGACTTTATTTCATTCCAAAAGAGTAAATTTCAGCCAGATGACTGCAAATAGAGATAAGATACACAGGGCAGAAGTGTTGATGGGCCTTACCCATGTGCCCAGGTAGAGGCTTGGATTGGTGTATCTAATGACAGGGACGGCAGCTTGTCCAGAGTCTTCTGTTAGTACAAAGGCCAGCTCTATGGCTGCTAGAATAAGAAGTAATCCGACAAGAACCTGGGCAGAAGAAAAGACCACTGTTAGGAGGATATAATTCTTTAGAATAAAATAGTCCCAGTAACAGATGGTAAAAATGGTAGCAGTGATTCAGATAACACACTCAATAAATATCTCTGGCATAAATGGATACATGAAGTTCAATCAATGAAATATAGTTCAAAGTATGCTATGATAAGTGTTTTGAAGGATGAGTGTGATGGTTTTAAAATAAGTCCACAGATTCTTTGGTATTCTTCCCTTCAAAAACTTCCCCTTCCTTGAGTGTGAAGTGAGTGATTTGCTTCTAATGAACAGAATGTGGTGGAAGTGACAGTGTGTGACTTCCAAGGTGAGGTCCCGGAAAACAATGTGGCTTTCTCCTGTTCTCTCTCTTAGATCACTCACTGCAGGGAAAGCTACCAGCCCCATCATGAGGACATTCAAGTAGCTCTATGGAGAGGTTCACTTGGTAAGGAACTGGGACCTCCTGCCAACAGTCATGTGAGTGAGTTATCTTAGAATCAGATCCTCTGGCCACAATAAAAATTCCAGATGACCTTAGTCCCCACATAACTTCATGAGAGACCATGAAGTAGAACCCAGATAAGCTGCTACCAAATTCCTGACGCAGGGAAACTGTGAGATAAAAATTGTTTAGTTTTAAGCTGCTTCATTTTGATGTAATTGGTTGCACAGAATAGATAACTAAGGCAATAGATTTAAAAGGAGGATTCCGCCCTGGCCGGTTTGGCTCAGCGGTTAGAGCGTCGGCCTGCAGTCCTGAGAGACCCGGGTTCGATTCCCGCTAAGGGCATGTACCTTGGTTGCAGTTTGTCCCCGGCCCTGGTCGGTCGTGCGGGTGGCAGCCACTCGATGTGTTTCTTTCACATCGATGTTTCTCTCTCTCTCTCTGTTCCTCTCTCTCCCTCCCACTCTACCTGAACAAAAAAATGGGAAAATGTCCTCGGGTGAGGATAAAAAAAAAAATTAAAAAAAAAAAAATAAATAAATAAAAGGAGGATTCCCCCACCTCAGTTGGAAGGCACTATTACCTTTCTTTAGTCACCAGTCCCAACCTTTCCCCCATATAACCCTTGAAGTTAACATTGCAAACAACTGCAACTCTATCATCCTAAAATGACTCCAAGCCAATCAATATTGTTCTATGAGCTCATGAGACATGATACATATTGTCTTGTTCTAAAGGACCACTCACCCAACAGGATGGAAAATTACTACCTCTGCTATGGAGGCCCACCAGTATGTTAACCCTCAAAATGAAGATTTTTAAAACTATCTTGCCTACCCTTTCTACTCCCATTGCTACTCATTCCCATGTCTCATTCCTCCAGGATGACTCGGGCAAAGATACTGGGCCCTTTATGACGAAAGCCAGCCAGGGAGGGAGATGAATCACTTTTAACTATAGGACTAGTGCTATTATTTAACGAGGCTAGAGTAAAAAACACGTTAATAAGGGGAATGCATGTTTCTCAAGTATATAATATGCTACATAGTAGTGTGCTTTCCTCACATGAGACAGTGAATTGGTTCTTGGGGAAAAATAATTGCTTTTGAAGTGGTAAGTTATGTTTGCCTTTAGGTAAATTAGGCGATAAAATAGAGCAAGCTGGAGCTAAAGCACCCATCCTTGAGGATGACTAGGTAAAGAGCATACCAACAAGCACACCACTCCAAGGCCAAGGAAAAGAAAGGGGCCTTGCCATGGGCTTCCACATATTAAGCTCATAAAAATTGATAAGAAATATGTGAAGTAGTCCATATCAAAAAGGACTAATTTACATTATATAGTACTACAAGGCAATTTCTAAAAACTAACAACCAATTCAAAAAGTAGACTATAAATGGATAATTTAAAGAAAAAACACACAGAAGGCTTTTAAACACATGAAAAGATGTTTAACCTCATTAATGGGAGTGCAATTTCAAATTATGGCATACCGCTTTTCACTTAATTGATTAGCAAATATCAAAAAGTTTGATAATAAAAAGTTGGTTAGAGGAAAACCTCAATGGAGGGAAATTTATACTATCGTTAAAATTTTCAAGTTCACATATGCTTAACCTAGTAATTTCATTTCTAATAGTTTATCTTACAGACACACTCATATGTACAAAACTATTTATTACAACCTTGCTTATGATGGTGGAAGATTAAAAACCACCTACATTTCTATCATTAGGGCACATAAATTATGGTATATCCAAATAACAGTATCCCAAGTAGCCAATAAAAAGAAAGAAGCAAATTTTTATGTGCTAAACAGAAAAATCTTCAAGATACAAAAGAGCATATGTGTGTGTGTGTGTGTGTGTGTGTGTGTGTGTGTATATATATATATATATATATTATATGATATTAAATTTGTGTGAAAAAATGTATGTAGGTAGCCCTAACCGGTTTGGCTCAGCGGTGAGAGCATCGGCCTGCGGTCCAGAGAGACCCGGGTTCAGTTCCTGCTAAGGGCACGTGCGTAGGTTGCAGTTTGTCCCCGGCCCCCTGGTTGGGTCGTGCGGGTGGCAGCCACTCGATGTGTCCCTTTCACATTGATGTTTCTCTCTCTCTCTCTCCTTCTCTCTCCCTCCTACTCTATCTGAACAAGAAATAAAAAATGTCCTCAGGTGAGGATTAAAAATAAAAATGTATGTAGGTGGTTATTTGTACAAGCATGAGTTATCTGATGGCTGCCAACTCAAGCAGGAATGAGTGACTAGAGCATCATGTACTTTTATGTACATTTTAAATTGTATAACCCTCTGTAAATGATCTATAAAAAGATAAAAAGTTAAATACACTAACTCCCCTCCATTTTAAAAATATGAGTAAGTGATATGAATAGACAATTCACAGAAGAAAAAATAATCTTAACAAATTTTAAAAAATCAATTGCATTAGGCCCTGGCCAGTTTGACCCAGCAGTTGGAGTGTCCACCCACAGACTGAAGAGTCATGGGTTCGATTCCTGGTCAAGGGCACATATCTTGATTGTTCGATTCCCAGCCCTGTTTGGGGTCATGCAGGAGGCAATCAATTAATATGTCTCTCTCACTTCGATGTTTCTCTCTCTCTCCCTCCCTCCTACTCTATCTGAAAAAAAATCAATGGAAAAATGTCCTCAAGTGAGGATTTAAAGAGAAAAATAAATCAATTGTATCAGTACATATAGAAATGCAAAATAAAATAATAGGATGCTATTTTGCATATAAAATTAAAGAAAAACATATTACATAATGCTAGCAAAGGTGCAGAGAAATGCATTTTAACACACTTTTGGTGAGACTATAAATTGACAGAAATCTTCCAGATATGGTAATTCTACTTCTAGGAATCTATTCTGAAGAAATAATCTGAATTTCAGGCGAATATTTGTGCACAAGAATGTTAGCTGGAGTCTCATTTTTAATAGTGAGGAACTTATAAAACTTAAAATAACCCCAAAACAATGGTGGAGAAGTTTGTTGGGAGGAGTCAATGCTGCAAGAGTTGTTAAAAAGGTTATGGTATACTCAAGTAATGAACAATTTTAGTCATCAAAATTGGGTTTAAGAATAATGTTAACCCTGGCCGGGTAGCTCAGTTGGTCAGAGCATTGTCTGGATATGCCAAGGTTGAGAGTTTGATCCCCTGTCAGGGCACATACAAGAATGAACCAATGAATGCATAAATAAGTGAAACATCACATCAATGTTTCTCTCTCTCTCTCAAAATCAATAAATGAAATTTTAAAAGAATAATGTTAACACAAGGAAATGCTTTTTATATCATCAGAAGTTAAAAAAAAAAGTAGACTACAAAACTGCATATACAATGAGTTCAATTATATTTTAAAGCAGACATTGAAAAAGACAGGAGTTTCCTGTCTAAGATGCCAGGTTTAGTACATTTATCGCCCATCCATCCCCACCTCATTGAAATGATAGTAAAGTACTCAAGAAATAAATCTGTAATAGCAGTGAGAATATGAATGAATAAAGGTGAGCTCAGTAGACCAGATACATTTTAGAAGACAAAAAGCAAACATGTCAATAGTGACAGGTAAAAGCAGAGAAAACCATGGCTCAGAACACACAAGGAAAGGCAACAGTGACGGGGGTCGAGATAGGCATTACTGGTCGCTGTGCTTGTATCTTCTGTCTGCCCCCCAGATTCACTCCCCACTCCTGTTCCTTCAAGCTCAGAGTAGTAAGTTTGCTGCTTAAGCTCCAGGCCCCTCTGTAAATACAACCACCTCATGGTATCCTGCTTTGCTTCCGCCACCTGTTTCCCGCTGGGACCCTGACTGGTAGACCTGCCTCTTCCAAGCCATTCTCTTCTTCTCGACAGAACCCCCCCTTTGTAAAACATCTGCCCTACTCAGCTCAGCCATGTGGTTAGGTGGAAACTGGACCCATTTCCAACCCCATGAGGTGAGTTAAAACCAGTTATAATGGCCCCATTCCCCTGGCCTGTGGCTGCTTTAATCATGGACATATGACACAATTCTGGCCACAGAGAAGTTGGGGACAGCTTGTGGAAACTAGCTTGAGGGGGCTTCTGGGAAAAGTTTTCTTCACCATTTGAAGTGATATATAGATACGGAAGATAAAGAACTCTTTATAACTCAACAATAAAAAGACACAAATAACCCAATTAAAAAATGGGCAAAGGGCCCTGGCCGGTTTGGCTCAACGGTTAGAGCGTCAGCCTGCGGTCCAGGGAGACCCGGGTTCGGTTCTGGCTAAAGGCACGTATCTCGGTTGCAGTTTGTCCCCGGCCCTGGTTGGGTCGTGCGGGTGGCAACCACTCGATGTGTCCCTTTCATGTCGATGTTTCTCACTCTCTCTGTCTTCCTCTCCCTCCCACTCTATCTGAACAAAAAATGGAAAAATGTCCTCGGGTGAGGATTAAAAAAAAAAAAAAAAATGGGCAAAGGGTTTATTCAAAGAAAACGTTTTCCCAAAGAAGGTTTACAAATGGCCAAAAACATATGAAAAGCTGCTCAACGTTATTAGTCATTAGGGAAATAAAAATCTCTGAGCGTCAGTCAGTGCAAATCCCACCTCCTTTGGCCCAGTTCCTTTCTTCCTTCCTTGTAGAGAGCAGGCACCCTGAGGTCATTGGTGCGTATGCTCACAGAACTCCGCGTCTAATTTGCCTTTCTAAAAGCCTGCTTAAAGATCAGGACGGATGGGGGAAAACCTAGTGAAAAGAAGCAATGGTGGGTTTTCTGAGGTAGCAATCTCAGTTGAGGGTCTTTATTTTCCACCGGATGTTTTCTGCATTAATCAATGCAGCTGGCTGAGGGGCTCCTCCCCTGATTCCTCCTGGGCTCTCTCCTGCCCCCTGTCATTTCCATCGTTTCCCTACTCAGGCAAGTCACTGGGAGCACCCACCGTCCTCCCTCTCCTCTGATGGATCATCTCAACTTATGGATGACTCTGGGGGAGTGAAAGCCCTATTTCAGATCCAAGTGTGGAGAGATGAGCGATGGTGGCTTGGTTGCCTTATTGGGGCAGAGGACATATCATATGGTTCATTTCGCCTCACGGTAGGTGCCAACTGAATTACAGTCTCCTGATATATTAAAACAGCTCAAAGATAGGAAATCCCATGTTCTCTTCTCTAATACTAAAAAGGCAACAACTACATATTTGAGTGAGTACCCATTATTGGTTTTCAGGGTGTCCACTACCCATAAGATTTCTAAGCCACTCTTCTTTTGCAAAAATCAAAGTCACCTTAACTAAGAAATATTGCAAGAGACCAGTGAGGCATAGGGCAGGTGGAGAGAGAGAGACATTCAGAACGTGGTTCTACCTGAGACCACAGCACCTGGGAAGGCTGGTTAAAGACAGGGAAGAAGACACTTGAACCACCAAGAAAATGTCTCTATGGTGCACCAAGGAATTAGTTAGAAAACACTGGGGTTACCATACCTGCTTAGTAAGGTAGAGTTTGGTTATAGAAGATCTCTTGGTCCTGGATCTATACACATGGAGAAGCTGCCAAGGGGCCAGGAGCCAAAGGAAACCCAAGGGAATCCACACCAGAACAGTTTGCTCAAAACAAAGTGGCAGGTCCGCCTCTGGGCTATCCAGCAGTGAAGAATTCTGGGGGACCAAAATGTAAGGATCATTGGCTACATGTGTCTAAAGACAGAAGACCAGCCCTAGCTCACACCCTCCATCCCAACCTGTTTCCAAACAATTTTAACTAAATTCTGTATCTACATCCAGCCTGACCCTTTAACTAGCTGTATTTTTCTATTCATCTCCATCGATATAAATTCACCACTTGATTATGTTTAGTGACTTTTTTGGGCAATGCAACTTCTAAGGATCTTTCTTCCTGTGATTCTAAGCGAATTTCCCCACCAGCTATTCTGACTAAACTTTACCACTGCATTTGCCATGTGGGAAGAAGAGGGACCATTCCCCAACCCAAAGGGGAGAATAGTTCCTTGGGATATAAAAACAACTTATTCTAGTCTTTAGCACTAAATGAACTCACTGGAAGACATTCAAAACTGCAGGCTGGTAGAATGCTTAGTCATACTATGACATTTAGATGCCAGAGAGATTATGTCAGAGCCCAAGGGCTTACGCAGAACCCGAGGGCGGTTCAGCACAGAAGCGGCAATGATCATTTTTCTCTCAGCAAATTCTGTACTAGTCTTTGCATTCTGCAATGAAGAGAAGTTTCTTATAAGTTGAAGGTGGTAGTCCTGAGTCATGTGAGGGCAGATTTTTCTCTCCCAATAAATATATTTTAATTGTTTTGTACAACTAAACAGACTCTTTAAAGAAAGGTTGAGGTGCCCTGATCAAGATGACCTGCCAGATAATTCTCAGAGAGAATTCTCCAGGTTGGCCTATTAAGCCCACCTTCCTAGGGTATCTGTTCCCTGGCCTAGAGAGCCTTGGGGCCCAAGTTCTTCCTAAAATTGGGATGTTCCTGCTCTTCTGATCTCTCCATAAGGTTATCTAACTTCAGAATTAAGAAGACTTATCTGAGACACTTAAACGATTTTGACAGTCTGGGTAATTCTGGTGCTGATGCCAGGAGTTTGTAGACCACATTTTCTCCAATGTCACTAAATCCAAGGTCCTTTCTCATTCTCTCTTCCACTAAACCATTTAGTTTTGTTGCTCACCCTGTTTATCTTGAAATTCTCTGCTCTAATGTTTCAAAAATGTGTCTCAGTGCTCATGATGCCCAGATTTGCATCCCTGGCCTCAACGTCCGGTCCGTATCACTAATTTCCCGTTCACCACATTATTGTTTCAGCACCAACATCTCTCGACCGGACTCAATCATGAACCTTCTCTTCTTCCTGCTACCCCACAGATTACACAATTCCCACTCCTAACACGGGTGGGATTTGAAGCCATGTCCCTATTTCTCTTTTGAGAGGCAATTTTGTGGATAGCTTGTCCAAGAAAAGTCTGGGATACAATAAACATATGTTATGAAATAAATATATTACTTCTCCCACATAGAATATCCTCTGGAGATATTATGACATTCTTTCATTTAAAAAATACCCTAAGCTTTAGACCAACTGCATATCTAACTTTTCTGGTTCTTATACTGGCCACTCTAGGCTAATCTACTACTTGTTCTGAGTTTGGGAAGAAGAAAAGTATAATTTCTCACCCAAAAAGTAGAGTTGCAGAATGTATCCAGCATGATTCCTGGAGTGTTTTTGAAGTGAAGACTCCCGTATGATTGTGTTGTTTCTTATTTACTTATTTCCTCAGAGGCGGTGGAAGGTGAGTAGTGATGTGTCTTCTCCCATTCTGACGTTACAGCTTAAGGTAGATCTGACCTTTCATCCCAACAATTTAATCGTTAACCTTGCTCAAAGGTTCGTTTACATGATCCCAAGGGATAGACATGTGACCGAGGAGACCAGGGACAAGTAGATTCGCCAGTTCACACAAGTACCAGAAGCCTCTCTAGGTGTGAGCATATCTAAAAGGAACTACTGAAGATGTCAGCAGAGCTGAGCCCAGGAGTGGAGGAGCCTTTCCTTCTCCTGTGGACACGTGATCTGAAGAGAGAAGCGTCAGTGGAGGGGTATGCATCCCTAAACGTGCAGGTTCACTTCTGTTTAAGGCCTTAGAGTTCACAGAAATGTGAAATATCCTACCCCTCTGGGTTTTTAATTAAGAACACAGAACTTATAATATGGCTAAAAATAGTGTAAACTTGGAAAAAGTCAGGTTATAAAATAGCTTATTCAATGTGAACCTACGCATATATAATTTATGCATTTATGCAACAAAATGTCGACCTTAGCTTAGGATTGTGATTTTGATTTTCTTTATTTTCCTTTTCTGTATTTTCTGATTTTTCCATAAGTATCAGGTATTATTTATGTAATAATATTTTAAAGCAATTTTTTTGCATTGTGGCAAAAAACAAAACAAAACACATGTTGTAAAATGTACCATCATAACCATTTCATACAGTTCAGTAGTGCTAGACATATTCACATTGTTGTGCAGCCAATCTCTAGAACTTTTTCATCCTGCAAAACTGAAACTCAATATTCATTAGACAACAACTTCTCATTATGCACTTCCCCTAGCACAGTAAGTATTCTTTTAAAATCAGGGCATCCTATCAAACAACAAGTGTTGGCGAGGGTGTGGAGAAAAGGGGACTCTAGTACACTGCTGGTGGGAATGCAGACTGGTGCAGCCACTATGGAAAACAATATGGTGTTACCTCACAAAATTAAAAATTGAACTTCCATTTGACCTAGTGATCCCGCTTCTAGGAATATACCCTAAGAAGCCTGAAACACCAATCAGGAAGAATATACATACCCCCATGTTCATAGCAGTGCTATTTACAATAGCTAAGATCTGGAAACAGCCCAAGTGTCCATCAGTAGACGAATGGATAAAAAAGCAGTGGTACATATACCACTGGATTATTAACATTGAAAAATATATAAATTTTATTAGGACATTTATTCAGTTATCATCCAATAAGAAGATAACCATAGATGGACTTCCACACTTTTCAGTGTGCCTATCACAGGGTTAAAATTATTTAGGCCTTGGGATGAACCCAAGGAACATCAAGAGGACAGAAACATGAAGTAAACACTGGTTCCCCGCCGGGGTTGAGGTCGTGTAGGAGGCAGCCAATAGATGTCTCTCTCTCACGTCGATGTTTCTCTCTCTCTCCCTCTCCCTTCACCCCATTTTATGTAAAAATTGATGGAAAAATATCCTCAGGTGAGGATTAAAATAAAACACAAAAGACAGTAAAAAAGTGGAATACAAAAGTAGGACCCAAGAACAGGGGCAATAAATATAAGAGTAACAAATATGTACTGATTCAAATGAACTGTCAATATTAATTATTCTTTGGGCAAGGGAGAGCAGGAGTTTTGGAGACTTGACTGTTTACAGTATACATTGGCAAGGGTGGAATAAATGTCAGAGAATTTTCTGTAGCCCAAAATAGGTTCTGAAAGAACTAACGGGGGTAACTGGGGAACCATTATCTGAAGTCTTTTGGAATCACTGAGAATTGCAAAAGTATCAAAAGACTGGATGGGGCAAATGCCTTAATTCTTTTAATAGAAAGATGCTGAAAATCAGATCAAGTCTGACATTAACCACTGAAAAGATCTAGAAAGTTTTGCTAAATGAAGAACATCTTTGCAGTTTTGAAAGGAAGATGATCATTAAGAACCAGAATAAGTACTTTCCCCCCCCCTTCTTTATTGATTTTAGAGAGAGAGTGAGGGAGAGGGAGCGATAGAAACATCGATGAGAGAGAACATCGATTGGCCGCCTCCTGCATGCCCCCCACCGGGGATTTGGCCCACAGCCTGGGCCTGGGCCCTGACCGGGAATTGAAACGGCGACCTTGTGGTGCATGGTTGATGCTAAACCACTGGGCTACACCAGCCAGGCCAGAATGAGTACTTTAAGAACAAACCAGACAACCTAATTTAATTTCCTTTTTAATGTGATTATTACATTGACAGCTGGTATAGTGTATCCTGAACTTAGCAAGGCCTTTAGTTGTTTGAAGAACGAAATATATGTAAAGAAATTAAAAGAATGATGTAACCTGAGGAAGATGTCTACCTACATTCCAAAAGGGTCAGCAGTAGCTTCAGCACCTTCAATATTTTTATCAGTGACTGATAGACATTAAGAGAACTCACATTTACTGCATATCTATTATATGTTAACATAGCTTATATGTCACATAGATTTCTTTTTTTTTTTCCTCCTTTATTGATTTTAGAGAGAGAGGTAGTGAGAGGGAGAGATAGAAATATCGATGAGAGAGAACATCGACTGGCCACCTCCTGCAAGCCCCCCACTGGGGATCGGGCCCACAACCTGGGCATGTGTCCTGACTGGGAATTGAGCCGGCCACCTCTTAGTGCAGGGGTCGAAGCTCAACCACTGAGCCACACTGGCCGGACTCACATAGGTTTCTTAAATAAGGAATATATTTCTATGTTAGGTACTTTAAAATTTTTGTCTCATTTATCCTCACAATAATCCTATGAGATAGGTATTTCTATTCCAATTTACCAGTTAGCAAACTGAAGTTCAAAAAGGCTAAGAAAATTGAACAATGAAGAAAGAATATACTCTGGGAAATAGAAGGTCTGATTAGAAGATCTTGAAGATTTTATGATTTAATATACATACTATTTACACAAAAGACAAGACCACTGTGGTGATTCCCTCCACCTAAGGATTACACCCCAGGATTTCTTTAAATCACAAGCTCTCCTAGTGCCCTGAAAATGTGATCTGAATGTGTTAAATATATGCAAGTTTTCAGGGATGATCTTATTCTATTGGATGAAGTGTTCTATGAATCCCTCTTTTAAATGTTATGGATATTTATTTATTTATTTATTGGTGGTATGTGCCCCTAGCGGAAACCGAACCCAGGACTCTCTGGTCTGCAGGCCAACGCTCAACCACTGAGCCAAACTGGCCAGGGCTGTTATGGATATTTAAAGACCGCACCAAGAATGGCTGCAAGATGTACAGGCCAGGAAACCTGGATTCTGGCCTTAGCTCTGCTGGTCTTAGGTAAAATGATTTCTCCTAAATCTCTTCTTAATGGTCTCCAGAAATCTCTTCTTAGTGGTTCAGTGTGTGTGTGTTATAAATAATTGATCAACCCAGCGATCCCACTTCCAGGAATATATCCTAAGAAGCCTGAAACACCCATCAGAAAGAATATATGCACCCCCATGTTCATAGCAGCACTATTTACAATTACTAAGATCTGGAAACAGCCCAAGTGTCCATCAATAGATGAGTGGATAAAGAAAAAAAAAGGCTGTGGTACATATACACTATGGAATACTATGCAGCTATAAGAAAGAAAGATCTCTTATGCTAAGCAAAATAAGCCAATCAGAGAAAGACAAATATTGCATGATCTCACTTATTTGTGGAATATAATAAACAAAATAAGCTGATGAACACAATAACCCAGAGACATAGAAGTAGGGTACAGACTGACAAACCTCAGAGAAGGTGGTCAGGGGGGAGGGAAGAGGTAAATCAAAGAACTTATATGCGTATATGTATAACCAATGGACATAGACAACAATGCTATTTGGGGGGGTGGGCGAGATAGAGAAGAGGGTGTCAATGGGGGGGAAGAAGGAGAAACATCTGTAACAAACATAAATAAATAATTGAAAATAAAATAGCTAAGTGAAAAAAAATGATCAAAAAGAAATGATTCAGTAGGAAGGAACGTTTGATCACGATGACTCAGGGGAAAATATGCTGTATCATCTGTACTTCGTAAACAAATGTTAATAAGTGGTTGAATTTCAATAACTGAAAAATCTACAAAAGTTCAATGTTCAAGATAACCACAGAGTTGTATACTTTTAGTTAATGATTACAAATAGACTTAAAAAGAGTTTCTTTTCTTGTGCAATATCTTAAAGTAGAGATCCAGATATAAGTGGTAGCAACAAAAAGATTGTTCTTCTTTATCTTTTTTTCTCATTAACTTTGTTTTAATGGGTCTCAAATTTCTTGACTGATTTTTGGTCAACTTGTTTCTATTCAAATATACTGATTTTAAAAACTACTGACTTAGCCTTGGCTGATCTGGCTTATCAGTTAGCGTGTCTGACCCCGGACCAAAGGGTCGAGGGTTCGATTCCCAGTCAAGGGCACATACCTGGGTTGCAGGTTTGATCCCCATCCCTGGTTGGGGTCATTCAGGAGGCAACCAGTCAACATGTCTCTCACATCAATGTTTCTCTCTCTCCCCTAACCACCCCCCACTCCATTCCCTTCTATTCTATGTAAAAATCAATGAAAAATTATCCTCAGGTGAGGATTAACAACAACAGCAAATTGAAAAATAAATAAAAACTACTGACTTAAAAACTGCCACCCCCACCCCCCAAAATGGTCACAAACATTCTCTTTTCCTTCTGAAGGTTTTATGATGTATTGCTATCATTAACCAGACTTTTATCATTAAATTTAAATGACCAACTGAGACTAATAGTTCTGAGATTGTTCTTCACCTCTGAGTAAAACTAGGGTGGTAGGTATTGGGGATAATATTCATTTAGTCTTTGAGGAGTCTGGGCAGATCTGGTGACTTTGCCAGCTCCAGCTACCTTCTTGTCCACTGCTTTGGTGACACCCACAGCA